ATTGGTATCGTGACTTGAATGATTATTTAAAAAAGTATGAATGTGAAAACTTATTTTCATTTGATCCGGAAAATGTAAATTTAGATACGATAAATATTTTAAGAAACAATATAAATATAATAGCTAATACGATTAGAAATAGAATAGTAGAAGATGTAATTAGAATGCAAAGCTCAAACTCTTTATGTCACTTTAAACACATTAAATTGCATGTCCAGGTTGAAGGTTTCTTAAATGGAAATATGTCATGGAATTTAGTTAAGTTGGGCATGCAATTAAGAGCAATGTACCCCAGATTTACAATTAAAAACAAATCTGTAATATTAAATGGAATATTATGTATAACAAAGAAACAACCCCTCTATGTAACCTATGCCAGTCTGCAATTGAAGGCCTATATCATTTCATATGTATTTGCCCATGCTACAATTTAATCCGTAAAGTACTTAATAGCAAACTTGACCTGTGTCTTCCTACAAGTAGAAATGATTTTGTAAGTTTTCTTGGTGATTTAGATGAGACTAAATCAAAATGTATTAAGCATTATTTGACTCAAGCTACTGAAGTGAGAGAAGCCTACAATAATACGGATGCAATATTATGCTAATATTTAATACTTAAACTAGGCTAAAAAATATCGAAATAGTAATATCTCAACATATTTAAATAAATGTATGAAACTTCTTTATATATGATTGTAAAGGCCGTGGCCATATCAATCGAGCACTAATAAAAAAAAAATTAAAAAAATTAAAAAATTAAAAAAATGATTATCGAAGGGTTTTTATGAGCCTGTCGACAAAAAAAATTGAAGGCACATAAAACTTGATTTTATAGGGAGGTAAGAAATAATACGCGGTAGGTGGGTCAAAAGGTCAAGTTGTCTTTGATAGTTTAACTTTAACACTTTACCATAATGATAAAAAATAATTCTTAAGTTTGTAACTGGAGTTAAACATCACCATTTCTTTTCTTTCTTGCTTTAGGAACGACGACTGATTACTGAAATGTTGCTTGATAAGGATTTGGGCAGCATTAGTGGTGCTATCCGGATCGTCCATTGATGATCAATAGGAAGTACTCGTACAAATTGCTCAATATGCACAGCCCGGACAATTTTTTAATCATGGTGATTCAAAGGCAGATTAAGGAAGCAATGGATCTTGATCTGCACAACATTGCCGGTTGTGCACCGGTTGACGTTGCTTGTCTGAAGGATAGACTTCCTGTACCTGTCAAATTTGAGGATGGGTATGATCATAGGACCTTGCGACATGTCAACAACACCAATAAGAAGCATTGTGCCAAATTTCATGCAAGTCGGACGAGAAATGGCGAAATTATGGCATGGCGACGAAATTTGGCGCAAACAAGGTGGTGGCGGCGGGTGTGACCTTGCCACATGTCTATAACACCAAAAAGAAGTCTCTCTCGAAGTTTGATGAAAATCGGACGAGGAATGGCGAAATTATGGCATGGCGACGAAATTTGGCGAAAACAAGGTGGTGGAGGCGGGAGTGACCTTGCGACATGTCGATAACACCAAAAAGAAGTCTCTTTCGAAGTTTGATGAAAATCGGACGAGAAATGGCGATATTATGGCATGGCGACGAAATTTGGCGAAAACAAGGTGGTGGCGGCAGGTGTGACCTTGCGACATGTCGATAACACCAAAAAGAAGTCTCTGTCGAAATTTGATGGAAATCGGACTAGAAATGGCGAAATTATGGCATGGCGACGAAATTTGGCGAAAACAAGGGGGTGGAGGTGGTGGGACCTTGGGACACGTCGACAACACCAATAAGAAGCATTGTTCTCAATTTCATATAAATCGGACAAGAAATGGCGAAGTTATGGCATGGCGACAGAAGTGGGCGAAAACAAGGTGATGGCGACGGTTGGGACCTTGCGACATGTCGACAACACCAAAAAGAAGCGTCTGTCTAAATTTGATGGAAATCGGACAAGAAATGGCGAAGTTATGGCATGGCGACAAAGGTTGTCGCCCTGCCAAGCATTTATAAGGGGGGGAGCTGTTGGCCGCCCTTAAAAGGGCGTTTCCAGAGCACACGACGAGGACGTCGCTCCCTCGTGCTCCACGCGGGCGGGCCCCCACTCGCGCCCTGAGGCGCAAGGGGGTCTACCTCCACCGACCGGGAAAGCCCTGCCCACATCACCGCCTCTGCAACCGCGTTCCCCTAGGGGGCCCGTCTGACCCTCGCCTTACGAGGTGGGAGCGCACCTGTAAATCGGCCCCCATTAAGGCTTCGAACTCGGGAACCCGGTCGGCCCCAAGGGGAGGTATCGCTAAAGAGCGGCGTCACCCAAGGGTTGGAGGTAGAGAGCCCCTCTCACTTGCCAAGCGCCACCCGCACTTTTGGCAAGCCCCGCCGGCTCCCCACCCGGTGAGTCTGCTTGGTGGGAGGAGCATTGGAGGGGGGACCTTCCCGTAAGGCTCTCCCCTTGCAGCGTTGCTCCCCCGGACCACCCCTCCAACGGGAAGAGAGTCGGGGCTGTGGGACAAACCACGGGTGGACCCGACTCCCCAGAGAGGCAGGGCGGTCCAGGGGCGCGGCTACAATGGGGAGCTCACCCAGGGACACGTCCCCCACGAGCGCCTCCCGCAGACTGACAAAAATTTCTGGTGCAGCTCCTTTTATACCCTCTGGAGGGCGGTGAAAGTTCTGCTATAAATAGCACCGGTGAAAGTTCTGCTATAAATAGGGTGAAAGTTCTGCTATAAATAGCACCCAGTGCTATAGCCTATGTATAAACATAGACTATAGCACCCAGTCATACTGGGTGCTATTAATAGCCTATGTATATTAATAGCACCTGAGATAAGCGGCCTCACATGTTCCGTGTTATATTATAATTACATATATAGTAGTTATATAGCATATAGCACACGCGTGCTATAGGTATACAGCTGTATACCTGTGTATAGCTATATATAACATATATATATATATATATATATTTAGTAGTTATATACATAAACATAGGTTATATATAGCTATACACAGGTATACAGGTGGAAGTTGTGCTATATACTATATACTATATAACTACTATATATGTATACCTACATTGCCTACATATGTTATAGCGGCCTATTTCAAATGTTTACAATTGTTACGAATAATTCAATTAATTATTTCGACGTCGTTAGCATTGGGTAAATGTCGATTCTTATAGGTTTTTGGTCGCTGATTTCGAATCTGAGGTCAGTTTTTCGATTGCGACATCATGGGAAGGGACACAGGGCCAATTAATTATGTTAAAATAACACGTAAAATTATAAAGCTGCAAATATAAGGCTGGGTTTGGCAGCAATTTATGAATAAATTAAAAGTTGCCATAAATTCATGTAACTCTTGTCAATCAGAGAGTGAAACCTGTGGGAACCCATCACTTCTGCCACTATAGTCTATCCACGGCAAGTTGAACCCGGAGATATGGAAGACTAAATCCCGGCCCATGCTTATTAACGTTGAACTGAGTTTAGTCTCCCATATCTCCGGGTTCAACTTGCCGTGGACAGATAGTATGTGATAATTTTTGTAATAATCTACATGCCAACTGCAACTTCGTCTCTTCACAGTCGATGCTTACTTCGACGATGAAGAAACTCAATTCAATTCAATTTTCGAAAACCCTGGTACCTTTTGGAACCAGTGTGCACTCACATTTCGTTCCCACGAATTAACCATGGATGGATACAAGAATCAGTGCAGTTGTAAATGTGAAATCGGCTATTTCGGCGTTCTGTTAAAAATTTTTGTGCTTTAATTACCGTTAGCGACGGCCCAAATAATTAGCACTTCAAAAATGGAGGTTTTTGAGGCTATCGAAGCAACTGTCGTAACCTTGTATTATGATAAATTGTCAAGCAGTCTTGACACAATTTCAACGCTATTTAGGGAATTGGGGAAAATGTCATACTAAGATTACTATTACAATCCCAGTTCCTAAGATACCACAATCGTGGAATCTTGGTCGTGACCGAAAGGCGGCCGCCCCCACTGAAATAGTTCTCCACGACCGAATTCTCCCATTCCTCAGATTTTTATGTAATTTGCATATACCTCGTATGGCCGAAAAGATGCAATGTGAGTCTGATGATGCAAATGAGGTGACTAGAAAACGATTTTCTTTCGGGAAGCTCCTTGTATAAAGCATAGGACGATCTGAAAGGTTCTTTCAAGGTCACGAGGTCAAAAAGCTGATTTAGCAACCTGACATTCCTCATAAAAGCGTGCCATTTTAGATTTGCATGCTATTGCATGTACGCCGTTGCCGTAATTTCGTAATTTCTCATCCGATTTGCATGAAATTTCGACACAATCTGTTTCTCGGTATTTTCTAAATGCCACCTTACGTCACGACCAAGATTCTTAGACTATGATTAATTAAAGAGTTAAATACCTGGGGGTTGTACAACTTTGCACAGTTTTCGATAATAAGTAGAAGAGAAAGTTTGGAAATCTCAATTTCCCCACTTTCTTCAACTAACAAGTAATTATGTAGTTTTAGATTATTGTTAAACATCGATATTGATTTATGCTTCAATTCAATAAAGATGCTTACATAGTTTATACTTTACATATATTCATTCGTATTACGTTAATAATGTAATTTACAATTTGCATGAATTGGCGAAATCGTTTCAATAATTGGTTCAATAATTTTAGAACATTTGCATGCAAGAAAAAATATTGAAATTGTAATATGCGTGATTATCAATTGGCAAATCTAAACAAATGGCAACAAAAATAACTTTATTACGAATCGATCTCATTATCTTGTTGTCTTATCGTGCGTTGACGGGCGGAGAAAGTCTCAATGTTAATGACATTCGGCCGGGTCGCCTGATCGCCTCTGATTTTGGAATTATAGTTCATCAATCAATCGACTTCTTTTTCACTTATCTCTGATCGCCTCATTTGCATTATTTTTACTTTTTGAATCAATAAGTCGATAAAGTTACATGAAAAAATTTTGGAAGTTTTTCATATAATTTTTATTAGCTACTATTTCACCCCGGAAAGTTGCCATCCGCACCGCCATCCATCCGGTCCGAGTAGTCAATCAATGCTTTTCTCCATTGTCACGAACAGCAGCAAGAACAGATTTTTAACACTTGCCACATCCGGCCACAATTTTCGACACATTTTTACAAAAAAACACCACACCCACTTCACCACCACCAGCTTTCCCCTTCTCTTGAACACTCGTAGTGTCGCCTCTTTGAAAACTCGTACTGCAAGTAGAATCATGGGCGCTGCAACAACTGCAACCGGTGCAACAATGAAAATCAATCTTGCCGACGATTTTCAGGTCAGTTATTTATGTTGAAGCTTATCAGAAGTTTGACCCGTTTAACTTATTGTTATTTGTTCCAGGTCATTATGCAAGGCAAGGCCAATAATGTCCATCCGGTGACAAAATATCGATCCACTTCCACCGGGCTGGAAGTTGTCCATGCCGATATTGAGGGACCAATTGTGAACGGATACATTGTTCTGGGTGAGTAGTTGTTAATTGATTAATTAAACTATAGCAAATTTTATTGTTTTAAAAATTACTTAATCCTAGCGACCCGCGCCACGGACGATGACGGTCTTCCTCACACTTTGGAACACTTGATTTTCATGGGGTCTGAAGACTATCCGTATAAAGGCGTCTTGGACATTCTGGCCAACAAATGTTTCGCTTCTGGGACGAATGCTTGGACAGGTGACAAAATCAACAAGTCAGCTTTATAAAATACATTTATTAAAATACTTAAAATTATCTAGACGTTGACCACACGGCTTACACGCTCACGACTGCCGGAAGTGAAGGTTTCTGCAACATGCTAGGCATTTACATGGACCATATTTTCCATCCCATCCTCTCCGTGAGTTTCATTACTATGAAATTGAATATAAATTAGTCGTCGTCATAAAACTGACATCATTTTAGGACTCTGCCTTCGTTACTGAGGTTTACCATACAACTGGAGACGGTACGGATGCAGGCGTCGTTTACTGCGAACTTCAGGTAAATAGATGTAACGGGTTTTGGATCTGCTTAGCGTTTTGTCAGGTTTGTCGTTATCTTATAGATAACGAGGTAAAGCAAACTTGAGACAATTGAGCCACAATATGTATTTAATATGGAGATAAGCTTCTCAATTTGTTAACAATTTCACATATTCGCTAGCTAAATAAAGACACTGGGACAAATTTAACATCAATTGAGGACAGCTTAATTTATTATTATTCGTATGTATGTAATTACAGGCCAAGGAAAACACTGCCGAGGAGCGAGTTTATCACGAACTTGTTAGAACTATTTATCCACCCACTTCAGGATATCACTACCAGACGGGAGGAATTTGCAAAAATATCAGAGAAACATGCAACAACGACAAAGTACTAGTCGACCATTTTTTACTATTTTGTTTTACTGTTATAATTTTGACAATTTTTTTTCTGTGCAGGTGAAGAAATTTCATACGCAGTTTTACAACCCGAGAAATACTTGTGTCATTGTTTGCGGAAGGGTTACTCCGGAACAATTGTTTAAAGCCTTGGAACCCACGATTGCAAAACTTAACGAAAAAGTATGTTCCTAACTTTAATCGAATTAGAATTACAGATTGTCATAAAATAGACTTACTAATAAACCCTTCTGTAGGGCGTAATTCCCTCCTGGACAAAACCCTGGTTGGACGACGTGCCCGAGATTAACGCCGCGGTAGAGAAACATGTGAACTTTCCGGCAGAAGATGATGACGAGGAAGCGTTGGTCACGATTGGATTTCGAGGACCGTCCGCCATCACGGAAATTGAGACGTGAGTGTAAAGGTTACCGTTGTCTGTCGGTATATGTATATAATTTGAATTATTTTCGTTGAACAGTGTCGCCGCACTTCGTCTCCTCTTTGAATACTTGACCGACAGCTCTGTTGGTCCGATGCAACTCGCCTTTGTGGAGAATGATGACCCAATTTGTAGTCAGGTAAATACATAAGGGCTGATTTTTCTTTCGTGATGCAATGTACCATGTGTTTTGCAGGTAACGTACGCCGAGATGGAAAACTCCCGTACAACATTCTACCTAGAGTTTGAAGGGGTTGGAAAGGATAAAATGCCTGAAATCATCTCCAAAACGAAGTCAACGTTGGAAAAGCAAGTCAATTTCTTCGACATGTCTCGAATGACGGACATTATCAAGAAAAACTATCAAGAGGAGTTGAGTTCGATGGAGAACACGCCTCACAATTCGGTCGCGTACGCCGTCATTGGGGATTTCCTGTACGGCTCGGATAATAAAGAAATGGTCAGTCGACCACAATTTCTAGTTCAACACACATTTCCTGAATTGAATTCAATAATTTTTCCTCTAGTTTGAAAAACGTATCAATTGTGCCTCCACCATAACTGGTTTCCTCGCCAAGGATAAGGCATACTGGATAAGTCTCATCAAGGAGAAAGTGTTGGGACAGAAATGGGTCACTGTTTATGCTCATCCAAGCAAGGAGGTAAAACTCAGGGGGTTGCAAAGTCGTACAACTTTTTAATACTTTTGATTTCCCTCACCCAGACTTTCACCATGCTTGCAAAAGAAGAAGAGGGTCGCGTGGCTGAGCGTCGTCTACGTCTGGGCGCTCCAGGTCTGACTAAAATGGGGTACGAGCTGGACGAAGCCATCAAAACCAACTCGGTATTGCTAGCCTATTTTATAGTAATTATTGTAAATTACTCTGAAAGTGTAATTTTGCAGACGCCTGCACCAGCCTCCGTGCTTGAACAAGTCTCTGTTCCATGCGCGGACTCGATCCATTTTCACACGATTACTCGCTATGCAAATCCAGACTGGGCGGATCAACTGAAGTGTAACTTTTACATGGATGATATCAAGTCGAATTTCGTCTACGTGAGTTCATTTAATACTTATTTGATCATCTGTCGTGTATTCATTATCATTGACGTGACATTTACAGGTCTCGGTCCATATGGACACGTCCTCCTTGTCATACGAGCAACTTAAGTATCTGCCCCTCTTTCGCGAAGTCCTTGTAGAATCTCCCGTCCTTTTGGATAATGGGACCGTCATGAGTTTTGAGGATGTCGTTGCGGACATAAACCGGACTTGGTTGTCGCACGGATGCTCCCTCGGGATCGATGGTGGAGGACGATTCAAGTGTGGATCGTATTGTCACAGTTTCACCCTGAACTGCCAGGTTTGTGGATCGACAGAGGCGTGGGTTCGATTTGTGGTGCAAAAGTTGAATCGCGTTTGCCGAGAAAGTGGCGGACCCTTTTTAGGGTCCGCTATTTTACGGACGCTATTTTGCGGGAATTTTCTTGGATTTTCTTGCCGTTTTCGGGGAAAAAACCGAAATCGAACCCATGGAATGAGGGGAGTCGAATGACGAAAAAAATAAGTAATTAATATTCTTCTCCTGATCAGATGGAGCTGTCCAAATTGGATGCCGGATTTTCCTGGCTGCGCCTTCTCCTCTTCAAAACTCAGTTTTCAGCCGAGCGCACCAAAGTAGTTGCAACCAAGATGGCTGCAGATATTCCTCAAATGAAGCGAAAAGGGAACCGAATGGCGTACACGCTCCTGAAGGACATTCTCTATCAGGACAAATCCCCCGTAAAGACATCCTCGCTCCTCCGCCAGCATAAGTTCCTCAAGGGAATTGGCTCCTTGTCGGCTAAGAAGTTGGGTGAAATGTTCAATTCGATTCGAGCTGTGTTAACCTCCCCGGCAAATGTCACCCTTCACATCGCCGCTAATTTGGATAAGATGAAAAGCCAGGCTGGCAATGGCGGTTTGAATGCATTGCTTGCAAACACGTTCACATTTCAGGAAGTTGAAATGGGTGACAAACGGTAACTGTCTAATCATATTTTTGATGGTTTTATGTACAAGCAAAATAAAATCTCCTCTTATTCTATGTCCCCAGACTTTCCAACGCACCCGATCTCACTTGGATGAAATCACCCTCCATTTTTACGACCGAAGCGGAATTGCGAATTTTAGGGAATCGAGCTGAAGAGTCGTCCTACATGGTCAAAGTTGCTCCAGGCGTAGACAACTATTCCGACCCAGAGTTACCCATTTTACTCACGGCTATGCAATACTTGTGCCAGACGGAGGTATTAATTTAACGATTAAGTAGATAATTAAATTTACAATTGACTCATGTGCCTTGATTAGGGGCCATTCTACCGTGGCATTCGTGGAGCAGGATTGGCCTACGATTTCTTCATGGATGCTCGATGCAACGAAGGCTTGATATATTTCAACCTCTATCGTTGCACCGACGTCGTTGGTGCATTCAAAGCGGCGAAAGAGATCGTTATGGCGCACTGCACGCCCCCAGGAGGTGGAGATGAGGACATCTGGTCGGAAGAATTTCTCAGCTCGGCCAAAAGTTCACTGATTTTCGAGTATATTGGTAAGCAATTCGTTAACGCAGGCCTCAATGACTCATCGCCAAAATCAGCACATTTTTAATCATTACTGAGTCGTTCATAATTTTAAAATCAATTCCCAGAGCCGAGAAATGATTAAAAAATGTGCTGATTTTGATGATGAGCTTCGAGTACTACGTTAAAATAATGATAAATTTTATCACATAATAATCCTGCAAAATAATAAATTTTGATATTTCTTTAGAGGGAGAGAAAACGCCACTCGCACTTTCTTCTACATCACTCTGTTCGTATTATCGGAATGTACCGGATGGATACACCAGGTATCACATGAATAAATCAATAAATAAATTATATAAATAAATTAGTTTGGTAATAAATTGATGCATTTTTCTGTACGATAGGGACATGATATCAAAGATTCTCGCGATAAAACTTGCCGATTTGCAACCCATCGTAGAAAAGTATTTGAAACCAGTCTTTCTGCAAGATCACGTCTGCTCCATCGTTTCTCCACAGGATAAAGTGGTATCGATCGTGGAAGGATTCGAAACGTATGAAAGAATCAAATTATCATAACTATTTTCTGTAACTAATTTCAAAATTACTCTTTTTTCAGGGTGCACGCCAAGAAGCTTCAAGTCGTGACTGGCTTGGCAAACTCGTTCCTCGAAAAATGGGCAGATACGGCCGATTTAACTAATTGATTACTTATGATGCATCAATGATTGATATCGGTCATGTCCAAATGCTTTCTCCTCTTGTTTGTTATGCCTTAACTTTTAAAATTCAAAATTTTGCTGTAATAATTTACTGCAACTAATAAATTTCTGATTGTACATATTAATAAAATTTTTAATATGAAAAAAGTATATAGACATTTTATTACCAATCTGCAACTAGCACTAAATTTTACAACAAACTTGAAATTAATTGATTATTATATAACGACAATTTGTTTTTAAACTTTAAATATCACAAATTTTGTAATTCCATCATTCGTATTTCATGAATGCACTCGTGAGGGAGTCAAATCTCAGTTTTTGAACGCTAAATTCCCAAAGGCTCTTATCTTTTGAGTTGGGGGAAGTATAGTGGGCATGGTGGTGAGGACGCGTGGGGGCGGTATTGGCACTGTCCCCCTGAGAAAGTCCACCTTAACTCCACCGGTAGCCGCCGCCGCTTCCTTCGCTCGTCTCTCCTTCTCCTTGAAACGTCGTTCCATCTCCAACCTGGCAAAAGACAGATAACAACAATTATTAGTCATATCTACATATTCTCATGACCAATTTAAAGAAAACACTACCTTTGCGCCTTGTCCAACTCATCGTAGTAAGAACTCTCCCCAAAGACGGGCTGGTCTGGAAAGTTTGTCCCATTCTCATCAATATTACAGAGAAGAATCAATTTATTGTAAATGCTCGGATTTCGAAAAGATTTCATATTTTGAACAATGTCATTCACATTTCTCCCTTTGCTTTTGAGCACCATCATTTTATTAAACTTGGCCTGTAGTGCGGGATCACATTCTGTCGTGGGTGCTGGAGGGAGCAGGGTGTCGACAAGTTTGGAACGTTTGGGTGAGCATGGCGTACCGTCGTCGTCATCATCATCATTGTTTCCTCTTAACGATGAGACTGCTGCATTGTTGGAAGAAGAATCTTGATCGTTTAAATTATTATCGCTTCCGGAAGCAGCAGATTCTTCTTCATCTTCTTCTTCCACAATGTCGTCTTCTTCCATCGGGGGTGGACAAAAGTCAAAGTTATCTTCGTCCTCTTCCGCATATCTGCTTCCGAGCAGGAGGGTCGGTGTCCCCCCAACCTTTTTCAGCGAAGAGGACGATGGTGAAGGTTCCTTCGAGCTGGGAGCGCTTCCTCGCCCCCCTCCGGGCTGTACCAAGGGTGGTGCGAGGTATTGGTGGAAGGAGGATCGTGGCGCAGTGACGACAGGGTTAAGAAGAATGTCGACAACCCCCTTAATATTCTTCTCGTCGGACGATCCTACTTCGCCATCGTCACGCTCTTCATCTTCCGAATCGGTGGAATCATACGCGTTCAAAGAGGAGAGCACTGACGGCGTATTGTTTCGCGACATGGTGACGATATGATTAATCAAATCAGGCCAAATTACTGACCTTTCCTCTTATACCAAAGTTTGGTAACCAAACAAACTTGAATTTCTAGTAGTAGTAACTTTTTTATGCAAATATTAAATTAAAATGTGGGTAAAGACGTAAAAAACTAAAATGCGCCACGGCACTAAAATCAAGGGGAATGTGACATCGAAAATGCATCATGGCACACTTTTTCATGAAAATTCTCATGCAATCATATCAATCAATAAAACAACGCTGTGGGATTGTAATTACAAATCTTTACTCCTACTTTTTTTTAATACAAAAAAGAAATTCCATATCAACATTCAATTCCATATATACTACTAAATAGACACAAAGTCAATCTAGCCACCAAGTCCAGAAGGACAGAATTTAATTTTCATAGGTTTACTAACAAAAATTTGGCTCGAATAAAGAAAAACATTAGAAGCGGACCAATTTTGAAAAAGAATACATAATGGTAACACAAACTTCAATTAGAATGCATACTGAACACAAAAGTTTACCAAACAGTCAATAGCTTTAAGAAATAAAAGCTTGAAAATGGCAAGTTACCATTAAAAAACTCCATTTCAGAGCGTTAAGTATAAAAAATGTAAAAAAAATCGAAAATCAAACTTGCAAATACAAACCCGAGAATTTAGTTATAATTGATAATACTTCTTCGTAGGAGTAGGAATAAAAAATTAACGTAAAGGTTTTTAAGTAAATTATTAGTTATTAAAGAGAATTGTTAAGTTATTCCCCTTTTTCCCCCTCTTCAGCAATTGCCTCCTCATGAGTTGGGATAGCTGCCGTTTTAGCTTCTTCCTTTTCAATCGTTGCCGATGAGTCGACTTCCAGCTTGTCCTCCAAAATTTTCTCTTCTTCAGCCTTCTCGGTGGCGGCGGCATCAACCTTAATAGCCTCGTCGCTGGGCATCACTTCATCTTCAATCTTCTCCACAATTTCTTCCTTCTTTTCCTCAGTCGTGGTAGCAGTCTCAGTGGGAGTTTCGATTTCAGTCTTGTCGGTGGTGGAAACAATCTCCTCTTCACCCGCATCCGTCTTAGCCTTCTTCACTGGAGACTCCTAAAACGACATGAAAAGAAGAGGCATTTAGTGAGTGCGGCTTAATGAGGTGATAAAAGTCCTCCTACTAATTACAATTATGTTAACAAATTAACGCACTAACCGTGACTTCAGATGTGCCATTTGTATGGCCGTTTTTGCCTTCGACCGCATGACCATTCGAGGAACCGTTCTCTTCAGTCTTCTCATCAGTGGTTCCGTTCACCTTGCTTTCTTCCTCGACGGCTGGGGTGGAGATTTCTTCAAGCTTCCTTTTCAAACCTTTCGCTCCACCATCTTCTTCTTCTGCAAAGAGAAATACAAATTAATAATCGGTAACACAATAGGAACAATCTATCTTCTCTTCAAACTTATCTCTACCCCCACCAGTCCGTTGCATATATTTTCACTACCACTGACTTACCGATGATCTTGGTCGAGATCTCAGCATCCACACATTCGTTCTTGCTGATTTCAACGGCAACGGATTCAACGGCTTCCATTTTGATTGGTATCTTCTTTTAACTTCTGAAATATAAATATAACGATATTTTTTACGACTGACTGACTGACGACACGGAAACGAATCGAAGAGAGCGAACGGTGAGGTGGTTGTTCCGGCTTGTTGCGTTACTTGCGAGTGAAAGAGACGACGAAGAAAAAGCGAAGCTAAAAGTTCAGAGAGGAGGAGGATGGACGAGGAAGGAAGCTCGCCTCGCAGTGCCACCAACCCACACCGAACGGAACGGACAGAGTTAGAATAGAGAGAGCGAGAAGCGAGCGACCCTTTATTTCCACAAAGTAAAACGTATATCCATATATATTCGAAGAACCGGCATGTAAAAGTAGTAGGCCATCCAACTACCCAAACCACGCATGCATCATCATTACGATGATGATGACTCTTCTTCCTACCTTCCCTCCACCAAAAATTCTGGTCGTCTTCTCGGTGGGATCATCGTCGGATGAGAGAAAGTGCCTACAGATCCTGAGGAGCCCTCCAAATACCTTCCTCCAGGCTACAATATTTATTCCTTTCGTGTTGCATGATTTTTCGGGAAGATTCCAAAGGACCATCATGAAGACCCTTCGCCCCTCGTGGTCGCTCCTCTCGAGTCCTCTCACTACGAGGAGCCTACAGATGTCTGCCTCCTCTCTGTCGACTCATTTCTACAATATTCATATTACACACCGACCGGCCGGCATGAAATCGAGAGGTGATTAAGAAATCCTACCCGTGAACTGACCACCACTACGACTAAAGCATGACATGATGACATTGGCATTGGCCACCCATTCGAAAGGAATGCAGTGTGCAAAAATCCAATGCACCCAGAAAAATACCACGTTCTGCTGTTCATTCAACTCATCCATCCACCCCCAACAAAACCACTCGCTGCTACTACTACGCCATAAAAAACTACGTTCTCACACATCTATAAACATATGACCTTTGTTGTCCTCCTCTTTCTCGGTGTAATCTACTACATGTTCAATTATTGGTTTCATTAAGAAAATGTATTGTCATTTACATACATGCACAAGGAGATAGAAAATACTGATGAGAGGCCAGGAGTAAAATAATGTGATGAATGATACGTCCATTTCACCAAACATTTCTACTGGTGACATACTAGACGAGACGAGAATCATACAAGTTCCGAACTTGCATGGCAAGAAAGTTTAAACCAAAATGAATACAGTCCTTAAAGTCTCCTTAAATCTGACCGAGCTGAAACAGCACGACTTTCTACCATGCCATTGAATTGAGAAGACAAAAAGTAAACTAAAATCCACTCGCGTTTTGTTACCGCGTTGCTTGGACTTCAAACTCTCCGAGCTTGATCTACTCGGTAGATTACAACCTGGCGGAACTACTAGTAAAGGAAGAGAGGGACTTAACTATTGTGTCAGTTAAATAACCATTGCCCAACCGAGAATCGTGCTGTGCGGGTGTGACAACTGTTGACCAGAAGAAAGCAGAAAGTTTGGTGCAAGTTAATTTGTGACAATTGTTTGGTAAAAGCCGAATAAAGTGAAACGACGCTGTAATTCAAACAGCAAGAGGAATTGTAACAATAAGAAGATATTCGGAGGGATTAAAAGCGAAAAGGTAAGTAAATCAATTAAAAGAATGGGACAAGTGCACGAAACAATGTGTACACAATTTTTCAAAGTTCACAAAATGATGTAACTTTATGGTCGCAAATATTTTTAAAAAAATCATCATTTTGTAGGCTTCGAATTTTTTGCCCATTGTTTGGTGGACTTTTAACCCAAAAGAATTATTCTTACACTGCCACCACGCCCATTTAATTAAGCGCTCATATGCAATTTACAACCAAATTAGCTAGTTCGGCTAGACTATTGTAAATGGTAATGCTAAGTTTGCTCATAATTGTTACACCAATAGCAAATTACCCTCAAGCGAATTGTTCGTTTCACAATGCAATATACCAACATAAGAAATTATTTTATTTGTACGACTCGATAAGGTAACAAATTGTTACTAACAATCCATTCAATGCAGAACTCTCGACCCCCCCTTAATTATCATGCATGATAACCACAATGTTATGGAACCCCATCTCGCTCTTGCGTCATTCATAAAAAAGTATGTACAGCCCTAGCCACGATAAGCGGTATGATTCCTACTAGCACAGAAAATTAGAAAATGATCCCTTTTTTGCAAATATTCTCAAAAAACACCAGCCTTATGCCGATATGCCCGTAAGATGACAAGCATGACTTAGTTTTTTTAAAAAAAGGGCTACCCTACTCACCTCAAGTTGACCTTCGACACGAACCAAGAAAAACTTCCAATTAGACCTGGAAAGCAACCAAAACAAAAAAATTATTAAAACAAACTATCTCCTAAAAGCACTACCCCTCTTAAATTGTCATTAGACCTCAATTTCAATAAGAATTTTAAAAAAACTTACCGAACTTGAAATAAATTGAAGAGCGAAAAAAAAGCGTTGCTTGCACGACGAGAACAGCAGACAGAGTGACAGACTGGCAGAAAACGCCGGCAGACGACGACCCAAGGACGCTCCTCAGTGGGCATCCATACCCCAACGTGACCTCTGACCTCACGACTTTTAAACCAATTTTTATCCTTGCCATTTTGAAACCTACCAATTGCACTATCAGAAATTAAACTGAATATTTAAATATACTAATTTCAATTACATAAATACACGAATGGTTACGACGTGGTAGGTGGATGCTCCCGTGCTGACGTAGTAGCCGCCGATTGGTTGGCGAGTCATCGAGCGGCAGCTACAACCTTGCACATTTCGCTCTCTTTCTCTTTCTCTGTCGTTTGTGTGCACTCGTTGGTTCGTGAAGATTTAGGTAGATAAAGAATTTTTTGGTGAAATCAAAATAAAAAAATTGAAAAACTTTGGAAAACTTTGAGTGGGTGGGATAAGTAACCCCCTTCTATTTCATTGAAAGTAATCACGTCTTCCTAAATAAATATCTTATTTCTCGTGTATTTTTTTTGTGTTTTGCTCTCACTCTTCAGGAAAAAATTGTTCTTCATTTCATCATCTTTGTTTATTATTTAGGTGATCGACAAGGAAAATAAATAAACGTCACAGGTCGTGTCATTTTAATTGATAATCATGGCTGACGACAAAGCCGTTATTCCACCCGCGGTGGAAGAAAAGATCATGACCATCTTGAAAGCCGAAGCGCCGGAGGTGAGTTAGTTAAAAGTTGATGATGTACCTGGATGGTTCAGACTTCTTTCGTCTTTCATTTACGATTTCTTCGCTTTTTAGGCCATCGTCGTGCTAAAATTGGCAGGCAAGTACGAAGAAAAATACGGCAGCTCACTCAAACCGGACGAATTTGGATTTAAAACAGCGTTCGATATGATAAAATCTATTAAATCTGGGGTAAGCTAGAAAAATCTCCAATCTTCTTCAGCTAAACGTGCTTCTTTAAAATGCAAATTCATCATTAAGCTTTAATTCTTCTTTCTATGTCTTCTTCTGTCCTCAACAGGTTGACGTCTTCTTCCATGAAACGCTCCACCTCTGGGCGTGTAAGTACAAAGAACCAGTCTCCGTTGGGGATGCTAACGTCGTCGTGGACGAAGTTGACGGTGCGATGTCACCCAATTCAGATCCTCCGGCAAACGAAAATGGTAATGGTGGCGCAACTCCTGCCGAGTCTGGTGCCCTTCCACCTTCTGGCGCCAGCCAAGACAGTGACGTTCTGATGTTAGGGTCAGGAAGTACTGGTTTTAGCGGTGTTGGAGTGAGTATTCTTTAAGAGATGTTTTTGGTCATAAAAAATTAAATTCTTAATCGAAAATATTCAAAGATATGCATAATTGCTTTTTATTTATTCAAGTTTGACTAAAGGGCTAATCAAACGTGATGAATTTTATTTGGTCATAAGTTCCCCTAATTTATTTCAGCTCAAGGATGAAACCATCCTTATGGATACTGATTCGGAGGCGGACAAGGACAAAATGGACCTTCCCCCACCCGCTCACTCTGTCTCGTCTTTCGCCTCATCATCCGGGGCCTCCAACTCATCCATGCGTCGCAACCGACTTCCTCCACCTCCACCAAGTGTGGATTGGTCCTCCGGATCGAAGAGTATCCTTGGGAAACGTGGCGGATCTTTGATTGGAGGAGACAGTAAGAAGATGGACTTTGACGATACCGCGTCCATCAGTTCTGTCGACGAGTCGATCCCTGTCCAAGAACTCGCCAAGTTGGACCAAGATCGCCGAGGGGTAAAATACATTCCATTCGATCGGCAGCTGGAACCATTGACGTATGACGGTCTCGTCCTTGGAAGAACGATCGGCGTTCAAGAACCAGCCACCTATGTCGACACCACATTCTGTGCAAGGAACGTTTTGGAACATTTGATGGAAGTTAAGGTAGTTCGCCGCTTAAAAAATTAAACCACGTTTTTGATTCAAGGACATTTTTTAATTTCGGAAATGCACTTTGTTTAGTATCAAATTAGGAACGTGAGTGGGGAACGATACAAAGCTTTACAAGATCGCATGATGGATTTCGGTTCTGGTCCCGTATTTCACCACAGTGAGGCCTACCTACTCGCAAACATTGATGCCTTAACGAACTGGTCAATTACTAAACCCATCAACAAACACGGTGAGTTGCTAGTGGGGCAAAATGGACCTGAAATTCTCTACGTCGGAGATATTCACGGAGGGCCGGGCGGTTTTGCAGAGTGAGTTAAAAATCATATGAATGAATTATTCTTCAGCCCGATTGATTTTATTTTAAATTGTGGCATGTCTTCCAAGGTACGTTCTTTCACGAATGGGCTGGGGCGCCAAAGTGTTTGGTTACACTTTTACAGATGAAGCGTACGAATATCAACTCACGGCTTCTGGCCACTTTTCTCGAGAGTCTTTTGAGCGATGGATGGGTCGCGATGGGCGACGCGGGGATGGATCAATCTATCGACCTGAATTTGTCGACATGTTTGCTCGACACTGCAAACGAATTACGGGATGGCAAGGATTGCACGTCGTGCTGGCTGGTGGGGTGAGTCGACGTCGTTACATCTACAATAGAACATAGTTTCAAGCTACACTTGGATATTCCAGAGAGTTATATTTTAAAAATCGAGCCAAAAATTATGAATCATATGGCGCTTATCTTTCTGTTAAATGGGCTCTTAGAAAAATATATTTGGGGCAAAGTTCAATTTTTTAGTAAATTAGTAATAATATAATAATTAGCAATAATAGTATAATTAGTAATTTTCGTCTGGGGGCAAAAACTACGGCGAACGTGGGAACTTGCCCACAATACATTTCTTTAAAGAAAAGATTCAACGGAAATATAAGACCATATGATTTTGATATAACTTGATAGACAATCTCAGTATAGCTTGAAAAAAGATTACATTGGTAGTTAAACATGTTTATATATGGAAATGCCTTAACTTGTTCTAACTCTCAATCCAGCGCGAACTTACGCCAGGGTTGGATGAGGATAGGAAAGAATTGCGAGCCAAGGCTATGCTTCTCGCCGAAACGACGATTGCTCTTAAAAGTTTGAGAGAAGGTACTATTGTTAACCTGCTTTTAAATGAAATCGGAAGTAGCAGTCTGCCCCGATTTAGTTTAACTTTCCTCAATCTACTTATTCTCAGGTGGAACCTTTGTCCTCCGCCTCTACGATCTTTTCACCCCATTCACCGTTGGACTAGTATATCTCATTTACCGAGCATTCGACCAAGTGACAATTCTGCGCCCGGAGGCAGGTCGTCCTGGGAGCTCGGAGCGATTTTTGGTCGCGACTCAATTCAAGGGTGGGAAAGCTTGTCAGGAAATTGAATTATACTTGTGCTCTTGTCATTCGACTGATCATGCGTGTCACGTCAACCACAAGTATCCCGAAGATCAACAAGCCGACATTGTCGAGCTCGTGCCTGTGGACACGATCAAGAGTGCGGCCAGATTCTACGATTACATTTACGATTCAAATGCCAAGTGAGCTCATAAAATTAAACTATGACTTTAATCATATTTAAATACATTCCTCTTGTTTATGCAGTATCGGGTTCAAACAACTTGAAGAGACCGGTCGGCTCTGTAAAGGTATGCAGTTTATTTGCACAAAAAAGTAATTATTGTAACAATATTTATGCGTCATGCGAGTTTCATTTTTATTTTATTGCTTGTGCAGCCCTGCAATATCGGGATGACGGGAACGTTGTTAGAGACCGACTGTTCGACATTCGTCGCAAATGTTCCACCATGTGGAATTGTCCTCGTGCTTATCGACAAGAACCTAAACACATTGGATTAGCACCAGAAGTCTTTGCTAACAAGTTACTTCGACCATACCCAGAGAGTAAGTAAACTGGATTGTATTCTGCTAATAATTGTGGTTGCATGCATGTCTAATATTACTTTGTGTGCAGACGTTTTGCGTCGGGTGGAACGTGAGGGGGAAGTGTTGCTCACATATCCCGTGATGGAGAAGGATTTGAAAAATCCAAAGGAATGGAGCTTTGTCTGTGTCGGTCGTGACCGTGGATTTTACATGTCGATGGGTGGAGACAAAGTGTTCCGATTTTCGAGCGGGGAGTGGAAGGCGGTGACGGTGGATAATGTCGAGATGGCAGACCACACCTTGGTCTATGGCGATATTGTGGACGAAATTACCCACTTGGAAGGCAAACAGATAATAGTAACGGCATTCCACATTATTGATGGACTTATCTTGGGCAATAAAGACATTCGTAATTTGCCATACAACGAGAGGTACGTGAGATTAAAATTTTTAACAGTCTTGTATCTTACTTTAATGTGTGATGACTTTAGGATGGAGATGTGCGGTAGATTTGCCAAATCTATGGACAAGACGGCTCGTGAAGATTATATTCACATTAGGGGAAAGAAAACCTTGGATGCTACTCGGCTTGAGGCAGCTTTGGCATCGTGAGTTTTTTCACTACTCTTACACCAGTCAGTAGTATGCATTAATTTTATTGTAAATTTCTCCTCAGCGTGCACAAGGAGCAAGTGAAGGGTCGTGGTGACCGTAAGAAACGTCCCCTTGCCCCCGTGGACTTGTCAGAATCCAAAACCGCAGTCCACGCACACACAGGATATGTATTCCTCAAAACCATCAAGGAAGGTGGGAGTCCGGCAGATTTCTTGTAAGTAGTGTTTCGTCGCCTTTTATAGTTTAGTTGGACTTTTTTTGCTCAGAATCTTAAAAAAACTTTTGATCTCGCTTGCAGGACAACGATGCAAAATAGGCTGTACTGGCAGTTGGATGACACCCAGGATAGAAATCCCCAAGGACCGCTCCTCCCTCGACCGAAGGACCCCGTCAAGATGAAAAATACTGTTGTGTGTGCACCCGCTTTGGTCCATCACATCAGCAACATGGCAAATGCTAATTAATTCACGAAAATCTTCTTCGCAAACACAAGTTCAAGATAAGTTATGACTCAAGTGAAGTTCTACATTTCGTAAGATATCCAAGCTGTTAGAATAGTAGCAAAATTATCGTATGTTTTTCTACAATTATTTCAAAAATTGTCAAATTGTTATTCTTCGAGATTGCGTACAAAAAATATGCAAAAATGATTATTGTATTCCCATTTTACTTGTCAGTCAACTATTATTGGGGACATTTTGGATGAATTGTTTGTCCCCCGATCGATGCCCGTTGTTCTCATCTTTTGTTCACTTGTTGTTTCTTCACTTAAAAACTAAATCTTTTCTCTTATTCCTGTTTTAGTAGTTGGCTGATTCTCAATCTTGTTTTTTATGATGTTCCCTTCACACTGCGTTTTTGACTGCCCAATTCTTACAAATACTGGGTAACAGCGTGATTACTATTCAAGGCTAAATAAATCTGATTAGTTATTTTTTTCAAGAAACTTTGTAGTAATTAATTCTGAATACCATACAGATCTAATTTTACGTTAGAATAATATAATGAAATCATGATTTATTATGGTATAAAAAATTTGACCCTATTTGCAAAGTATTGATGAATTGTTAATAAAATTTTGAGAAAATGTGAAAAGTTGGTACTTTTGTTATTTATTAAATGGGTTAGTGCGTGGTCGACACGGTTCTATTTATGTAAGTAGCACCACCGGAGATCATTCTACATATTAGTTACATATTTGCATACGTATCGTATCAAAGTTTTTCTAGATAATTATCATACGTAAGAGTGAGGTAAAATCTAGCACCTAAAATTTCAAGAGATTATTATCCATGTAAAAATTCCTGGGTGGGTTGATTGGTTGGTTGTTGTGTTGGTTAACAGGTCTGCCTCTGGGTGACGAAGGTGGTGATGGGGAAGCTCTTCCTCAAACCGAGACACTTCTCCCGGTCGATGAAGAGGGAGTTGGCCTTGATTTTGAGGTCATGTTCCAAGCAGGCCTTGACCTTGAGGAGCTGCTGATGCGCGGCCTCCACTTCGCCCAACTTTCTCTGCAACTGTTCCAATGTCTCGTTCACATCTTGGATTTCGGACACGAGACGAAATTGGGCTTCATCTCGACACAACTCAATATCCGGTCGGTGGGTGCGTCGTTCGAGTCGGGTCTGCGCCACTTTGAGGGATGGAGCCTTGTCCTCGATCGATTTTCGGATGATGTCCATGTGCTTCTCCATGTCGTAAATTTCCTGTTGCACCTGAAAAGTCAAAGATTTGGATTAAGCGTGCCGACCAAATTTGGCACTCTGTTTGTCTCCCGAGATTTACCTTGCTCAAGTGGCACGCAATCTTGTTCTTGGCATCAAGCAATTCCGCGATTCTGAGAGCGAACGCGTTGTTGGTGTTATTCCACGCGGCCCAAGTCTCGTTGGCTGCCTGGACGAGCAAGTTGTCAATCATGGCGTGAACCTTTTGCGACGTTGCCCTCTCCGCCTTGGATCGCTTCAACAATGCCTCCGTGAACCCGGCCCACGTCTCTGGAATGCTCACCGTGGGGTCAATCTAAATATATGCACAGACAGATTTTCACATTCTGTCCCCATAAAGGACACCCTGAAACGTGTACCTTCTCGATTCCAGAGTGGAAAGCGATATCTTTCGAGTTGTTGTTGAGCTGCGCGGCTCCCGTGTCGATTTGGAAGGCCTGCTCTTTCCTCTGCAGGTCACGCTCGAGCTCATGGCGCGCCGCACGACCGCGAGCAAGGTGCGTGTTTATCCCGTCCAGTTGTTGACACAGCTTTTGCTGCCAGGCACGAATCGTCTCAATCTCGCAGAGCAAGGCTTGTTCAGCAGCGTCGTGGACGAGGTCGACGCCTAGCAATTTTTTAATTCATTTTTAATCACTACGTGTCAAAAGTGAGGTATTTATAGCTTATTTACTGACCCTGCCTCGCCTCTCTCGCGTACAAATTCTCCTGCGCAATGTGCAACGGTCCGTCCAACTCTTTAATCATCCGCTCCAACGTTTGCCTCGTCTCGAGGAGTTTGTGCGACTCGTGAACATTGACGTCGAGCTCCTTCATGATCTCCTGCTTCCAATAGTTGATGTCCGCTAAACGGTCCCCCAGCTTTTTGGAGGAGTCCATCTGTCCTCGCGAAGAGCGGTCGTCCGTCTCCCGGACCAAACGCAACGCCTCTGCACGAACCAGTTCGGACGTGTTGCGAGTACAGTCGGAGCCCGTGTAGGTTTGCTGGTTGTTGGCTTGCCAGTCGGACGGCGAGTATCTGAGGATAAGCATTTAGTTTACTTCTTAATGTCATAGATAAGGTCACGTGTAGATAAATAAGGTCATAGATAAGGTCACCTCGTGTAGAGGGCTGTTCTGGAGGCATGGGCAGCATTGACGTTGAACCCGGTGACGAGATTGGGGAACTTGAGAGGTTCCGTGGGACAGCCGTCGCCTGCATAGCCCGAGTCGTACATGCAGTACTCCTTCGACATTCCTGAGTAGAGGGACGTCTCGGGGGGCTTCTGGACGAGGGAGTGACGCCACGGCAGCGTCCGGAGGAGGGAAGTCACTCCTGGACGGGAACAACGGTCCGTCTTCGAAATCCATCCCTCACCTGGTGTTCAGCAATTTCATGTTATAACGACATTTGACTTGTTGGGGGACAAGTTTAAATTATTGGTAAATTAATGTGCACCTCGACACTCTCCATTCCATCCGCAGGATTTGGTCCTCGGCCCCTGGTCGATCTTGTTGACATCGGAGTAGGGCAGATTACACGCATTAGAACAGTACATTCTGATTTTCGTCACTCACTCACTCACCAAGAATAATTATCGCTCTCACACTTTTGGATGGGTCAATAAGGGTAAAAAGTATGGAGTAAAGAGTGCTTCACAATTTTATTCGTCCTTCTTTTTATCTCGCAATGCCAATTTTTCAATGTTGATTGATATTGATAGGTTGGCAGGACGATTGATTTTTTTAAGAGGTGACGATTCTCGTCTCTCTTCTCTTATCTCTTCTCTGATCTCTCCGGCTCGTAATCTTCTTGGGTACCATTTATGACGGCGTCACTACCACCGCCATCCCACAACAACGGCGTCTCTTCGTATCTGTTGCAACAATATATTGTTTTAACAAGTTAATTAAAACATATAGATTACCATTAAAAAAATTCTACTAGTGTACATTCTTGTTAAAATAATTAGTCAAATGGGACATAAAACTTGTGGTTTCAGAGATTTCTATACGATTATTTGCATTTATTAATTTTGTATGTATATACATATAATTTTTTGCTGAATAAATTATAAATTAGATTTATATTTGATTGAAATTCAATGAATTTTTGACGACGGAAGTAAAAAAAATGGAGAAGAATTAGGTGGAGGCAGATTGAGACATTTTTAATAAAAGAAAAAAATAGTGAAAAGTTGGCTGGAGGCAGATTGAGACGTCCTTCTCACCTGCTAATATTTGCACCAGAATCCTCCACCCCCACGTTGAAGGGTCGTTGGTTTGACCTAGCTAGTAGTTCTTCCTCCGAGTAGAAGCCCTGCTGGCCACCGCCTTGGCGCAGCAGCCCGATCCGGTCACGAGAACTGTTCCGAGCCACGTCAAACAGGATGAAGACAAAGTTGAAGAGGAATCTGGATGGGGAGAGAAAATGTATGTGAGGGGGAATTTTATTCGGAAATTTATCATTAAATTTATAATTTACTACCTGAAGAAGGAGCCTATGGACGGACTTCCGGAGAAAGTGGCGAGGTGGAGGATGAAGAGGACGAGGAGGACGAGGGCGATCAAGGAGCAGCAACAGTGACGCATGGGACGGATTGGTCAATATTATTATTTAGGCATCGATTACACAAATTCCTTCAGTTCAGCATTTCCTATACATACACAAAAGTATGTAAATATCCAAATCAGAACAAGGGAATAATGTGGGCGAGAGGCAAGTTGAGACTGTCAATTGTTCTCTCGTATATCGATTACACAAATTCCTGCAGAGTGAGAATGCCAGAGTCTGCTGAGGGGAAAAAATGTAGGCGAGAGGCAAGTTGAGATATCGATTATATTAATCCCTTTATCATTCCTTATACACAAAAGTAGATATCCAAGACAGAACAAAAATATGTATATGAGAAAGTGTAGGCGAGAGGCAAGTTGAGACTGCCAATTGTTCTCTCGCACATATCGATTACACAAATTCCTGCAGGCAGAGTGAGAAAGTAGGGTCTGGTCACAGCAGGAGGCAGGTTGAGACACACTTTTTCCTTGTGTTGAGAGAAAGTAAAGTGTACAAATAATAAATCGGGGATGGAAAGCTTCCTTCCTTCCGTTCCGTGGTGCTAATGGAAGTGGGACACGCGATGCAAATCACCACAATCGTTCAGATAATGATCCGTGTGGTTAAACATGTTGAACTGGAGGACAATGGAGGAGGAGGATTTGATAAAATGATTACAAAGGTACACATGCATACATTCAGCCCTTTATCCCCTCTACAAATCACGGGTATAAGAAAAATCTGATTTGTTTGAGGTGAACTTTCTCCTCTATCGCAAATCCAAACGAGGAGATATGTAGTACAGATCGATTTATTTATTATTTTTGCAATAATTTGACACCTTTTGGTTTGGTTTTGGATTCAAAAACTCATTCTCACGAATGAACGATTGCAAAATTTTTATAAATATAATAATTTTATGAGAAAGTTTGTATCGAAGTTTGCTCACCTGTAATCACATGTATTTATCGTGTATGCGAGGAGTAAATTATGATCAATTTCGCGGTAGGTGTGATATTTTTGGCACTAGATGCATAATCTTTTACACGGACAAGATTATGCTATTCCCACTTTCTGTAATGCAATGCAGTTCGACACAAATTAGATTTTATCAGAGTCACAAGATTACTATTTGAATACGTTTCACTTTTCACTGATTTTGAGAAAGTGAAGTTGATTTAGTTTTGAATTCGGATATGATAAGTATGAAGCAACTTTATTGACCTCTTGACCAGCGGTTGTGGTAATAGTCGCGTGGCTAGAGCCCGACTAAAACTAGGATGGGAGGAAGAAGCCACCACTTTCACCCTGCTCACTTTCTCTGCCTCCACTCCAAAGTGCAAATACATAGGAAAGGAAAAACGTCCAGTAATGAGTGGGCGGATGGTGTCGTTCGAAAGACATTGTTTGTTAAATACAGGTTATTTTGTTTCATCAAAAATCAATCACAAAACGTAAAGTCGAGCGTGTAGGTATGAGCCAAAATGCAAAATATTTACTTTCTCTCCTTTGTATCTATTGAATTGAAGTGGCATAAATATGAAAAAAAATTCTTATTTGAGGGCGTTGAATTAGAAAAGTATTATTATTACAGTGAGAACTACATACTTGTAAAACGTTTTCATTTGTACGATTGTACGATTTTAAAGCTAGAGAAAATATATTTTTCAGAAAACATAATAGAATTTTACGTCTTTTCAAAATGCAAATAAATGCAATTTGATGTATCTATTACAAAAATGGTTATAGAATAACCTTCTCCCAATTTGGATTTATTTTTTTTTTCAATCGCTAGCTATAAAATACCGAATTGTCCTTCCCCTGCTGTCCCCTAACTCTGCCATAATTGTTGAATAGGCTAAAAGTGCGTACCACATAGATACATGTACTTATACCATAAAAGGTGCGTCTGTTTACCTGTCTGTGTGTGTGTGCGTGCGTGCGTGTCATCATCATAATGAAAGTCATCATTTTATTATCACACACATCCGTGACTTCTTGAGCTATTTATGTAACGTGGCTCACAAAAGTAAGGCACTAGAAAATATAGGTATAGGCCAGGCACGTTGTTAATTGATAATTTTTGCCATAATTCCATTACCCGATTGTCCAGTCCAGACCATAGTCCATCAGCCATCATAAATACTTTCATTACTTTCACCATCCAACCTAACCTGCCCATTAAAACAATTCTCTCCCCACGCACAACAAAATCCGATTTAGTGATTGAAAATGAAGCACAAACTGTATCAAAATTTAACGACTACACAACCCATAGAAAATCCATAGACGATACTGACATGACATAATTTTATAGAATTACGCTTGAAATTAAATATCTATCCTTTCATTCCATATCCTTTCCTTAATTTGATATGATTCTACCCTCGCCCAATCGGAATCGGAACTTTTTGGCTTTCACTTTCCATTACTCGCTGATTAATATGCATGCACATTGGTTGGTCGTTCAGAAGAGTTTCACCTGACTGAATGGGTGTGGTTTGTCTCAGGTGGCGTACGTTAACCTGGACATTTTTCGTTCAGCTCTTCCATTCGTCTGGGCTGAACACTTAAGATCAGAGTAAACATTTTCCTAAGCGTCCATTGTACTTTCTCTCACCCTTTTTCTTCTTCGTCTTCCTTCTCCTCTATTATGCCCACCTCAGAATGTGACGTTTCCATCTCACTAACGAAGTCGCTAATTTGTATGGCGAGAGAGATGAGTGGAGTGTCAACAGAATTAAGAGGTCGACGTCGACCCACACCGTCAGTCACCACACCCATCATTCATCCGAATAAATTGTATGGCATGGAAAAATTACTATTTAAACAAGGAAGAAACCAGACAAGAATTGGAGCGTGGAGAGAAAGTATAAATTTCCGCATTTAGCCATTAATACTTTCGCCTTCTCCACGTTCACTTAAAATGAGGTCTCTCCGATTTTAACCAAACTAGTGCCAATCGACCGTAAATTTAATTAATATGGCATTTACAAATGACACGACCTATTAAAGCTCACGTTTGGCAGAGATATTTGCATGGAAAGAGGAGAAAACGCTCCATAAAGTTGACACACGTTCTAAATTTACTGCGCGTAATGGCGTAATTTACTGCTCTGCTGGGAGATCTCCATTATTTATTAATCGGAAAAAATCTAAATTGATGTGGACAAATTACATGTTGCGTATGTATCAAAATTCCTTTATTTCTTTTCTATATTGTTATTTATGTATATAAAATCAGGTAATGCTACTACGAGAAATGCTACAGAGAGTTCTGGTTATCTCGCTCTCTTATCATCTATCGTTAATCGTCTTATTACAAGATACACAAATTACTTTTAGGTAGCGACAATCGTTAATCAATCCCAACAGGAGTTAAGTAATTTCAGCAGTCTGTCATAAAAGCCATATGTATCAATTTTTTGCATAAATAACTATGTAAAAGTAGTGGTGTGAATTAAAACTAGTAAAATTAATGGTAATGGGTAGTTATAAACTCCACCAGCCCTGAAATACATTCTCCTCACAAATCAGTCATCATTAAGTGTAAATGAAACATTATTAATTAATAAATGGTAAATATTATGATCACAATTATTAATTTAATAAATTAGCTAAAAAATAAATCAATGACGAGGTATGTATATATCTCATCATAAATTAAAATAGTCTACAAAATACGTTATTAATTAGTTAAATTAAGTATGTATATAATTAAGTATATGGTAAATATACACTACTCAATAAAATCTGAATCTTGTTTTTTAAGTAGCTCAAGCAATTATACTTTAGTTTGACACTTGGTTCCTTTCCGTATCTAGCTAGACAACGCTCCTTCTCCTCCACATTCCTCAATTGCACAACCAAAAATATAAGAATTTTCATAATACATATTTAAGTTCTACTCATAATAGTAATTTCAGCAGACATCATGATTTCAAGTAAATGAAGAAGATTGGATACTACACGATTTTATAATCTTTTTTCTTGAGCCGACAATTAGAATTGAGGTACTTTCACTTATAGTTCATCATCTACACTACTACTAACTAATCAACCGCAAGTACTACGCTTTTCATTCTCCAAGGAACATTACATCGAAATATAAAATAGACTGACTATACTTCACTTCTAAACTTATCAGTCATACAAATTGAAATTTATTTTTGAGCACGACACACATTCCCAGATATTCGAGCTGATTATTTCAGGTAGATAAAATTATTACGCTCTTATTACATACGCGAGGGATTCACAACTTTAAGAAATACTGACATGTGGAGTGGACTGGATTAATTAGAGCGGAGGATGAGGAGGAATTATAAGTATGTAAGCAAGCAGCAGTATGTTGTAAGTAGCAGCAGAATGCACAAGTTGTTTTCTTTAAGAACAATTCACTTCATTATTGTTTCATCGTCAAGATAAGATGATGATAAGCTGATTATTTATGTGAGAAGCTCGACATAGTTTGCTGGGAAAAGTCCGTACTGTTAAATAATCAAATTATTCAATTATTGTTCTGAACTACCTGTAGATGAATTATATATGTTAGTTGTGTAACGAACCTGCTCGTTCGGCCCCAGCCCTTCCCACCAACCATCATCAATCTTCTCAATGTTTCGGATTATGTCTCCCGGATCGAAAGTGATTTCCGTCTCGTCCGCTGCAAAAGAAAACAAACCAAATTGACTAAATTATTAAAAGTTTATATAATTAAGTATAAAGGATAATACCCACCCGCTTGGTAGTCGTACAATGCTCTGGCACACACTCCCATTTCCGGTGTGATATTGATGCTGATAATTGACGAAGAATCTCCACCATTCGTGTACGAATTTGTAGCTGGAACTGGAGATGGAGGAATCGGTGAAGGGGATGATGCTGTATTTCTACCCCCGTTGTGTTGCTCGTGAGCCGCGGAGCGAACGGTATTATCCTCCCGAATGGGAACGTGGTCCTCCTTGGCGTTTTGGAATTGTTGGGGTGGCGGAGGAGTGGGCGATGGTGGCGTCGGACTGGGTACTTTCTCCACGACTGGAGCCGGTGAAATGCTGGTCTTGGTGGGTGACACTACTCCCGGATTGTTGAAGAAGGCGGGTTGCTGTTGGGCTGGTGGGGGGCTCACGGGAAGTGGCGGAGACTGAAAATGGACAGTAGGACTTGTCACATTCCTCTTATTATTGTGGTCTTCATCGTAGTTATTTTCGTAATCATTGTTCGAACTGGCGACGACGGTAGGTTTCGTCACTTCTGGTTGTGATGTTGTGATGGGTTGCTCTTTTTTCTTTTCTTGTTGCTTCTTTTTCTTCTCCTCCTCCAGTTTTTTGGCCGCCTCTTCCTGCATGAGGCGAATCTCGTCGGCTGGATTTCTTCTCGTGATTGTGTTAGAAGAATTTTCAGACGAGGGTGATTTTCCCGATTCGAAGAGTTGTTTCCGCTTGAGCACGCTGAGACTGTCCCCATTCACAGGGGCTGCTGGAGGTGGTGTAGAGGAGGAGACGACTGGAGAAGGGGATTTTCCTCCACTAATCGACGCCATTTTGTTTATTGAATTAATCCCATTGCTCATTCTTGGTGGCGTGGTAGTGGTGGACGAAGGGAAAACAGGGCCAGAACTACCTCCGTCAAACGATTTAATTCTTGAGCGAACCAAGTCTGAATTGTTCTTCTTCATGGGCATAGAAGCCTGCAATGCAGCAGTACGTTCGGCACCAACGCCACCGGATGAAGGAGATGATGTAAAACCTACGTGAGAGGACCTCATTTTATAAATTGAGTGTGGGTTATGCATGTATATCTTATCATATTTATTATGCATACCTCGTACTGATGGCGCTGTTGGCGGCGTGGGTGACACAGAATTTGACTTGTTGATCCCACTGCCGCCCCCATTGGTGGTTATTGTCGTTCCTCCATTAATTTGTGGTTTCGGTGAGGCTATCTTTTCAGCTTCCTCCTCCCTCTCGAAATAATCCTGACTTTCCCTCCTCAAGAGTTTGACCTCTGCTTGGGAAAATTTTCTCTCCAGTCCTTTCTCTTCCCTTCGTCTCCGTTCCTCTTCTGCCTGATCCTTCCGCCAAAAGTCGTCCTTCGCCTTGGCGTTAATTTCCTCTTGTGGGTTAACCCGCTTGTAATTGGATCCGATGGGGTGAGAGCCCGTGTCGTTCATTGAGTCCGACTCATCCGTAGAAGGGACCAGTTTAATCCCTTCTCCAGCTATTGCTTTCCCCACCATGCCCAAAACAACGTCGGGCTCGACATCTTCATCCGTTCGGGCATGTAGTGAAATATGGACGCCCTTAAAAAATCCACGAACAATGTCCACCTATAAAATAAGGAAAATTGTATTAATACAATTAATATATTACATTATATGTACATATTTATTTTGTTTCGTTTAACAATTTTGTTAATAGATAACAATAATTATTTACATGATTGGCAGAAACTCCTTTCCTGACGAGGGGAGCACCTTCGCCTTGCTGAAATAATACGGGATAAACGAACGATATACAATTAAAAAGTTAATTAAGCGACAAATTAATTATTCCTCTCACCCAATTAATGAGAACGATTTTCTCCACATTTTTCTCTTTTATTTTGACTCGACAAAGGGCGTACTGGATTTTACCAGAGTTAAATTCCTCAATCAATTCGTTCAAACCTCCATCTAAGAGTTAACAAGGATCGAATTAAACGCAAATTCTTACAAAAATTTGGACGATAAGTCGGTCCTTAACTTACCCCCTTTCCCGACCAGATTAAGGTCATACGTTAGTCCATCATAGCCAAATAAAGCCCTGTCAAACAGAAAAACACAATCATATTTTAATCCCCCAATTATTCATTAAAAATAATTACCAGTCGATCGGATTTCTCTCGTCCAACACTTCCTTCCAAGCGTGGACCAATACACTCTTGTTCTTGTCCAGATTTAGTGTCATCTTTAAACTACTAGTTTCCTGCATTAAAGCCAATCAAACAATAAATTTTAACAAACTTCACTTTAGTCACATCTCAAAATCACAAGAATTTATAAATTATAAACGGTTCCCAATAAATAAATATCTATCTTCGAACTTTCTCTCCTACAAATATTCTTGTTAGTTACTTACCTCTAGTGGTAATTAAGTCGCAAATTAATAACTAATTATCGTCTCCTTCCTCACTCAATTGTCGGCAAGAAGAGTAGAAATTTATTTATTTATTTATATTCCCAATGTGAAGGATAGGCAGCAGATGCACCGTTGACAAGAGCGAGTGAGCGAGTGTTTGTGAGGGTGGAGGATGAAAGAGAAACTGACACTAGGCTTTTTACAGAAAACTACGCTTATTAGTCATCCTTTACATGCACAACACATACACAAGAAGCAAAGGGCTAAAATATTATTGTGATGATGTCGACGAGAAGATGAGATGGGATATTCTTCCCATTCACTATTTAATGAAAATGCAAAGTCCATCAATAAACAGACAGAGAAGGAAAGAAGGGATAGGTTGTTATTGTAGAAAGTCGTGCTCTGCGTGTGGTTTATGAGTTTAAAATGGTTCACACTTGAGAATGTGGCGTCGTCCTTGTGGGCTATGAGATGACAGACACCAAGCAGGCACCCTTTGGGCCTCTGATCCTAATTTTGTAATACTTACTTGTTTATAAAGATCCAAAGGAGCTCAGGATCAGTGAATCAATCGATCCACCTACAAAGTTATAGTTGATGACTTCATGACATGACAGCAGTCATTGCTCAACAGTATTATCTGCGTGGTCTTCTCCCGTCGTCCTTCTTCCTGTTATCATCAGACTCATTGAAACACTATTTTAACTGTAAAAACAACAAGAGATAAAAGCCGTGATAATGTGGCAGACGGGTATGAGTTGGTCTGCATAATTTATATGCACAAGTATGTATAGGAGAAGGAAAAGGTTTGAAGCGTGGGAGGATTCTCATACAAACGTGTGCAGTTAAACTAAACCTGCAATTCATTCAAGTTTTGCATTTGATGAACCCATAATAATACGCCAAACTTAACCTCAGCATACATCACAACCACCACCACCAACGCAGCAGCAGCGTTAATTACTTTTCTTCCTGCCCCCAAACATAAATATACATACAAATTGAGTCAATAAATAATGGAACGGATGAATCAACAAGAGTCAAGAGCATATATAGTGTATAACTACTTTTAGACTGAAATGGTATCAATCAAGAAGACACGTCCTGGTGTACAGCTATGTAAAAGTACCCTCGAGGGAAACATTTAATCTGCTGAGTTCCATCGTCACCACCGCCACCGCCCCATTAAAGCAAATAACCCTTGTAAACTTTGCACTTCCTCGCTCATTATTTTTGCATGAATTCATTGAGGATTGCGATTTTCATTAGACTTTAACCAATACATGTTGCAAAATCAAATCAATGCATGAGAATGAATGAGGAGGTCGATTCATTCAAAAATGGAAACTTTAAACATTTCAATTCAGAACCTGTTACAAAGATATTTTTCATGTTTTTCTTATTACATGTAATAAAACGAGAGTTAAATTCTAACAAGCGAATAATAATGACATTCTTGACTGAAACAGTGTTGACGATTTTTTTGGCATAGCACAATCAAGTATTTCCTATAAAATAATGAATGAATCATGTGTGTATATCAAAATTTTATAGATTATGTATCATAAGCTAACTAATTTTATTCTAAATGAGGCTAATCCCACCGCCATAAAACTCAATTCTTTCTTGCGGCTGGACAAACGCTAGCCAATCTGACGAGTGGGTGGGGAGTAGTCCCATCGACTGACATTTGTACAACGCCAGGCCTAAATTCACCAAGTTTCCGAAGCAGTAAGCCATCTTTTGAACAATGTGATGACTCCCTTCGATCATTTTAAAGGCGGATGTGATCCCGAGCATGGCCTGAAAAGAGGCAATTACCAATTTATATGTATACCACAACCTGTTTAACCAGTAAACTATGAATACCCACCTTAATTGGACGCATAAATAACATCCCCACCATCATAATTGGAAAGATGGAGATTGAATTTCCAGCCATGTACATTAAAAACAGGTTCATGGGGACCTTTAATACAACGACGTTATATTAAATTTATCTAATGAATAGCGGAACTATTGAATAGCGCTGATACCTGTTTAATCGGAGCCAATGCAAAGTCCCATGACCTTTTGACAATCAGATTCGGGTCAATATCTCTCGAAACTTCAGTATGATGGTGAGCAACGTTGGAACTGAAACCAGGTGGGGAGGCAAGGGAGTCGTTGCGATTTCTACGAATGGATAACAATTACTCAGTTAAATTATTTAATTAATCGTTTATTAAGATTTATATATATAATTAAATTGTAGACTACAATTTGTCGTTATTATACCTTTGCTGTGGGGGATTGAATTCCAACGTCCATCGTAACAATCCCTTCTTTTGTTGGCCAGAAGATTTTGTGGTGGAGACGCTCATTTTCTACTTGGCTTATACACAATTTAAACAAGATTAGCTAATTAATTTTCAAAAAAATATATAACTTGGAGTGATTGATGGTGACTGCATCAAGAAGAACTTCCCGGGCGGCCAGGTACAACGTGCACACTTCACAGGAGCAGTTCATCCACGTGCGGTTTTTTGTTTAATTAATTATTATTTTACTGCAAAATGGACTTTATTGGACAAGAGGAAGAATTTGTAGACCGTTCTAAAAAACGGAAATCTGGAGGAAGGCCAGCTATCAATAAGAAGACAAAGTTGAATTTGGTTTTCGATCCAGAAGCGAGAAGGTACATAAAACTGTAAAATTGTAATTTCTTTACATAAATAAAATAGTACGATATATTATGAATTGATTTCTTTACATTTAGAAAGTTTTTGACCGGCTTCCGTAAAAGGAAACAGGAACGAAAGGAACGCTACCAAGAAAAATTGGAGAGAGAACTGGCAGAAGAGAAGATTCGATCGCGAGAGGAGGTATTAAACAAATTGCTTATTAATTACTAATTATTGCAACTATAAACTATTATAGTTATATTTTATTACAATAGGCTAAAAAAACCGTTGCCAAAAAGCAATCTTCTTCCCATTCGGTCCTCCCCGAGGTAGAGCATCTCTTAGAATCCTCCTCGGAGGACGAAGAGGAAGCGTTGATGGCCCCCTCGACTTTCTCCATTGGATCCACCACCGTCTCCATCTCCTCCCTTGATAGCAAAATGTTTCCCAACAGGAATCAACAATTCGTCAAAACTGAAGACAACAGCTCGGATTCCGACTCGGAATCTCCCCTCCTCAATTACCCAAAGAAAACCACCACGATTACTAACCCCCCTGCCTCAAATCCTCCTCCCACCAACCTCACCACGGAACAGAAGGACGCTCTAAAGCTTAAAAAACTAAAATCCGTCTTAAAGAACCCTCTCGCTGCGGCTAACAAGACAAAAACGGCCACTCTCGTACGGAAAGAAGCACACCGAATCCTCCAACATTCCTCCATTTACAAGAAAACGTTACAAATTAAGCAGCGACGGAGTAAAAAGTTCAAGTTGAACAGATTCCAGCCCCAAGAGGAGGAGAACAAGAGTTCGTCCGGTGGTGGGGGGAAGAACATGAGCAGCAAAAAGAAAGCAGCGGCTGCAAAGGTGAAAGTTAAATCTAGAGGAAGGGTCACCAAGTAAGAAGCAGAAGAAAGGAGAACACTTTATTATTAGATATCATTTTTTTCTCAAGAATTACTAATTAATTGTGAACGTTATCTTTTTCTTGTGAATTCTTATGTTCATCATAAACAGCGGGTTTGTATTGAAGCCTGTGCAGAGCGTGATGCGATTAACTTTCCAGTCTTTTTATTTCTTTCGCGATGAGAGAGGGCATAAAGAGGGAGAGATGGCATTGGAATAGTGTGGGGTCTACCTGCTCACGTCGATATCTTTTCCCAAGAACTTGTCCATGTTTCCCATCTTTCGTGCCTTATGGCTGGAAAAGTCGGACGTGTCTTCATAATTTCCTGTTGATTAGGAAGATATCATCAACAATTCATGTCCAATTATTGCTGATACCCAATCAATTTATATTTAAAGTGGGTCATGCCTACCCGACTCTTCCACTTCGATTTCAACTATTTTAGTCTCTTTTTTATTCCTGCCTCCAGATTCGTCCACTTCCGAGTCCGTGTCAGAGTCGAACTGGAGGGCTCTTCTGACATAGGGCGGTACCGCGCGAGGGTCCCTGTCGTACATGAAGTGGTGAACTATGATCAGGATCATCACGATGGCCACACTGCGACATAGTAATATACGCAACCAGTGACCAAATGACCACTTACATGACATGACCATCAAGCTCTTACTTACTAGAACAAGCCCGCTACCACCAGAGCTGCTGCCATGATCATGAAACATTGTATAATTACGATACCCACAGAATCTGGACTTCGAAAGCGTCTGTGAAGCAAATAGTACATAATATTTATTAGTTAGCACGCGATGGCCATGACTTTAAATCCATGTTGACCATACATGTCGGACAAACCAGAAAGTGCCTCTTTTTTCGGACCAACCGCAGGAAGCGACATTCTTGGGGGTTTGCAGCAGGCAGAAATTTCTGACTATTCTACGTAGTATGGAAATGACGACATGACACTAGAATTGGTATGGTCATGGTCCATTGTTAGTTTATCTGCTAAAAATCCATATTTGCAACAATTGATCCATATTCGTATGTAACTACGGAGTTAATATATTTGCGAAAAATGTCAAAATCAGTGAGGGTATTCATTATTTCTTCGTATCCTTAGCATCCTTCTTATCGTAAAATAACTTTTACGAAAACAACTCTCATATTATTCGAGAACACTGGCAATCGTTAAAAAGACAGGATTCTCCTTCTGAGCCTTCATTTTCTTTGTCTTCTTCTTCTCAATCTTCAAGAGTTACAAGAGGCGCAAACGACTCTGTCATAATTCTCTCACTTTTACGAGATTTTGTAAGCGTCTTTGACATCGTAAAACGCGTTACTACGCTAACGATTTTTTTGACCCGGCTTGTTTTATCTTCGTAAACTATTTTACGATACGAAGGATACCGTTTCTGGGGGGTTTGCTACATTTCTTGCACTGCAAGAAAGTACGAAATGCGATAACATGAACGCCAAGCTGTCGAAATAAAGTAGTTTAAAAAATACTAAATTTTTAATGCGTAATATAATGAATGGAATTGTAACGTTCTAGGTTTTGAAATCTTTTTTTTATTCTCTTCAACTTCTTTTTTATCATTTGACTTTTCTTATTTTGCTTAATTTGTATTTTTTGTATCACTTTTGTTTTTTGAAAAGACTAAAATTTTTGGAAACATTATTCTTCTCTTCTTTTAATAAATTAAGTCAAGAATGACAGACGAGACAATAATTATGTATCTATCTGCAATTCTATAACTTAATTGATTAATTAACTATAATTAATACAAAATATGGGATACTAGAAATATTTAGTAGGCATAGGTTTGTGTGGAGGTGGAAATAAAATGACAATCAATATTCGACATTGATCTCGGGAAGTGAGTGAAAATGGGATGCGAGTTTTTTTTACATATAATTTAGTTAAAATCTAAATATACGTAGCTTTATAATCGACCTGAAACAATTTATTATTAGAATTATTGCGCGGATTTATTAATAATGTATTTGCGCGATAAGCGATTATCTGTCCCGTCCTCGTTACACACATTCAAAACATTGCGAAATTGATTTTGCATCATTCTTTTGCCCTCTTGACGCCACACACCAGATTCTAAAATTATCCTCTAATATGCCATTCTCATAATAATAAAACTTTACGATTAACTAATTAACAATGAAATTATGACGCGGCATATTAAGTAACATAATTAAAAATAATGTCCACTGGAATTCTATAAAATATTAATACGCGAGCGAGCAGAGATCTAAAAAATTAGCCAATCCAAAAAACTACGGTAATAAATAATACGACCATCACCGCTCACGCCATGATTGATAAGCCACTATCTGGAACAGAGGAGGAGGTTTGTCGTTTGTCCTTAATTAGTCAACTATAAGTACACACTAATTACTAATCATACTTAAGATTACTATTTACATTTGCATATTATGTATCGTCTACTATTTACAAGTTATTTATTATTCCATGTCACGGCGAATTATAGCGAGCAACTTTATAATTAATTGCTGCTGCATCAATGTATTTTAAACTTAATTAAATATTACATTCTTGACTAAACTTACAAGTAAGTTTACTTCCTTCGTCGCTATCTACTTATACAATTTAACCCTGCTGCAAAATAATTCATCATTCCTAATAAATTCCCCGACTTGACTAAATTGAAAAGCCCAGCAGAGAATTTTTTGACAAAAATTGATATTTATGTTAAAACCACGATTAATTAATTACTTAAACTTAACTAATTCTTCTTGTATGTATGTCATCTTTACTAATTCAGGTCAACTTTTTTCCGACTATGCATGTCGCACATATTAATTAACAATGCACAAATATTACTTTAATATTTACCACGTACGACACACGTCCCTGCCAATACTTTTGCCCTTCGCTTTCTTTCTATCACAATAATTAGAGAATCGGTAAAAATTATGATTTAAAGATTCATAATAATAATCATTAACACCATAATTTGAGAAGAAAGGTTGTTTGTTGTGGGGGTCAGAAAAATGGATCAAAAAATCAGACTGATATTAAAGATAGTAATGAAATGTCGCGATACTCATATTACCAATGTACATAATTAGCATAATCTCCGAGGTGTGGCAAATACATTCTCTCCATCCAACTTTCACCACCAAACTCACTGATCAGGCAGGTATTAAGCACTTATTTAGTATGTAAGAAGGTTATCTTGTATATTATTATGTGGATTGATAAGCTCTTATTTTTTCAATACTCCACCCATCACCACACCACCACACGCACTTTTTTGCAAGATTCTTCTCAACTTGTTGGTCTTCTTAATTGAAATCCGCCAGTAGAGAATCCACACCGCTACCGCATCCCCCCTTGCCCTTTTTTCCACTATCTACCTCCTCGTCTCCGTCTTCATCCCCACATGAGTAGATGGACAGCGTGGCGATGTAATCGTTACTCATGACTTCAAAGATAAGGTCTTGCACCCCGTAGCACAAGCTGGGTCCGAAAGGGTTGGAGGCAGACGAGCGAGTTAACACAACGGGCTTTTCCAACTTGAGTCGCTCGGCTTTCTCGGCCCACAGAAAATTCCGAATTTCCTCCCATCTCGAGTCCCACTTGATTTCGAGCGAGGTGGCTGTCGACGTGGCAGTTGGGACAGCACTCGTGGGCAGAATTGGAGCAGCCGAGGATGCTGCAGCCGTCATGGGTCCCTCTTCCGAAGGGGGCGACGATTTTTCAGAGGATGAACTATTTATACACATTTATTGTAGTTCTTTAGAGTATTAGTCACTTAACGTAGGATTCGATGACTTATGGTCAAAATCGTAAAAATCAGCACATTGTTAATCATTTCTAGACCCTGGCAATTGATTGTAAAATTCTGGATGACAAACTTGTAGAGTAGGTCGTTGCCAATTAAAAAAATATACACTCCAGATTTTTACAGTTTTTGAAGGAGGATATCAAGCTTCTTCAGAAAAATTGGAAATTATCGAAACTGACTTAAAAAACTCACTGCCATTCTAGTGTCTTTCAGAATTTCAAGCTAAATTCCCAAAACCGAGAAATGATTAAAACTGCATTGATTTTTTTGATTTTGGTAATTAGTCATGAAGTGCTACATTAAAAAATGTGGTCAAGAAATGGAGAAGGTACTCACTTTGAACTGTCAGTGTTGGACGGTGAGGATGAACAGGCTGTTGATAATTGTCCCTTGTTTTTGTTATTGTTCTTTTTATTCTTCTTATTGTTCTTTCCTCCTCCTCCTTGATTTTGTGGTGGTTGTGGGGGTGGCATAATTTCTGGTTCTGGTGGTTCATGGATCGTAACTTTATCCAAGTGTAGTAAATCCGTCGGGTTTGGGTTGAGGTTGCCCAGGTTGAGAAGTTTGTCCAGGTGGTGGCCACCAGTCTGAGTGGGCGTAACTCGGCCCAAAATCAAGCTAAAGGGTGATCTGTGATAGTCGGTGAAGTCATAATGTCCCGGAAAGTTAGTGTGGAGGATAAACTTTATCACACTGTTCGTCGTCGCGTCAAAGAGCACGTCCTGAAGAACAAAGAAAAAATTCATGTAAAATTAATGTACAGAGAGCGCTAACAAAACAACATTTAAAATGCGCATCAAACTTACAATCCCAAGTGTAAAATAGTTAAAGAAATAGTCCGACTTTTCCGCCGCTACTTTTTTGTGAGCCTCCTTCGAATGAATCTTCATCTTGTCGTCACTCTTGTAGCAAACTTTATTCGGATTTCCCAACTTTGAGGCGATGCTAAAATTATTATTCGTTAAAATCATTAATCACAAAATAAAATTGTACTTAAAATAATACGTTGTCGCGTGTCGTATTATGTAAACTGACCTTTGTGCCGACTCTCCAAAAAAGACGGACCTCTCAAAAGTGGCCGGCTCGGCAGCCTCCAACTCCAACAAGGCGTCCGTCGACTGGGCAAACATGTCCAGCTTGAGACCCAACGTTCTCGTCCGTGAGGGTGTGCGAAGAACGACACACTCTCTACAAAAGACGTTTCCCCTGAAGCAGGAGGGCGGCAGAGGTGGGATGGGAGCCTCTGCAGGGCAACCACTGCTCCCTTGGTAGATCACCATTCGGCTGAGAACGGGTGTGGACTCACCCGGAAAGCGGAGACTGCCCAACCCATGAGAGTAGTGGGGCTGGAAGTGGGAATCGATGGGAAAGTAGAAACTTAGTCCACGGAAATTGAGGACAAATAGGGCTCGTTCCTTGTCAAAGGTTCCTACGAGAGGAAAAGAATCAATAACGTAACATAAAGTTATAATTTGACACAATTTGCTGTCTATTTAAATATGTACCAGGACGGGTGGCTCCAAATGCGTGGTCGATTTGATGCACGGTTGGAATTACTTCGGATCCGTTGAACACGGTGCCACTGTGAAGAGAAAACCAAAAATTAGTCGCAGTTCTTCCCCTTAAAATATGATCACGCTCTCACCAGTATTTGAGTCGGACCAGTTTTAACTGTAAATAATATAGCATTTAGTGAATCTCGATACCTCCGTGAACACGAGGAATGCATAAACTCGCATTACACATCGTCATTCATGTGAATAAAATATAAATACCTGATAAATCTCGATTAGTTTAAGTCGCTGAGTCTTTGAATCGAAAATTAATCTAAATCCGTCACTGGGTAGATCCAAGATGAGATCGTGGCTGAGTGGATTCTGCAATATTTCGAAAATTCTTCATTTCATTGCATAATTCATGACCAATTTTGTTCCAAAGAATCGTTTTTTGCACTCAGTTTCTAATCATCACAAACGATACGAAACGACACTGACCGGAGTGCATTTACTTTACATAGTTCATGACCACCAATAAATAGCCACACGAAAAGTTCAATGAATATTATTACATTGAGTGAAAGAACGATAAGCAAAAGGGTGATCCAAATTAATTACTTATCATCTCATGCATGGCTTATCATTATTGTGGCCAGTCTGTCTCATTGCAATGAAATTCGCATTGGTCAACTCATTCACAATATTTGTGTTTAGTCAACTATAGTGAACACGCCTAAGACACGAGAGAACTATGACCTTTTGGATTTGGACTCGAGATGGGATTTAATTTATTTGTCTATTTGGCACTTTTAGATCCGAAAACAAGAATACATAACGCGATGATAATACATTTTTTGGGCTTACCTGGTCATTGTAGATTACATGAGCAGATTTGATGACACGTACCTGCACAAGAGAACAGTATTTTTAAAATTCATTTGACAATTTTTCATGACGGTTATTTCTGACAGAGTCTTGTTTTTATCTATACTTAAATTTATATAAGTTATTATTATTAATTGACACGTACTTGAGATTGGACGATGGCCACGGCTTGAGAAAAGTGCATCCCTGCGTGAATACAATAAAATCTTCATTACATAACTGAGAATATTTTGGGATACATAATCAATTAAATATTTAATGACACTCAAATCCACATTTAACTGCAAATTAGCGAATGAATGGATGACCAGTGAATGAAATGAGCATGTACTAAATATACATAATACTGTCTACGCGATAAGGACGACTAACTGCAGTTTAACTGAAAGAAATATTTTTCTTAGATAAGCACTAGCAAAATTTCTAACTGGAGACTCGCCCCTAAAGAGATCACTAATGAATAACCTGTTACTGATTAATAAATTTAGTTAAAAATTCCTTAATCAAGAGTAATTCGACTCCTTCATTTTACGTAAAATTAAATTCGCAATTTGTAAATTGGCCTACATTTAGTGTTAAAATTGAACCATCGCAATTAGGTATTTACTATAAGAACGAGATGTATTCACAGCATAATACCATCTAAATATCTGCAAGTTTTTTGCACCACTTTTTGCACAACTACGCAAACTACGCATCATCATCATCATCAAAACAAGCGAAAATCTGATACCTCACTACCACTTGGAGAGTCAACTGGTCATTTAAATAGAAAGTGATGTGTGAAGTGCATGGACAAATTAAATATGTAACGTATTAAATTAACTCATGGTTTGGATGTACTAATCGAAGTGCGTTCTACTTTTTAATGCACAACTAAACCATTACTCAATCATTCATACATGGTGACACGTAAACAAACAAATGTATCAAAATAAAACGTTGCGATTATACAACGTCTCTCCACGTCACAGTTATGTATGTCCTTGCTCTGCAAAATGTAAAATATGTTGATTATTACACCAGCGCATTTTCTTACCCAGAATGAACTCCCAATGGTCATGTTGTAATCCTTCCTCCGGGGAGACTTCCAAATCCAACATTGTTCCTCCCTCCCCCACCACCACCGCACCTCGACCACTCCCTTTCTCCTCCGCCCACCCTCCACTTTCCAAGCAATTATTGTGACGACCACTCCTCCTCCGGATAAAAATGTCCTCTCAGTCGAGTAGGAAAATTATGAGTTGATACGAAATGAAGGTTATCCTCGTCCTCTTATTATCTTGACACACAATTCCCTGATAATTACTGGATAACGCTGCTTTTGTTTAGATTAGGACGACTTTCTTCTGGTGGTATTTACTCCCAAACTTCTTGTGTACGGCCGACCGAGAATTATTAATCACAGAGTTACTTTATTTATTTAATTACTGAGACTGACGATCGCTTTGACCAGTTTTTGTTTAAAATATGCACGAGTTATATTCTAATAATAACCTTTCTTCTTATACTTTCACGTCTAAATAAATAATATTATTCAAATTATTTCTATTATATTTCTTATTATTAGTAATTTGTTGTTATTATTATTTGTACTTTTTGATTTCGTAAGTTTCTCTTTAGTTATATGTTAGTTCTGCTAAATAAGAGTTATCCGTGTTGGTTTCCTGTCCAGAATACGGGCCGAGTTCGGTTTAGATTTTTTGAACTTGTTGTAATTTTCAACTCCTTTGTCAGAAGAACCACAACCACAAGCGTTGCATTATTTCAAGTCTTGGAGGACAAGAGAGTTGAATGAATTATTGTTCTTCTTCTTCTTGGTGTTGTTCTTTGTAGGAGGAGGAGAGAATACTGGGGACAATGAGTTGCTGTTGAGATAGTTGTGGATAGGTCGTTGATGGTAGTGTTGACAAAGTGCCAGTGACGACAGAATGAGAACAGAACATTATACTATTCGTAGTATAGATACGGATGACAATCGTCAGATAAAAAGTGGGATGACGACATCAAATGTCAAATGAAATTCAAAAAGATAAAAATTTCGAGAGAGTGAAAAATATGTAGACGAGAATTAGGTAACAATTTAAAAACAGAAAATCTGATCCGACTGATTAAATTATTTTCATCAGTCCATAAAAACTGTAAACTAATTAACTATACCTAATTAGCAGGTAGGTAAGATAATACAACAATTGGCTTGTATTACAACACAACTTGTACGCTCTGAGGAGATATGTAAATTCTTTGCTTTAGTGAGGATGACAAAATCATCCACCAATTATTTTCTAGAATTATTATTATTATGATTATTGCCCCTAAATCTTTTGATAAGTGTTCTTGGTCTTATATTTTAAATATTTTTTTAGGCTGGAAGTTGTCGGACTGAGATGAACAAGTTTGTCTTCGTCGTTTGATTTGGCCAATAAATAGTATAAAATAGTATTTGACACGATCAAGTACAAGTTGTTATTAATTATTGGAGAAAGTTAGTTAAGAAGATGGGGGAACACGAGCCTTAAAACTGGAACAAGTTCTTAAAGGCTCCACACATTAATATAATAGTTAAGTTTAAGAAGAAGAAGGGGAACTGGTCTTCTTCTCCTTCGTGGCTATTTTGTATTATAATTAACTCTTCTTGATGCTGCCCTACTACTGTCCTTTCTAGTTCGTGGTCCAACTACGTGTACAGCAAAGTTATTTACATGTCCACGCATTTAAAGAACACGAACCACTCGCAGTTAAACCAAATCCACCAAACCACACAGTCACTGTTTTGCTATTCTGGTCACTGTTGGGCTTATCGCGTCTCTCTATATCACTATCTCACAATGATAATGGTTGTAGTTTTGTGGGGTGGTTGGTTTAAAAGTTGGTTAAATATTATTATTATAGTGGGGATGACGATGATGTCTTCTTTTTTGCTGATTTGGTTGGTTCTTCTTCTTGTTTTGGACGAGGAATCATCATCAAATCATATGATCGTCCTCTCCTCGCTTAAAAAGTATTGCGCTGCTGCTGCTCCTGCTGGCTAAGGCAAATCCATTCCATAGAGGATGAGGAACAACTCGACGGGTCGTAACAGGGAAGGATCCTCCTCCTTCACACTTTGATAATGAAGCAGTAAATTATGATTAGTTAAAAAATTTTAGGAATAGTTGCGGAATTAATGATATGTTGCAAATTTTGTAATTTGGCATTTGTGGAGCAATTACGAAAAACGGTGACCACTTCGATAGACCTTTGGTCACGCTTTACGATGACGATGAGGGCAAATTTTTGATTAAACCAAGTCCACAGACATATTCGTTGGATGACCCCACTCCAATAAGTCTGGTGTAGATATCTGGCGTGATATGATAAGGTGGCAATGATGATGATCCTCCCCTCGTTCTGTTGTCAGGCCCAGAAAGTACTTTGTCCATACAAGGATACACTCGGTCCAAGAAGTTTTCGCCACACGAATACAGCAAGAAAACCCTGTGCAGCAAGTAAAGAACACAAAAGCTTTACCTTTGTCCACTCATTTGCATCAGTTCAGTATGAAATATATTACAAACTTATGGTCGAGCTGGGTACAGTGGGCGCTTAATTTTCTGACGAAGACTGTATTTCCAAAGTGTCAGAGTCATTTTGGCGGAACTGGTTCAACTTGAAGTATATATTTATTTTCATTCCTCTTCATGTACATCTCCGTCTCTATGAATCCATCTCAATCTGCAACAAAAAACAAGTTTGCGAATTAAACAGAGTAAGTAAATCAATATAGCCGTGGAAGACGTGGCACGTGTATTTAGAAAGTCGAGAGAAAATTAACCTCTCTTTAAAAACAGTGTGACCACAATTTAGCAACTCATGAAACAAAGTGGAAAATTAATAACTTTTCGTTCACAACAACGTTCCTTTGGAATTAAAATCTTGTTAGCATCTCAAAATTATCATACGTAAAAATACACGCTAAAAGAAGACAGAGTCTTGGTCAAGATGAATTTTGGTGGGGCGGTGCGCATCAACCGATTTGGTCTGATCGTCCTCGCCTGTCTTATCCTGGTCATTCTCCTCTATTCCTACTCCTCCTCGCAGGGGGGTCGCCCAATCCCCATAATCGTCGTGGTGGACGATGACCCCCTCCTCCACTCGGCTTTTATCCGTTCCTCCAAGGGCGATCCAGTCTCCACCATGACGAGCGGCAAGGTGAGTCTCAGAGCCCTTTTGGCTGGTGCTATCCACTCCGCAGTTCAGGGTGGACTTGAAGTCGTCGCCGTGCGGAAGGGACAAAGCGGAGCGTTGGACGAGAGGATGAAAGGTGAGTCAGTCAGATGAAAATGGTGGCAGAATTTCGTAGTTTTAATTGATTTTTTTCCTCAGGCGAGACGAAGGAAGGCGTCAAAGATTCTGCGACGCAGGGTGACTTCAGATCTCACAAAGTAATGTATTACGGTCTGAGAAAGGCATTTCCAGAAGTCAAAGTAATCTCTGAGGAGCACACGGAAACTCCGCGCGACTTGTCCGGAGTGGCTCCGGCTAATATCGTCCCATCCGCAGAAGTGATCCAACACATGGTGACGGACGAGCAGGTCGAGGCGGAGGACGTGTAAGGAAGAAAATATTTAGGCGTTAAAATTATTAAATTATACTAGAATCAGCGTTTCGGGTGCAAGTAACCACTTGGAAGAAATAACGGGAAGAAAATGGTTTCTTGCGGCTATTTTGATCTTCAAGAAATGCAAGGCGCAAGAAACTATGCCCCGCAGCTGTTTCATACGGCGCAAGTTTCTTGCACTTTTTTGCACCTTGCATTTCTTAATCTTCGTTTGTAGTGCAAGAAATGTAGCAAACCTCCAAAAAACGAAACATTGACTAGAGTAAATTTAAATTAATGAAATGGTCGCAATTCCTGCAGATCAATATGGATCGATCCGCTCGACGCGACGAAGGAGTACACAGAGAATCTCGTCAACTATGTGACGACCATGGTGGGCGTCGCAGTGCGAGGGAAACCCATCCTGGGCGTGGTGCATCGCCCCTTTTCTGACGAGACGTACTGGGTAGGCAGTTTATTTTACTTCATTGTTATGCACATTCTAAAATTATTATAACAGGCCGTCGTGGGTCACGGGTACTCTCCGAACTTGGCGCAGGACAAGAGAGAGGAAAAAAATAATGCTGACAACAAAGGACCCCTAAAACTCATCGTGTCTCGTTCGCACGCCGGAAATGTGGCAAACTACACAAAGTCGATACTTCCTGGAGAGAAGGTAGAAATAATCTCAGCTGCGGGGGCAGGTATGCTAATTAGGTCATCAAAGTCATCATATGCTATCCGATTTTAGCCAAATGAGTGCCAATCGAACAAAAATTGAATGAATATGAAATTTGCAAAAGGTACCATCTACCAATGCGTAGGTTTGGCAGAGGTATTTGCATCCAAAGAGGAGAAAATGCGCAGTAAATTTGCAAGGTACAAAATTCGTCCACTTTAGAGCGTGTTTCTCCTCTTTGGATGTAAATATCTCTGCCAAACCTGCGCATTGGGAGATCGCGTCTTTCGCAAATTTCGTACTAATTTTTGTGATTGATTGAAACGATTGAAACTGGCCTGAAACAAAATCTTAGTACACACGCTGAGAGACCTCCATTGTTAGTGCATATTAATATTAATCTAATGACTGTCAACTTATGTAGGCTACAAAGTGTTAGAAGTTATGTTGTCCCGAGCCGACGCGTACGTACATGTCACTGCCATCAAGAAATGGGATCTTTGTGCGGGTCATGCCCTTCTCTCAGCGCTGGGTGGGTCAATGGTCACATTGAACGGCGGAGATCAAGACAGCGGTCAGGATGAGCTCATCGACTTTTCTGGGCACACTGACCCTCTCAACACGAGGGGGATTCTCGCCTACATGGACGAGTCGAGCAGTATGGAAAAACTCAAAAAGATTCACGTCAACCAGTAGCACATCCAAGACCCTACAATATTTTTATAGGAACACCTTTTTAACGAGACACCTGTGACACGTCCTGATATTAAATACGTACATATGCTTTTTTGGTTGTGCATTTTTAGACTCCTCCCCTTTTCTCCTGCTAAATATTAATGACAATTTGATAGTTTCCTAAAAAAACAACGAGTGAAAAAAGGACAACGACAATGAATCTTGATAACTGCAACGGATGATGGATAAGAGATTATTATGAAAGTGTGTGCATGTTCATACGTATAAGATGTACTAGTTAATTATACCGGGTTGGTGATTTGTAAACCATGTTCTAATAAGTTTAGGCTACTTTTATCCCCGTCAAGTCAAGATCTTCAATATTGAAAATACGTATAAGACTGTGTCGAATTAAGTGCAAAACAATGAATAGATTAATTATCAACAAAGTCAGAAGCAACAATATTACTCAATCAATTAATAAATGTTTTCATAAGAAAAAAAACTATTTAAAACGAAATCAGACACTCACCATTCAAACATTTTGTACCCCCTAAGAAATAATTTGTCGTTGTTTTTTTTGTTAACATGGCTTGAGGCATTGCTTTAATCGGTCCAAACTCTCTTGTGAGCTGGTACTACTTTCAGTTTGGGATGATACGCCAGCATCCTTCTTTACGACGTGACGTATCGTGGCCATCATGGTGTTGAAGGAGGTCAAATTGTGTCTGTAATTTACATACGTACATTAGTTCACTATCAGAAATCTATTTTTTTCTTTATTAAATTCTCACATCATGACAAGAACTGGTCCGAGTAACTCTTCCGTGGCGTATAAATGATTAAGGTAGGATTTCGTATGTTTGCGACACGTGTAGCAGGAGCAGGAGCTCGAAAGTGGGGTGAAGTCGGAGAAATATCTAAAATCAGACAAAAATCAAATGTCTACCCTATTTGCACAATTCTACTGACAAACTTTTTATCCTTGATTGAAATAGTGCATCCCGTTTCATTCGAACTGTTTGTCCCCTCGTCACCATTCTTTCCGCCAGGCAGGGATTCATTATTTATCTTGACCTCATGTCCATCCGGGAAATATTTCGTCAGTTCGTCCAAGACGAGGACGTGTCCCAAGTCAGCGCTGGCCGTGACCCAGGAAGAGTCAAATAAGTCGACCCCAAGGAGGACGAGTTCCAGAATTTCATACGGGCTCAAAGGGCCTGGGACGTAGCGGGGTAAGTGGGCTGGAAGGAGGGCAACAACCTCTGAAATGGCAGCGTAGTCCAAGTCACTAGTTTTGGTGGAATCAGTGGACTTGTCATCCTCGTCTGCCTTGTCCTCGACTGGTGTACTATTGAGGGAAGACTTTTTCTCAGTGTCCATCTGTGTGCGTTTTTTATTATTCATTGGACCCTTCTTCTGTCCTTCAGTTTTGTTGGGTGAAAGCGAAAGGGTGACGCCTAAATCAATTTGAAATGAGTTTAGAATGAAAATCTCATCATGGCAAAGTTTTTGCTTGGGGGATGTTTGGGTGATTAAATTGATGTTGTTGCACGTCGAGTCAGTTAAATCGAAAAGCAACATTGCTTTTCGATTTCCTGCGCCGAAGTCCATTTCCTTCTTGGGACATAGAAAGTAACTTGATCGCCGAATAAAAAAAACGCCACGGCCACGACATAACATTGTTGTTTATTTCGCGATCAAGTTACCTTCTGGGATCATACGTCCCGAAGAACCGGACAAATAGACCTCCGCGCAGGTAAGCCCTTGTCCTTATCAAGAGAGCCTAGTTACGGCAACGTGCAAAAGTCTTGCAATATGAAGATTGTAATACGTATAACCTGAAATGATGAACCCTTTGATCGCATCCAATTTATTTGTCAGCATGGCCTTCACCGTTTTATTGGCTTCCTCCCCATCTACTTTAAACCATCCCAGCTCCACGGTAGCAAATAGGTCAGCACCGTTACTACTCCCGCTCGTGGTCTTGTCCAAAAATTCTAACGTTCTTGTAGTTGACTTCTTCATCCGTTTCAGACCACTGGTTGAGCTAATATCGTAGTCACTCAGGGCTAGAAATAGAAACATTAACCAAACCCAACTTAATCTACATTTGCACTGAAGACCAATTCGTCTTCAGTAATAATATATTAATACTTTGAAAAAATTGAGGCTTGAAAGCAGCTACGATCCGTTGGTGTTCGGCCACGGTGAGTGCAGTCTTGCCCCTCCGTCCCCAGAGTGCCACACTCTCCCCAATATTATACCCACTGGGAAGAACCTTCTTTCCTGGATTGTGCGGCGAAAGGAAGACAGGAAACTGTGGAAGGCCCGCAAATTTAGCAATGCCCGACCCAAATTGTGCCACGCTGTCGACAAAGGTGGCACAATTGTCGATAGAGACAAGGAGTGGGGGTCGCTGTTCGGGAAAAACATGTTGAAGCAATACATCTGCTGTGAGGTGAGGCACACTTCCACCCTGAAAACACGAGTTTAGCAGGATTTATTTACGACTGAAGACCTGTATGGACATGGAAAATTGACAATTATAATGCTTACCAAAGTATGAACGAGGAATGCTGGCGTAGGTACGGACAAGGGGGTTTCGCCACCTGAAGAAGAAACGGTCCACCTGCCAAGCCGTGACGATGAAGAGGACGAAGTGGCTAACGAATCTAGCACAAAATTACTCATTCTTCTCATTCGTGGGAAGATTATGTTGTGTTTTTCGGCAACTTATGTCGTCGTCGTTGTCAGTAATTAGTATTACCAAGTCGTAAAACTCCTTTTGGAATGATAATTCGTTGTGTTTCTAATTTATTGCCGGGAGCTGAGAGAGATGACAAGTCGACAAGTGTGAAGTGTGAGCTGACTAAAAACTACACGTGATTTGTGAGACGTGAGGATGCAGTGCGCCTCTCGAATCAGAGAATGGGGAAGATTGGGACGGGAATTTGAGACAATCTCGAAATACCCTTCGTCTCAATTTGCCTCCTTCAACTTTTGCCTTTTTGATGCTCAAATACCAATTTTATTTCTTCACTTGACAATTTAGATGCGTGTATATTAATTAAAACAAATCATTAGATTGAGTGGACATCCATTATTTCCGTGTCGTTTAAAATATTTCGACCCATTTCCGGTTCGCGACTTATCTCCTTCTGCGACTGTCGTCCATGCAGAGCTAGAATAGAAACAAGGGGAACTTGTTTAGTTAGTAATCCGTACGTAGAGGAAAATGTGTGCTTACCTCGAAAAACACGTCGTGCACGCATTGTCCTGCTTCCAAGAAAGTCATGCATTTCGTGTCATCCTTCACCTGCACCTTGTCCCCTGAAAAATCATCGTCACTCATTAATTTCTTATTTACTCCTCCTATTTTTGATGTCGTTATTTCAATCAGTTTTGCATACCATGCTCCTTCAAGCACTTCTCAATTCCGTCCTTCATCGGTTTTTTAACCTCGTCCGGCTTCATGACCATCTCGACGTATGAGAAAATCTTGTCATGATCCAGTTTGCCCTCCGCCGTCAACTGCAAGACGAGAAGAAAATGCAAATCATCGCGTCTCAATCTCTAATTTTTTTGGACGCTCGGATTATCAGCCATATTTACTACTCACCAACTCCTTCTTTTTCAAAATGCAGACTCCAAAGCACTGCAAAATTAACGAAGACATTTTTATGCAAATAATTAATATCAAAAATATAATTATAATGCATAATATGCTACTCACACTCAGCTTATCTGCCGGGATTTTCCAAACGGATTTAATTTTACTCTCTGTTAAACATTCAGTGATCATCCCCTTTTGCTTATCAGTCATGTTCAATGCGACGCCACGACACATTGTTTCCTCCTGAGCGACCACCTCCTAAAATACCAACCCACATTAAAATTAGTCTCATCTCCCATTACTAAATTAACTGATAACCCACCTGGAGTCCACCCATCATCACAACGAGGACCACGACGCTCACGACAATCTCCACTTTTGGAAGACACATTTTAATTGGGAAAAAAATATTTGTCCAAGTCAACAAGTTCCGTGTGGGAGGATAAGGCAACGTCTCGAAGTGAGGGGTGACCTCTCTCCAGTCGTCTCTATTTATTCACAAACTGAGAAATAAAAATCCTCCACGCTGACCCTCCCACACTTCCGGTCCGCTTTTTCCTATATGCTTCCGTATATCCATTAAATTGGATTGCACATGCATAACAAAAATACTTGTTCGAGTAGAGATCACCGATTCAAAATAAAAATACGATTTCCGGTCATTATCACATCAATTTTATTCAAGTTAAATAGCAGAACTTGTTGTGTGTGTATCTAAACGTGACTGGCATATAATATCATCAATATCGTGGATGATATACATACATGACACTGACTGACTATATGATCATTATTTCATTACCGATTTAAGAAAGATTTAGATAACAAACTAAACATTACCATAAATTAAAATTAGTGCAAATCATCACTGTCATCATTATCGGGGTCATGCTACATACATGGTAAAAGTCTAAGTAAGTCTAGTCTGCTATCTCTAACCCAACAATGCATAACTCTTATTCAGCATTGTTCTCTCTTCTTGGGAACTAACTTCGGAAATGAGCTTCCGCGCGTTCGCCTTGTCCTTCTCGCTCATGAAGAGGGCCACGGTAGAGAAGCGTCGAACGGAGGCGAGTCCCTGCAAATGCGGCTGAACGGGCCAACCTCTCGGAAGGAATTCCCACAAGAGAAGCTCCAAGATTTCGGAGAGACGTCGATATTCCAATGACTCGCCAAACATGGTGGGATAGTCGGACACCGAGAGTTGCTAGTAGAAAAATGACAATTAAAATTATGTACATAACTATGATGACAATTAAATTATGAAGTACATTCAAGTATTGCGCAGCGATGTCCGAGTTTCCTTTAAGTTTTCGCCAATCCAGTTCGAACTGTGCAGAGGTTGATGGCTTGGGTGGAGGTGAGGTCATTTGTAGTTGCGAGAAGAGTGAGTGAAGGTGGTTTGTCGTAGTTGCGATCGGTGTAGCGGGTGTTGCTGCGTAGTTTGAGCTGGCAGGAGGGGACGAGACGGAAGTCATGGAGGAGGAGGATATTACTGAGTTTGATGGTGAGGATGAGGACGAGACGATGACTTCATCTTGATCATCATTTCCATTACAGTCTAGTAAATCCAGTCGCATCTTCTTCTTGGATTCTGCATCGCCATGACCTTTTCGTCCAATAACTTTTACATGGAGTGGAAGCAGTGGTCGCTGTCAAAGAAAAAAATCCATCACAAATTTATTGAATATGTAATTTACTAAAGACACAATCTCCCAGTGTGCAAGTTTTGTGGAGATATTTGCATCAGAACAGGAGAAAACGGACGATAAATTTGGAAAGTGTAAGATTTGTCAACTTTATAGAGCGTTTTCTCCTCTTCGAATGCAAATATCTCTGCCAAATGCGACCATTGGGAGATCGTGTCTTTCGCAAATTTTATACTAATTATATTTTTCATAAATTTACACTAATTTGGTCAAAATCGGAGAGCACACGCTGAGAGACCTCTTTATAAGTATTTTGCATAGAAAAATTAGCTTAAAAAATATGTGGCACCTTTGATCGTTTCGCGACACTTTTGGTAATGGGGAGGATAATCTTGGGATAGATTTCTCCCGTATCTCCACCACCACGGAGGTCCTCCTCCTCATAGTCGTCATCATATCCGGCCACTAATGACTGAGAGGGTCGGAAAAGTCGTCCAGCTCCTCCTCCCGTGCTCCCTACACCACTGAGCGAATTGTAGTTGTTATTTCCCAAGAGACGAGTCGTCACACCGGGAAAGTAGGAGAGCCTGCCGTTGTCCAAGGAATCATCCGGCGTCGTTGTTGGCGTTGTGTTTGGTGGTTGAGATCCCGGAGTGGACAACAAACATTGCATGGTCTTCTTATTTATTTCATTCATTAATTGTTTTGCCTCCACATTGCCTCGGTCAAGGTCGAGCATTTTATTCAAATCGTTCTACCCAAGTAGTAAATTAGAAGGTAATTAATAATAGTTATGAATATAATTCAAAAATGCAACTAATTCACCTTTGCATCTAGCAACTTTCCCAAATGGAACCTGGCCTTTGCCCTCCGAAAATACGCTTTAACATAGGTTCCATCGATCAGAATGGATTCACTACAATCTTCCACAGCTCTCCGGTATCTATCAGGTTTAAAAACATTGTTAGTTATTATAGTTTAGACAAGAGATTATTCTGGCCCACGCCACTCACTGTTTGAGAAAAATGTTCGCCTGGGCCCGGTTTGCGTACAAAACAGCACTCTTCTTATCACATCGAATGCCTTCCGTGTAATAGTCGACGGCCTTTTCATACTCTTTATCCTTCAGACATTGGTTCCCCTACAGAAATTTGTAAGAAATTACATCAAAATGTATTCCTAAATCATAATCAGCGATTATATTACTAATCACTCACCAAATCTTTCTTCTCATTCGCCATTTTCTTCAGTTTCAACTCAATTGCTCGTCGTCGGATGAGATCACTTTCACTTTCCACCCTGTCTCCAGTCTTCTTGGTTGTGACATCGTCCTTCTTCTCCACCTCTTCGCAGGCCTTTTCAGCGTCAAACTTTTCCCACGCGGTGTAGTCACTCCCTCCAGTTTTAGGTTTGGGTGGGTGTGGTGGTTGCTCCACTTTCTTGTTCTTCGTTTTAGGATCATTTCTTAACGGGATGGCAGTCGATTCTTCTTGGACGGGCTGCAAAATTATTAAATAACCCAGTTAAAACGGGCAAACTTAAAAAATAATTAATCTGACTGATCACTAACCACGTCTGGAATTGGTTTATTCGACAGTGCCAATTCAGTCGCTCTCATTTCTTTACTCCAATTGGAAAGATCTGACAAGAAATTCTGGACATCGGTCGCATTTTCACGAATTTTCTGCTGGACGAGAATACTTGGTGGGATTTGTTGTTTGCTCCCCATCTTATCCACTCTGACTGGACTATCGACACACCCGTGACTTCCTTGTCGATAAGACACACACGCAGTCAAAAAGTATTTCGACGACGATGACGACCTAAAATTTTCAAGTGTTTTGTGTTGTCTCGGAAATTTAAAGTTGCTTCGTTCCCGGTTGCCTCACATTGCACCAAAATACTTGAACGAAGGATGAGAAAATTCCATGAATTTCTTCATGACTCATGCCTTATTTTGTGTCGTTTGTGAAAAGGGAGAGGTCATGTCGTCCGAAATGTCGGCATCGTGGTCAAAAGTGGCATTTTTGTCGTAAAACTTGCCCCTGATCTGGGTGGGTGTGGCTGCGATATCGTGAAATTGCCGTGTTGCATGCATTGTATGGAGAAGTGGCTGGCTGGATGGACTAAACCCTGCGCGAGGAGCGCGAAGAACAAACTGAGCAGAAGAGCTGGAAGGAAGCTCTCCCAACCTCGAATAAAGAAAAAGAGAAGAGAAAAGTGAGCAAAGTGACACAAAAACGTCAACAACAATTTAAACTAATTATCTTTCTTGATTTAATCATTAGTTAATTAAATGTTGGAGTATAGTAGAGATCAGTAATTAATTAGAGCGTGATGGGGACTGAAGTTCATAATAACAATAGTGGCAGTAGTGCCACTGGTGGTGGTGGTGGTGCTGGTAATGCTACAGCTACCATGGCTGGAGGAGAATTCGTCATGATGAAAGATACCGTTTGGAAATTATCATCTCGAGTTCTACTTTTGGAAGGATTCATTAAGCAGCAATTTGGTAAGTGTGAGGAGACCTCTCTTGCGACGCCAACGACGACGATGTCGACGCTTTCGCCGAGAGTTTGAACAAAGAGGAGTTTTCTTTTGTCGTGCATTGTTGTGATAAACAATAGTGAATAGCAAGAAATTATAGGGATTTGAATTGTTCTATTAGAATAAGACATGCTTTGTCATTGGATAAACCCACATGATAGATACTAACTGATCGATTAGTCACCCCTCGTGCGTGACGTAGAGGAATCGACTCGTATTATGACACTGAATGAGTAATGTATCGATTATCCTTATTCTTTTGCAGGTAACGTATTCTGGCAATTTTGTGAAGATCAAGTAAAAAATGTAGGTGATACACCCTCCGATGAGGACGAGGACGGTCTTATAATCGCAGAGACTAAACCTCCCACTAACATCCTTCCCATGCCCCCAATGATTCCAATTCAGCCCAAAGCGAGGCCACGACAACAACAAGCCCAACAACTCCGAAAATCTTCTTCTACAGCTCTCACTACTACCTCCGCCACAATTCCACCGCCTCCTCCCCTCTCGAGGGGTACTTCACCCTCTTCCTCCACCTATCAGACCCCCAAAGCACGCAACTTTCTCCCCAAATCTCTCACCGCACCCAAACTTCCTCCATCCATCACCATCACCCCAACGAACACGCGTGGGAATGGAATCACGACTGGGGGACAGTCCATTCTTAAAGAGAAAATCCCGAGCGAGAATCATCATCATATTTCTGAAGAATCCCAACAGCACCAGCAGCCACCGCAGACCATTCGGATTAAATCAGAGCCCAAACTTTCCACCCAGCACCATCACCACCAGCAGCAGAGAAGAAGTCCAGCCCTTATCGCTTCCGCGAATCGACATCAACATGCTCGACTCTCGACGGGATCAATAACAACGTCTTCCATTCCAGCTCCACCGACGACACGTGTCGTAATTCCACCCCCGCAACTTCAACAACATTATATGAATGCCGGAGGAGGAGAAGAGTACGGGGGAGAATTTTATCAAGGTAAGTGAAATAGTTAACCGCAAAACAGTTACACTTTTAATTTACTAATCTGTAAATAATTTACTATAATCAGGCGAGTCTGAAGAAAGTGAAGAAGATTCCGAACTTTACGGAGACGGAGGTTATCTTGCAGCCGAGCTCGTTTCTGCCACTCTCTGTCCACCCGAAGACACTGAAGATTCGTCTGAAATCTGTGGGAACGCTGCCACCACGAAAAAGATCCGCCTTTCCCTCTCGGGAACGTCCTCGTCGTCCTCGTCATTCCTCAATGGCAATGGGAATGGTGGTGGGCAGCGTCAAATGCGTCCAAATCCATGCCACGCTCGTTGTCAAAATCGTTGTCACGATATTTGGACGGATGGGGATCGAATGGGAGTATTTCACACATATTGGGCCCTTCCGTCGGAGGAGGAGAGACGTGAATTTGTTGCCTCGCGGATCGAAAGAGTGGATATGGCCACAAAGAGAACAGAATTTTCCAATTTTAGAACCTGCACGTTCAAGTATTATCTTCCACGTGAGTCTAATTAGATTAATTAGCCAACTTTGCATGCCTGTAAACGTAAAGTTTAATTATAGTTTAATCATTTTATTAATTTCTTCCAGATCCGGACAATCCCTGGGTCCAAGTCTGCAAAAACTTTTTCCTCGCGACGATCGACGAGAAGCGAAGCTACATTGAAAAGATAGCTCAGAGCGTAAAGGGCGAAGCGGGCGAGAAGGTTTCCGCTAAAAATATCCCATTTCGAAGACGGAATCAAATGCAACGGAGTGCGGAGGAGATGGGGAATTATGCGGGGTGGATGCAAGGCTTGGGACTGGATCCGTCCCTCCTTGACGAACATGGTGGTTACATGGTTGAGGGCGATGTGGACGGCGAAATGGTTGACGGAGAGGAGGGTGAAGATCAAGACGGAATGATGATGGGTAAAACACAGCAATTTTCTAAAATTGTGACTCCAATTTTTTTAACATGATTTTGTTCTTGTTTGATCAGGTGTCGAAATGATGGAAGACGAAGAAGAGGAGTCTTCCCAGCAGGATTGATGATAACACCACTTCCTCGTCCCCTTCCCCCCACTCACAACACTCCTTCACTTCCGCTACTATTGCAAACTAACTCCTTCCTTCCAAAATGAATCTGCTATATTAATCAATATAAAGAATCTCTCACTTCAAGACTACTACACTAATAAGTAATAAGACAAAAGTGGTTTTATGACTCGAGAAGAAATCTACACGAATTCAGCTCTAATGGATTCCGACGCTGAAGATCTGACCTCACACCAAATGAATATCATCACGTGCATGAACTACATTCAGAATGCGTATGCTTATTTATAAGTGTATTCAGTGAGTGTGTACCCCTACATATTTTTCTACTCTAAATACTACAGCCTGACTAAACTATATATAAAAATCTATTCAAAATCGTTGAATTTGAAGCTGCATACCCTTTACCGCACCCATCTAAGATTCCGCTGAAAAGTGCTAAAACAAAAGTATTATGATTTCCAGACGTTTATATTTTCCTTTTTCGGAGAACAGACAGAGAGCTACACACATACACCTTTCCAGAATAATATAATAGTTTTAGTTTATATTTAGCAATGCGCGTCTGTGCATGTAGAAAGTACAAAGGATACCAAATTATGTGTCAATTCTTTTTTGTTCTTTCTTTTTCGAGGGGTTTATTATGTATTGTTGTTCAATAATGGACGATACCGCTGCATGCCTTACTTGTTCTGATAAATTGTTGCTCCCCCCCCCCCCTAAAAAATAACTACATATGCAACAAGGTCCCTTATTCCTTATTAAACCAACTTCCTCCCTTCTTGATGATCTACTGCCTCTTCTCGGCGTCGTGCGTGTGTGTCGCAGTACAATATTATTATTATTGTTCAGATTTGTATTATTACGATAGTTTAGTCCCAGACTAATATAAATCCACAGCTATTAATAATTAACGCCTCTATTATATTGTGCAGATTGTCTTTATCGCTATACGCATCTAATAGTTTAACTGTTAGATTAACTTTAATAACTAATCCACCACGGGAAGAATTTGATACTAACCTAAGAAATCTCTAATTAAAAATTGTAAGAATCTCACTCCAATCAGATCTGATTAGGCAGGTAAAAAAATAATTAAGTGTAGAAAAAAGAAGTGATTTATTAGAAGTATTTTTACTGCGTGAAATGTATTCCATAGGATTTTCTATCGAAAAGGAGAGCAATAATTATCACGTAATTAATTAAGAATGATATGATTCCACGAAAAACCGCAAACGAAGATGAATCACGATTCGTTTTATTAACTACTCATTCCAAATATCAAAAATTCCGATTTAGTATTACATCATAATAATAATTGTATCCACGAGTATTAATATTTGACCTTAGTTCATGGTTTTCTTACTCCGATAGTAGATATTTTCGAGGAGAGAATCGAAAGTGACATAACGCAATGGGTCACGACGACGTCTTCCACAAACAAATAATAGTTTGTATATGTACTGCTTGGTTTAGTAGAGTTGTATTAATTGTGTGTATTATTAATTAAATAATTAAGTAGTCGTGTGTAGATAGAAATATTTAGTATTATATTTTAGTCCTTGTATCATGGTGTCTTGTTTCAGTTTTTTGTGCATGCGTTGTTAATATTAGTTGGACAGAGTTATGTATGTAATAGTGCCACCGTGTAGGTTCGCTAATTTGTTACCACTCTAATTATTATTAATATTTTCACTCTATTATTCTATGTTTTTATCCAAGCAAGTGGAACAACTTTTTGTGTTTTGTCTTAATTTTACTTATGATCAATTTAATCCATGTCTGATTATGATGCATATTTGTAACGTCGTTGAAGCTGCCAAAGGAGCCATCTCGTACAAAATTGGATGGGCATGAATACTTTGGCAGGTTCAACCACGATAATTATGCTTTATTCCAGAGTTATATAATCATGTATGTATTACGAAATGAATGAATGATGACGAATGGGATACGTCATCACAAAAAGTATTACGATAAGTGACTCCAGATCTAATGCATAACTCTGAATCTATACGAAGATCGAAGGTGTGTCAAATGATGTCTCTCGCAGTTTGAATCTTATTATTCTCCTGGGTTCGATAAATGTACCAGGAATTAAAAATGAAGTGTGTGTATGGATGATTTATTAATTGAGCCGACCAAGAAAACCTTCTTTACTGTAATCATTCATTCATAGCTAAGTTTATTACGTAATGTAATGTAAAAAGAGAGGAGGAAATGAGAATTTCGAATAAACCAATCATCGCACTATGTATTATGACATGCTGAAGCAAAAAGTGATGGTGGTGGTGATGGTGGAGGCGTCGTGTGGGTCACGCTTTGACGCGGTCTCAGTGTCAAGTTGGTTGACGATTCTCCCTTGTCATGTAAATATACTTGTGTGCCTCACACCTCGCTCGCATCAATCATCATCACCCACCGCAGTCACCTGACAATTTTTTTCGCAGTTTATTTATTAGTGAATACTTTTCCGATATTGCATCCGAAGAGTGAAGATGACATCATGGCAGTGCTGTTTTTATCCCCATCACACGTGTCGTTTTGTCGTCTTCTTGTCCTGTATTCTTGTGGGTTAACATTTCTTGGTGTTAGCAAATCATTCGTGCGGGCTCAGAGAGAGGATTATGACAATCCTGATGACGTGACCTTTCGCTGGGTGCCCGTCTCTGACACCGGTGGTGGTGGTGTTGGTGAGAGGAGAAGGGTCCGCGTGTACGGAACCGTGTCGAACTTTACCGCTGGGAACTTTATGAACACCAGCTACGCGACATTTTACGGAATTCCTTTCGCCCTCGCACCCACGAGCCACCTCCGCTTCACGAGACCCACGCTTCGCTATTTGGACAAGGATTTCCGTGCAACTGTTCCCCCTTTGGGATGTCCTCAGTTGTTTGGTGGTGGTGGTGGGGGGATGATCGGGTCGGAGGATTGTCTGCAATTGAACGTCTACGTCCCGACAATGACAGGAGGAGATTCGATGCCTGTGCTGGTCTGGATTCATGGGGACAATCCGGACCGTCTCACGGGTGCAAAAGTCCTGGCACCACTCACTTCCGGGAAAGCGATGGATATTGATCCGGCCTTCTTTATGCCGGGAAGAATGGTCGTCGTCGTCCCGCAGTATCGTTTGGGAACTTTGGGTACAGAAATGGAATTGTATGGGTCGCTATAAATTTTAAAATTCTTAAATTATAAATAGGATTCGCCTCTACGGTGAATGAGGACCTTTCCGGAAACAGTGGCCTTTTCGACATCCTGCTCAGTCTCGAATGGGTGGCCAAGTTCATCTCCCATTTTTCTGGTGACCCGGGCCAAGTGACGTTGCTGGGTGGGAGCTTGGTTGGTCTTCTTGCCACGACAGAACTTGGGAGAGGTTTCTTCCAGCGCGTCATTCTCATGGGCGGCGGCTCACCTATCAGTCCACTCATCGCGGTCGACCCCACGCCCAAGGTCACGTATGGCGAGGTGGCCCTGCAGAATGGCTGTCCCTCCTTCCCCTCCTCACATTTTGTCAGATGCATGCAGGCTAGGAGGGTTGGCTCCATTGTGGAGGCGGATGCCAGATTGGCGGTGAGTCGTTACATATTTACATATGAGGAAATATTTGCAGTGTTTCGGTTTCGGGTGCAAGAAATAAGGGCAAAAAGTGGTTACTTGCAGATATTTTGACCTGCAAAAAATGCACAGCGGAAGAAACCACGCCCCGACGCAATACTTTATAGGGCGCGTGGCTACATGGTGCAAGTTTCTTGCACCACGCATTTCTTGCGTTTCTTGCTTTACAACGCAAAAAATGTAGCAAACCCGCAAGAAACGAAATTCTAGAGCAAAAATTTACATATATTGACTTTGTTAATTTAGAAGGGACGTGGGGGAGGTTTGGCCAGAGCGAGGTTGCCACTTCCTGTCATCGAGAAGGAATCTGATGGTCGATTTCTGCCACCGCTGCTTTTTCGGACACCGACCACTTCGTTGGCGGAAGGAAGTTTCCACCACGTCCCGATCATGGTGGGCGTAACGGGGGCAGAGATGCAAGGATTTCTTACTGGTAAATTGAATCGTATTTATTAATTTACATATATATGCAGATCTTTTATAAATTTCTTTATGAATGTACGTGGATGGATTGACGTAGGCATTGCTGGGGCAGAGTCTGCGGACGAAGTAAAGGTTTTGTCCTCGCCTGACGTCCTCCAGAACTTTGTCCGGTCCTTGTTGATCCGAAGTGGGGGTGGGGCCATTGACCCAGACGCTGCCTCCACCCTTCTCGCTTTCGAGTACTTTGCCGGGTTGAACATCACGGAGAGACCGGAGCAGGCGTGGGATATTTTGGAAGAGGTTATTATGACATACAAACATAATTATCATAATTATTATTACAAATTATATGGTAATTTAGCTGTTGGGCGATATGATCTACACCATGCCGGCCCTGTCTATGGCGAAAATGTGGTCAAAACATGCTCCAGTATATTTCTACCTTTTCGATCATGGCGATTCTGGTGAGCATATAAACAGTATTTCGTTTCTTGCTGGTTTGCCACATTTCTTGCACTGCAAAAAAATGCAAGAAATGCGAGGTGCAAGAAAGTGCAAAGAAAGTGCAAGAAATATGCTTCATCTAGCCGTATGAAGTTTAGTGGCGGGGCGTCGTTTCTTGCGCCTTGCATTTCTTGCAAGTCAAAATAGCTGCAAGAAACCGCTTTCTTGAAAATGGTTACTGACACAATGCTCGAAATATTGCATACAAGAAAACTTTTAATTCATTTAAATCTCTAAATTTCTGTCAGCAAGCCACGGTTCCGATGTCGCCTTCCTCCTAAATGGTCACACGTCTCCTTCCGGTACTGATCGTGACCTTGCCGCCGTCATGACTTCCCTCTGGACGAGTTTCATCCACCAAGGAACACCTCTCAATGCGGGGATCCCATGGCCCGAATGGCGTGACACATCCGGTCGCCAAGTCCTACTCCTCTCGGGGGACGAAGTGGGCGTCGCGCGGGGGACGAGAGAACGGCAATTTCACCTCTGGAACACACTCCTCCCCGCAATTACCATGTCGAGCAGTAAGTGTCCCAAAGCGTCGTCTGCCTACTTGTCGTCAGCATCTCAATTGAAGAGCAGTCGGGGGAAGACAAGTCTTATTTTCAAAGATGTGGACGAGGCGGAAGTGGGCAAGACGTTCTTTACGATGCAACAACCACAAGTAGCACGTGATGATAAATAATAATTTGGTGCAATAAATCAGTATTAATTTTGTAACGTTAGTTTATTACCGCATTTTTATACTTGTGTATCTGACACAAAATCCTCACTTGTTTTAAATACAAATATTATCAGGATTCAAGTACGAGTAGTAATTTTAATCAATTGATTCAAACTTTACAAATAATATGGAGACAGTAAATAAAAGTATGTGTCAACCTGAATGATAATTAATTAAATCCGAATTAAATTAAATCAGTCAATCGAAGCGACGAATCATTGTGTCTTGTTCTTCAAGGTCCAAGATTACTTTCTTCCTCATATAAAAGATTGGACAATCTCGACTGCAATGCAAACAAAGTTGTTTATTATATAAATCAAGTGGGTACAAAAAACGACAAGGTGGATCAGAACGAATGCTACCTTGTGCAGAGAATGTCCTCATGAAGGGATCCTTGGCATCGCTGACATTGGGTCCATAAGCGATTATATTTTATCTGCAGGGTGGACAATTTGTTCAGCATGCCCATGTAAATCTCGGTCTCGTTGGATGAGCAGTGTTTACAAAGAGCGTTCTTATCGTCATCCTTCATCACAGATTTGCACCCGACGCAAACGGCTTTCTTGGTAGTGAACATAGCCAGAGCCCCGACTTTGGATGTCACTAAAACCTTGTGCCGTGTGTGATCTCCACCTACACATGCAGGGGAAGTTACTATTAATTATTCGATCTTAATTAATTTGGTATCTTTAGTTATACTCACGCAATAGGACTGATTCCGTCTTTTCGCCTAAAATGGGCTCAAAAATACGTGTGAGAGGTTTGCTCAATTGATTTTCAAGGTAGTAAAGATAGTCGATTGGAATGTTGTTCTCCAGCACATAGATTGGATCCTCTGCCTTGGCTGAAATCGTACAAAGTTAAAAAATGAAATGGACCCTGTCATTTGCTAACTAATAAACATTAGTTGTTGCTCACCATAAGCTGGAGTTCCTTTTGAAGCAGCAATGATAACGTAAGGCACACGATCTCCTAATTTAGGTGCAGTTCCAGGATCTCGCTTCTTCATTTTTTCCGCCAATACGACATGAGCTTGTTTTGCGGCATATTCTTTCTCAGTTTTCGTCAACTCTTTGGTGATGACGAGTTGAGAAATGTCCAGCTTGTTAAGGAGAAGCTCGGAGATGACATTTTTGGCGTAGCTGACTGCACCGAAGGGGTCCCTATTAAAAGAAAGGTTGAATTTTCTGGATTTCCACGTCAAATTAAAAAATAGAATTTTAGCAAGTAATTTGAAACCTTTGGACTAGGATTTTTTCCAGACAGGTATTCATCACTGTTGCGACGAGAGGACAATTGTCTCGACGAACCGTTTCGAGACCTTTGCAGTCCATTTTGTCATGTATTTCTGGCCGAGTGTAGTACAATCCGGCATAGCGTTTCTTGTTAATGAGCAAATACGGAAAGTACACCTGTCGCATTAGCATAAAAAACACACTCGTTAAAGTAAACTAAATATTCTCCAACGCAAACCTAGATATGCGTACCTTTTCAAACTCCAGTTTAATAGGAGCGATGAATTTTTCAGAGACGAATCCAGCCGCCTCGGTACCCAGTGCCATCGCTGCGGCCACATTATTCACCCCAAATCGCACCATGACAGAATCTGTGTCCCCATAAATGACCTTCGCGTCGTGCTCGTAGCCATTTGCGATGCAGAATTTCTGCTCCACCTCGTTCTTCGTGAGTTCGATCATCATCCGCCCAAAGGCCGTCACGCTCTGACTGATCTCCAGACAAGGCAACTTTCCAACCTGAGCCCCCGTAAATCCATACACAGAATTAGCACTGATTTTCAAAGCCAACTGTCGCCCATCCAACACTTTCCGTTTGAACTCGTCCTTCTCGTTTTTGAGATCGTTTTTCGCCTTCTTTCGCGCCGAGAGGAGGTCCTCCAGAATCACGGGGAGAATTCCTTTACGTACGGAACTCTTGACGAAGTAGTTGTTGGATGGAGTGCGGATGAAGGTGTCCGGATTCATTGGACCAATTTGGTTGGCTTTGAGTAGGGTGGTGTAGCATAAGTTGTGCGCCTGCATGATACTCGGATACAGCGAGGCAAAATCCAAGGTGGCGATGGGGACGTCGTAATAACCTCGAACTGGCTCGATTACAGTTGCCCCTTCGAACTGCTCGTCAGATCCGGATCCATGGTAGGTCGGCATCACGTAGTCGTAATCTTTCGCCTAGTGATGGAGTATAGAAAACATTAACTAACAATTAAACTCTCCCAGTATATGCTCACATATTTTGACCAAATTATATTTATGAAATTTCCTTGTTAAATTATTAATTACCTTTCGTAAAAGTTGAGAAACCACTTTGATCTGTTGTCCGCGAGTGAGCAAGTAGTGTAACGGAACTCCCGTGACCCTCGCCATTTCCATGTAATTGATGACACACATTAACTTATCCAACAATCGGAGTGGGAGGAGAGCATCTTTGAGACAATAGACGGCCAAGCGACGTCGCGTGTGCGCATTTCCATTTTGCAAGTCAGTGATGATTGAATGATGAACGTCCTCCTTTTGTTCCCCGAGGAAATGGAAGCTGACACTGTTCAAAGTGTAGGAACGCAGTTTGTAGTCGCGAACGAGAACGAGGAGCAGATCGAAGATGATTCTTCCTTCAATGTTGATAGACTTATTTTCTCTCCGACCCATTTGTTTGCTCTGTAAAACAACGTCCCTCGCCACGGATTTTATGGTTTTCACTCTGCCAAGAAAACTGGGACAAAAATATCAAATTTAATGATTTTGATTTGACAATTAGGATTTATAATTGTACTTTACTCACTGAAAACTGGTTGCTTTTAGATGCGTCGCTCGATTGATGAGGTACCATAAGTCAAAGTTGTTAATATTGTAGCCAGTGAGGATATCAGGATCCACGCGCCGCACAAATTCTGCCCACGCTTTGAGTAATTGATCCTCCGACTCGTAACACATCACTTGAGACCCGATAATCGGCGCGCACGTGTCCAGTGTGAAGATCATTCTAACGAAGGGCTCTATTGAATAATTGATAACAAAACGAATTATTATTTTTGCTATGTGATTTTAAATTGATTAGTTAATTACCAGTCTCTCCTTGTCGCACGACCATGTTTGCAATCTGGATGACTGGATCCTTATCCGGTTCGGGAAAAATCCCTTTCCGTCCAGCACACTCAATGTCGAACGATAGGATTCGAAAGGGGGCAACTTTACCCCATTCGCCTTCAGTCGAGTGAGAAATAAGGGCGTCGAAAGCAACATCAACCTCAATTTGACATAGAGTCGTCACGTTAGCATTTCCTCCGGGCGTGTTTACTAATCACAACGGCAAAAAGAACAGTTAATTAATCTCATTAAGTTATTAAATTATTAACGAATTATTACCATTTGCCAACTCTTTATTCCTCACAAAGTACTTTCCGGCCGGTAGCTCGACCCAGTTGCACCCAACAACATTTCTATCAACCATGAATCTGCTTTCAAAATCCAAATTAGACTCGAACGCTTGGTAGTTGCACGACCCTGCCAAACTTGGGATGAAGACCTCCCCCTTTTCCAGTAACCTCTTTGCTGCTGCTATTAATCTATAATTAATTAACGTTATTACATCATCACAATGCTACCAATCAAAATTATCACTGCATAGTGTATATACTTTTTACATGTAAATAGTCGCACTTACCGAGGCACGGCGAGTGTAATTTTGGCAAAGGGAGACTTATTTTCACCTCTGTAGCCGTAAATGTTAATTTTATAAACTAGTTCAACCATAAGGACGGCCTCCGTCACGTTGTCCTTGCTGGACCGCATATCCTTCAACAGTGCCTGATTTAAGGATTGTTTAAACTCGCCACAATGTCGGGAAGTGAACTGCTCTGGTACGGAGACGTAAAAATATGGCGAGAATCCATGAACATGACAGCATATTGCATGCCCATCTTCAGTGACACCGTACATCCTGATAAATAAATACATATTTTAATTAGTTATGTTTTAATTACTGAACTTTCATTAGTTACTAACCGAATAACAGGAACGGGTCCCATTTTAGCCCCTGGCATGCCTGGGATAGGCTTGGAAGAAATGTAATGATCCAGCACCATTTGTTGGAAGGGCAAGTTCTTCTTCTTCGGATCCCATTCTTTGATAGGGGGCCGTCCCCATTGTTCATACAGTGCTTCGAGATCAACGTTGGTCTCAACTTCGTCATCGTTAAGTTCGCCATTATCTTGGGATTCTGGATCTATCGGACCCATGTCCATGTCCTCATCGAATTCCATGTTATCGTCACCTTCCATGTCATCCATGTCTTCATCGTCGTCAGCAATGCGAGGTTTCTTTGCTGGATTGTCCCCATTTTGTTTCTTAACCCATGAAGAGGAGGATGTCCCCTTTGGTGGAGGTCCCATTGGCTTTTTTTGCCACTTTGACATTTTCCAGCGCTACTGCTGAGGTATGTATTTTTTATGCGGTCTCGCCTTCTGAAATCGAGTAGCGCCCAAGAAAGTTTACCGATTACTAATTTGTAAATGTTGTGAGATTTATGATATACAAGACTATTTGTTAATCATAATTATTGCTTAATTAATCGACTTGACTTACCTTAAATACTTTACTCCAATTAATTAATTAAAGTTAATATTTTACGCAAACAAGCCCGTTTGTTGTGGAGGGATTCATGGAACGACTGATTGAACGCACAAAGAACGTGTGGCGAAGAAACCCGCCTCCTGATTTCTCAATGTTCCCGACATGACGAAAGAGAAGCATGAAAATTCATGAAAAATATTCATGCAAATTTCTAACGTATTATTTATTATTAACATAAACATTGATAAACTATGAAATACACTTAGTTGGCTTGGGGAGTAGAGGAAAAACCCGATGTTGGTGGGTTGGGAAAACCTTTACTTGATCCGGATAGGCGTCCGAGATCACCATTCGGCCCCTTACATGATTTTTGTAAATAAAACGACCTATCATTTAAAATATAAAATAATTCTTCTAATCCTCGTTGACTGGGGACAGCTCCCATGATTGATGCCGCATTCCCGCGTTGAACTGCCAAACTAATCCGTTGAATGAGAAAAGTTGTCGACATTGGTCCAGTGACATCCTTCATCCTCCTCCCAACATCTTGGATGAACTTCAACCCTTCCGTCCCCCATACTCCTGATGTCTCGACAGCCACCGGAACAAAGATATATTGTTTTTCAAGTTCAGAGTAAAGTTTGTGTTTTTTGGTCTCGGCTAGTTTTGCTGCTGTGCCAGCATGTCTAAGTGTGTGAGAGAGATAAGAGGGGGCAAAAGTGTCTGTACATGTAAAGTCCCATATTAGTGAGCGTCCCTGTTTGTAAGGTATTAGTGTTAGACCATCCGGTCTTTTTCCATCTGTCCTACAACACCCTAATGGTTCCCTAATGCTTGGTATGTCTGCAGAAATTAAGGCTCTCTTTATAATGTCATTGGCTTGCGTATGTCTAGAGTGCCTGCCAGCACTTTTTTTACATGAAAGACCATGTAAGCCTAGTTCATCTACTTGTGCGCCGCAAACACATTTATGAGGGAAACATAAATTTAACCCTAACCTCAAACCTATTGCAATCCTGAAGGAATTATCGTCTAAAAGTGTGCCTAAATTCCTCGATGGTAAAGCTTGCAACCATGCACCTGATTCTTTTGACCTTGATGCCAAAATCCTAGCAGTATTTATTGGGGTGGTGGATGATTCCAGGATACGTGAAGATACGTAATTGAAAATTGGACTTTCCCAGGATGATTGAAAAGAAGTAATTGTACTGCGAGGTAGTTCTTCACAACTAATTGACTTCCACAAGTCCTGTGCCTCGGTCACAAGTGAATCGGACAAAGCAGTGACATACGAGGGCAAAATTAAAGAAACCAAGTCAGTGGTGGCAAATGAAGATGCAAGGAAACATGGAGTTGCTAATGTTTTAGATTGTCTAATTCCTAAACCACCTAATTTAATTGGTAATGCAATTTCTTCTAAAGACAAAGGATTAATTTGGCAATTTGTAATTTGTTCTAAGGCATTATGGAGCAATGAATCAAACTCCTCTAGCAAATGTGGAGATTTAAAAATAGGGGCTGCCCTTAGTAGATAAACTAATCGTGGAATAGCTAGTGAATGTTTCAAGAGATAATACGCAATATGGCTTGGAATGGAATGCAATCGACCAGCCATGTTAGTAAAAGCGTGAATCTTTTTGCGGAAAACATGTTCAATAGATTCAAGAGTCAAAGGTGCACCTAAAAGTTCAGCATTTTCCTGAGTCATACATGAAATACCTGGTGCAACTGATTGGAAAGATTCTAGTATACATTGCGTGTTAGTTTGTGGACCTAAAACTGAAACCTCACATTTATCAAAGTTCAATTCTAAACCTACTTCATTTGCACATGAGATAATATGTTGAAAATCGTCTAACACTGTAGTAGGATTGCCACCTAATGTACCATCATCTAAGTACCACATATTAAATTCTGACCCTAAATTTGAAATGACTGGATGCAAGGTTAAACAGAAAAGTGGTGGACCTAACGGATCTCCTTGTTGAACACCTCTACATGAATCAATTAAAGAAGAATTCCACACAAGACTGGATGAGAATCTATAGCACTGATTAATATAAGGATACAAAGTTGGTACAAGTTCGTTCCCAATTTCCAATTTCCCTCTATCTACCATATTAAATGCATTCTTAAAATCGATTTTAAGGAAGGCTGTAGGTGATTGATGTGGAAAGGAAAAGAATCTACGGGCAGCGTGTGCTCCTGCTTCAGCACCATTTTTTACGTTGAAACCTACTTGGACTGGACTAAAATAATCCTGAAAGACATGATTCATGACCTTCACACAAATCTTTGAAACTATTCTACGATAAGTGCAACCTACCGCTATAGGTCTAATACCACCTGATTTCTTTTTAAGGGCCGTAAGACTTGCACCGTAAATGAAAGGACAAATATCTAAAGGAACTTTTCCTGCTAACATAAAATTGCAAAATTTTGTAAGAGATTCTAACAATTGAGTTCCTACGTCACCAGTATGTTGTGAAACTAGATCTTTCAGAATTTGTGGTCGTAATGCATCTAAACCCCCTGCTGAACCACTAGGAAATGAGAATATTGCTGAGATAACCTGCTCTGTTGTCGTAGTAAATGGTGGAATGTTAGGCTCATCTAATACAGTAAAATTGTCTAAAGATTGTTGTGGGTGCTTTTCTACAAGTGTGTCCAAAGTCGCTGAAGAATTGGGAGCGACAACATCATCTGATGTTAAAAGCCGTATCGCGCCACGAATATTTCCTTCGGAAACTTTAGATATGACTTTTGGCCCTATGTCGTTGATTTTGCTACCTGACTTATCAAAGACTGAATTTTTGGATGAAAGTGAAATGAGATAGTCCTGATAAGTATTTTTATCTAAGGATTCAAAAATAGATAAATTATTTCTAATTTTGTTGTTAAGACTTTGACCATTCTTTATATTTGCCCTTGAATCACATTGTAATGTTACATATGGAAAAGTCAAAAGAAGGTGCCATGCCTCTGGTGTGTTTTCAGTTATGCATTTATCTATGGCTGACTTGATTGATTGTGCTACCGGAATTCTACAGGCCTTGGGGCATTGTTTGAGAGTTGGACAATTTTGCCTAAGAGAGGAAATAATAGATTTGAAATCAAAAACAGTTTCTGGAACTTGTTCTGATTTTAACTGGATCCCTACGTAATGATATTTCGAAGCGCCATGAAATTCTGTCCTAAGTCTTTTGGTCCTAATGTTTGAAAATGAATTTTTTATCAATTTCCCAATTTCTGCATCGTTTAAGGGTTTGAAAATGCCTAACGAGTCCTGTCTATACGCTTCATGTAACAGATTTTTCTCAATTATACCTCCTGGGACTATATTGTTATTTAGCCACTCTAATGTGAGAGATGTACATGTTGCTTTGCTAGATATAAAATTTGAAAGTGGTGTACTTAATGTAGAAATTGGTTGTGATGCACGTGGATTTGTACAGGGGCTTGACTGTATAATTTGACTATGTGTGCCTAGAGTAGACTGATTTGCAGGCGACGGTGTGTTTGAGTTTACTTGGGGGCCTATTTGTGTATGTATTTGGGGACAGTTTGCGCAGAACCAGTCATCTTCAGGAATGGCCTGCAAAAGAAGACAAGAGGTGTGATACCACAAAAGACATGCAGAACATTCTATCCACTCATCTGTTGCTGAAGATGATGGTCCTGGGCAGCCCGACACCGGACAGAAAAGGTCATCGGAAACGGGATTTAAACCCTCGGTGGTATGGGGGAGCGGTCGGGAGGATGTGGGAGGAGGACATTTTCTTGGTCCTGTCCTCTTCTTTTGCTTATTCCTCTTCTTTCTTGGTCCTGGATGTGGTCGTGATGAGGATGATGATGGCGGCGGCAGCGGGGACGATGACGGCGGCAGCGGGGGTGATGACGATGATGGCGGGAGGGGAGGAAGTAGCGTCAAGTTTACATATTTCCATATATCTAGTGACTTGAAGAGCGGCATCGTGGTCTGACGACTTGTATCCAACAATACTGGCAATTTCCTTCCACGCTTAAAATATATAGACGGGGGCGGAATTCAAGAGTGAAAGTAGAGGGACTTCCAACGATAGATAAGTAGTATCTCCGGTGTAAGTTACCAAGTCAAGTTTTAAGTGCGGTGGTGATAGAAAAAGTGAGAACATGGATAAAGCTTTAAAAAATAGCAATCGTACCGGAGGAAAACTTAAGTGCAGTTTATAAATTTCATCATTCATAAATTTTTGCAAATTTCTTAAAATTACTACCGACCGACTTCCATAGAAGTTTACTACGTAATTTGCATGACACACATTTCCGGTAGAAACCAACTTTTGGAGCTATAAAAGTAATTAAATTATAGTCATCATGTCATCATCATCACTTTTATGTCGACTCGTCAGTTTCAGACACTTATCTCATCCCCCGATTAGTCGAAGCAGCGTCGTCTTCTGCTTCCGGTCTCTGTCCAATCGCCCAAAAAATAACCGTTTTCACTCCGCCCTTCTCGCAGCTCTAGCCACGACAAAGACGCTGTTCAAGCAGACAATTAGCCGGATCTTGTCCCCTCCAGATGATGCCCAAGTGTTTAAGACTGGGGCTCACTCGATAGGTCAGTTCAAATTGTCGGCATGCGAATTGTCGCCAAAATGATCATAATCAGCACATTTTCGTCATTTCTTCTCGGTTGTAGGAAATTCTGGAAGATAAAATTGTGCATAATGTCGTCGCCAATTTTTTAAACAAATACAATCCAAAGACAGTGTTTGAAGGAATAGATCTCGAGTTGAAGAGGCCTTCATAAAAATTGGAACTCATTGAAACTAGCTTGAAAAACGCCATTCTATCAATCAACTTACTGCCTACAAATTTGACGTCCAGAATTTTGAAATAAATTCCCAGAGCAGAGAAATGATTGAAAATGTGTTTATTTTGACGATTTTGGTGATGACTCATCGTCATCGAGTCTTGCTTTTATGTATTTATGAAATTCTATCATTATTTCGTGAATCCGCAGGGTCAAAAGTGTTAGCCGGGAGCAGTATTCTCGGTCTAGGTGGTCTCTGTTACTACGGGATCATTCATCACCCCGACATCATCCCGACCGCCCGGAATCGACATAATCTCTGGCCTGACCATGTCCGTTGGAGGGTGCGGTCCGCTTTTGGCTATCTCGGTCTCTCCGCCATCGTCACGGCGGCCTCTACGTGGGCCATTTTCCGCTCGAGAGCCTTCATGCGACTCATCCACTCCGCCCCCTGGCTCATTTTTGCGTCCTCACTCGCACTCCAAATTGGCACCGGCGTCGTCCTCTTGTTCGTAAACATAGCCATGCCTTATCCACTAATTAATTGGTTATCATGAATTTTTATGCAAATGATACAATTGTAGGACCAGTTCGTACACCCGAGGGTCGTACATAAACGTGAAGGAGTTCATGTGGCTGGTTCACTGCTCTCTTTTGGGAATCACGATTGCGCCAATGTGCTACGTCGGCGGATTTCTCGTCTCTCGAGCGTATAGTTTAATTACCGAATAAAAATATACCCGGGCATTTATTGATACTAAAAGTGGAGGCCTCTCAGAGTATGCTCTCCGATTTTGTGGAAACTAGTCTCAATCGATCATAAATTTAATTAGGATGAAATTTGCAAAAGAAATGATCTCCAAATGCGCAGGTTTCGCAGAGATATTTCCATCCAACGAGGATTGACAAACTTTACACAAGCGTTTTTTCTTCTTCTTCCCATTTTATACATCCATGTCGGATCCAAATATCTCTGCGAAACGAGACCATTTTGAGAGATTGTGTCGTTTACGAATTTAATACTAATTAAATTTGTGATGGATATATAGACACTAATTTAGTCAAAATCGTGGAGAGTGCGCAGGGAGACCTCCATAATGACTTTCATGAATATTTTACAGATTTCTCATGACTGGCAGTATCATCTCGGCGCTGGCTCTACTCGCATATACCGCTCCAGAATCGACCTTTCTTCCCTGGAGCCTCCCCCTCGGCATGGGTCTCGGCATCGTGTTTGCCGCTTCAACCGGTAAAAAAACTTCCCCAAGACAATAAAACGCCCGGGTAATTATTTATTACCAATTTTCCACGCAGGTTCCTTCCTCATCCCTCAGTCGACCCGGTTGGGGAGCTCCCTCTTCGCCGTGTACTTGTACGGGGGGATGATCCTCTTTGGTGCCATGCTCCTCCACGATGTTCAACGCGTCCTCCAAACGGCAGAAAAACTCCCGTTCGACCCTGACCGACCCGACACGTTTGACCCCATCAACGCCGCGATGGCCATGTACATGGACTGTCTCAACATCTTTGTCAGATTCGTCCAGTTATTCGCCTTGCAAGAGGTGGCCAAGAGGATTAAAAAGTGATGCCAACTAAATTTCTCATTATTTATTTACATAAATGACGACGATACAGAGAAAAATAAGTATTCCATCGCACTATAAAATTTATCTTGACATTAATGACATTTCGTAAAAGTTTCCCGATTGAATTTTCAAATTTCTCAATATTTATTTAAGTACAAAGAAAAATACCCCATCGCCCTGAAAAATATTAGAATTTTGCTCACTGCGACATACTTCTTGACATTTATTACGTAAAAGTTGTCCATTTGGTAAGGAATTTGACCAGCACATGTGGCCACGAAAAGCTAAGCTGCGCATTTTTCTTCCGATTTTAAAAGCACTCACCTTTCGGTTTTTATGTTCATTTGCACATGTACTTTTAGTAGTTTGGCTACGTGCTCGTCGAGTGAATATCTGCGTTATTACTTATTATTATCATCATCATTATGAGGTGTCATGAATGGAGGAAGAATGGGAAGAAGGAGCCGGGTACATATTGCATAAGAATGGAATGTGGAGTGAGGTTGAGTTGATTTCTTGGCAGCCAGCCACCCACTTTTTCTTGGGGGGCTGCCAACGGGAGAGCACAGGTGGCCTGCTCTTCTGTCGTCGTCGGCGTCATCTCTCTCCTGACCAAAAGTTCCACTCAGCCACAAACTGCACCTGGTCCGTCGTTTGTACATAGCTTGGAGAAATATAATATGGCTCGTGCCACGCCACGCACCACTCATCCATCCATCCATAATCCTTTAGCTATAAGGTCCATCCATCCATTAAATCAGCTCCATCCGAGCCGGGTGGAGGTGGGGGAGGGTGAAGAAATGGTTGTTGTTGTCCGGGTATTATGCATGAAGATCTGAGCTTATGGATCCACCCCAACTTCCGGTGTTTCAAAAAGTCTATTTTCATCTCCCTCCCCTTCATCGTCTTCGTCTTCGTCTTGCTGCACAGTGGTCACGGAGGAGCATGTGGTTTCCTTGTCTCTCCGCATTTCGGAAGGAAGGGATGAAAGAATGAAACCCGATCCTGCGGAATGTGTGTGCTATGTATGTATGCGACCCTTACATTTACTACGTATTTCTTTCCCCACCACCACCGGAAGACGTTCTTCTCTTCTTCTTCCTCCTCCTCTCACACATCACATGCACATGGATGGATGGATGGCGTTTAAACTGCGTGTATACGTACGTATGAATGGAATGAGGGAGGTAGGCCAGCTAAATAGGCTGCTAGGCAGGGGGAGGGAGAGCGAGATATGTGTATAGTTAGTTAGTCGGTGGACATTTAACTAAAGGTTTATCGGGGAAATGCCCGCTTCGGTGGTTGTTGGAGAAAAAGAACATGCAGATGATGATGATGATGTTGATGAGGAACAAGTTTCTATTTTGGGAGCTGTGTGGCACAAGCCAAAAGATAAAGAAAAGAGGAGAAGAGAGAAGAACTCAAGACGATGAATGTGTAAAGTGAAGACGACGACGACCAAGTAGAAGGCGCAGCCACCGAGAAAGGGAGACCAGTCATTTTGCTGCTGCAGTCAGTGGCTGCTGTCTCCGTCAACTGCGATCCGTCCACCACACCCACCAACCACCATGCCCAAATCCTTCCTCTTCCGACGCTTCTCCCACCACCAGCAGCAGCAGCAGCCTCCTCCACTCATCAGCAGCAAGGCACACCCACCTCCGCCGCCTCCCCTCCTCTGGCTCACCCCCGCACAAGATGCCCCTGTCGACCTCTCCGTCAAAATAGCTCAGCCGGACTCGATTAGTGAGGAGGACGACGCCCTCTTCAATCTCAACCAACTTGCAGAGGTAAATTTCTTACGGTAAATTGTAGATGTGGAGGCAACTTGAGAAATTATTAACCACAGGTCGCCATCACGTCTTCGTCGGAGAAAGGCCGTCTCAAATCATCACCTTGTCATCTGGTGGTTCCCGTCTCCCCTCCACCGCGTGCTGTCTCCCCTGCTCCTCCCCCCGGGAACTCCTCCCCCACGTCTTCCTCGTCTCACTCTGCCTCACCCTCACCCCCACCGCGACATCCTTGCCCGTCTTGCGGCAAGGGGTTTTCCACCCTTTCCAATCTTGCCCGTCATCGCCAGACGCACCGTTCTCTGACCGACTCAACGGCCGTGAAGCGGTACGTAAAAAAATTATTTAACTCAGGATATAATAGTCGCAAATACGTCATTTTTTGTGCTGGTTACACCGAATGAAGAGATTGATAAATAACTCTCAGATTAAATATATGCCATGAATTTTCAGGTGTCCCATCTGCGACAAGAGCTACGTGTCCATGCCCGCTTTCTCCATGCACCTTCGCACGCACAACCACAACTGCAAGTGCCCCTACTGCGAGAAAGGCTTCTCACGACCGTGGCTCCTCCAGGGTCACATCCGCACACACACTGGTTAGCAATATTATTACATTGCCCCTGAGTGACCCCGTATAATATACTGACCTTTAACCTTGTCCAGGTGAGAAACCGTTCAAATGTTCCATCTGCGCCAAAGCATTCGCAGACAAGTCGAACCTCCGCGCCCACACGCAGACCCATTCCGCCGAAAAGCCCTTCATTTGCACCCGGTGTGGAAAACCCTTCGCGCTCAAGAGCTACCTCTGCAAGCAGTAAGTTTTTAATTTGTAATTAACGAGTTTTTAATAATTCAAATTGAATTGTTTCAAACATTCACAAACATAGCAAACATAGTTAAATAATGAATTTTTTAAATACAGCATCGAGGCCAGTTGCATGCGCGGTGGTGGCAGCGGTGGCGGTGGGAGTGGGGGGTCAACCTCGTCGTCCTCCGGGTCACCGCCAAACCGGAAGTTGAACAAGAAAAAGAAGCGGAAAACGATGCACACCAACAAGAGCTCTTCCTCCGTGAGGGACGATTCTTCCTCTTCCACAGACGAGGAGGAAGAAGAAGATTTATTCTCCGGAGAAGAAGATGACATCGTCGTCACGTCATCGTTGACGACGACATGAGCCCAAGAAATAAGGGTTATCGACACGCCGACCATGCAACTTTAGTCATTTCCATGCAGCAGTTACATAAAAAATATCTCTAGTTTCACTACTGTATAATCTAATCATACTTTATGCAATATTATGCGAGCAGTGTGCCTTACATATTCTTCCAAGTGTGCCTAAATATGTATCAGTCAGTATTTAAGTCAGTTAGTTCAGTCGTCTCAGTAAGTTTAATATGCAGTTTTTATTAGTCAGTCGGTGTTTGAAACCAAAGTAAACGATGAGAAGAAACCCCTTCAGCCCAGATTGGAGATACTACATACCAAAGAGAAAAAGAAAGGGTTACACGTTCGGTGCTTCCTTTTCCGTCCTACATAAAAAAAAGAATGCAATTCATGAAAACCAAAGTCAACATGCACCACAAACTAAACCAAACCACACACATGCAGAACAGAATTTCCCCTGGATTACTACATATTTTTATTGTGTCATCCTCCTTAAATTCCAGTCCACTACACATACATCATCAGACTAGTTAACTATTTTACTTAATTACATTATTATTTTATGGGTGTGTGTTTTTTTGTGTGTCTGGGTACAAATTGAGGAGTAATTATGTTAGTTATGTTAGTGTGTGCGGTGGTGGTTTTAGAGAAAATGATGTACACATAAATACATAGCACGTCATGTTTATAAGTTTGGCATGTTATTTAGCTGTGTGTACATAGTTATCATCATCGGTACATTACATATCCAAGTCGTCGTCGAATGTATAGTCTGATGGAGTAGTTTATTTTATTACTTGCTCGTTTTTTTGTCTTCCTCACCAGAGAGTCTTGTTAAAATAAAGAGAGTGTCAGAAAAGAGGAGGAAGGAAGGGACGACCCTGTTGTATGTATGTACATGCTTGTCATTCATTATGCAAACGGTGGTCGATTTCTTGGGCGTTCATTTTTTATAATATGGTCAGAAATATGGAGCTAACAATTGAGGGTTCCCAACATTTGCTCACAAATTTTGACACTAATGTAATTAAAATCGGATAGCATCGAGGGGGGGGGTAATCCTAATGGTGGGGGGATATAGTGCCTAGAATTATGTAGATATTTATGATAGCCGTCGTATTATTGAGACTTGTTGTGCTGCCTTGGTTTGAGGACGACTCTGAAGGGGGTTGGTTTATTGAGGAGGCCATACGTGGACCCCTTGTCCTTCCAGTTGGGGGACACGTCCAACCTCCACTTGGCCAGCGTTCTGTCAAAACAAAAAACTTAAACATGATTGAAAATATTGCATTCCCCGTCGAATACAGTTCAAGTTCACGTGGGAATTTACTACAAGTCATCCTCCTCACGCTACTACTTTTCACTCCCAGACTGCAGCAACTTTATTTTTTTGCTACACTTTGTACTTTCTAAATTGTACTTTGTTTAATTAATAATGGAGGGGGAGGATCCATGGTCGGACAACGAGGACTGGGTCTCCACGCAGAGGACCACGAAGAAGAAACCACGAACGGAAGAGAAAGCAGAGGAGAAAGTGGTGAAAGTTGGCCCATCTATTTCTGTTGCTAAATCTACGCCGTTAGTTTTTTTTCCTCCTCTTCCTCCCAATTTCTGTTCCATGTTTACTACATATTGTAATTTTGTGTCATTACAGTGCACCGACTGCGACACCAACCCCTGCTCCTCCCAAACATTTGGCCGTTGAGACGACTAGAGCAGCAGGCTGTGCGGAAGGGGAATTAAATCCTCGTGGGACGGAGGATAAGGAGAAGAGGAAATCTGTCACCGCCACAAGTACTGCTCGTGAGGACCAGGCCTTCCAACCTGTCCCGTGGGAATGCGTCCCCAGAGTGGTGGAAATGGAGGTGGACGATGAGGAAGCGAGACGACGAGTCAGGGATGAGAGGGGGATTGTTGTCAGGAAGTTGGGAGAGAGAGAACAGTTGGGAGATGAGTTCCAAATTAGGTACCCGAATTCGTCAGTTGGGAGACTCGGTATAGTAATCTAAGGTAGTACACAAATTATTACTTGAGGACAATGATTAGTGTACCCACTAAAATAATAATATTATTATTATGCTATATAGATGAAGGGGTCGATAAGATCAGACAGACCATTCTACGGTTGGTTGGTTTAGCTCCGGAAACCATCTCTGCTGACCTCGACGTGTATGAAGCGTCCCCTGAAATAATTCTAACGCAGGAGGAACAAGGGTTAACGGACGGACAACGGGAGACTCTCTTTAAGGAGATTTTCGCCAGAGGAGGTCGTGTCCCTGTCGATGATAAGCCAGGATGGTTTTTAATTATTCATAAAGCCCCCACCACCGGTATAATCCATCTTTGTTTGGAAAAATTATCGGGAGCAAACGTTTACGAAGCTTTTAGGCTTTGTACAAAACCAAGTAAGTATATTTTAGTGGAAATTGTCAGGACAATTTCCGTCTGTTTTTGAAATCGTCTCCTTCGTTTGTTATGTGCATTTAAATAATTTATATCATTATTGCAGAATGTTACCAGTTTATGCACACTCTTTCAAGTGACGTCCTCCCAAAGTGTCACGTACACCAGCCTGAGCTAATTCATATTGTTCTACAAGTAACTGACTACAAGCGGAGGGACGCGCTGGTTCAAATCTGCATGAAACTTGCCCTCTCCGTAGCGTCAGGTGCATCCGAACAGAAGAAAAATGAGGAGGTTGAATTGTGGTTGGGTTATAAATCAGCTAGCTATCCATCTTGGAAGGGATACTGTGATGCCCGGATCTCTACACTCTCAACCAAGGGTCTCAAAGGAAAGGCGAAGAAGAAGGAGGATGACAAAAATCGTCCGATTGCCAAGTCCATCGATCGATTCTACTTTACCAACGAGGAGGAGGCTCTCAAGAAGTTAGCATTTGAATCGGTTAGTGAATTTGACTCGGAACTGTGCAATATTGAGTAATGAGTTGTCATTGTCACATTATTATTATGTATTTCTAGACCATTTGTATGTTTATGAAACTTGCCCCCGGAACTCCAGCCATCATCAACTTGGATGATCTCATCCCCCTCTGCTACGGGATGGAGGTCAGATCGATGCGCGACTGAAGGAACGAGGAATGGTGCTCAAAATTCGTCGCCACTTGAAGCCGGAGGAGAGGAAGGCGGTCAAGTATCCATTTCCAGGGGAGTACTTGCTCGGAACAGCAGCAGCAGAATTACAAAAACCAGAGAAAGGGAAGACTTTTTTGTATGCCATCATGTCTCGTGACATGTGGTATTTCGGATGGAGTAACACTCCCGATTTCAAGGGTCGCTTGGACGGAAGCCGGACGGATGGAGCTAGTGAATACAAAAACATCACGGTGGCTAGAGCTAAGTCTGAAGGCGTCGAGCCTCCCACCCTGACCTGCTACCTTCTCGCCAAATGTGATGATGATGATAAGAAGAGGATCAAGACAAGGACAATCGAAGCCAAAATGATTATTGCTGGTTATGTTGCATATTTGTTAGGTCTGCGTAATCCCATTCGTCCTAATTCTGATCTAGGTTATTCTACTAACAAGTGTGTCTCTTTAAGTCTTGTTGATTCTTCTTCATGGGGAGATATTTGTGAATTTGTAAAGTTATTTTATGGGTTTGAGCCAATATTGGAAAAATTTTGAGGAAAATTGAATTATTTTTGGCTTTTTGTATATATATGAAGTAAACTTGGGAAAAAGAAATAAAACTTATTACTCACCCGGTCAAGAAGGAGAAGAGGATCATGCGCAGGAGTGGTTCACCAGCGCATAAGTGCTTCTCTGCACATCAATGACAAGCTTTGTCAAAAACTATTTTGATACAATTGTCTTTGTAATAAACTCACCAGCTTCGAGCGAAATCAATCTGTCCTGCCCCACAACACGTTTGCCTGAGGCGTCCAAAAATCTTTCCGGTTTGAATACTGCTGGTTCATCCCACACTTTGGGGTCCATATTCGCACTGTGATAATTCAGTAGGAGAGGCATTTCCTGTGGGGATGGAGGCACGAAATCAGATGCCCGTTGTACGGATTTTTAAAATATGGCTGCTTACCCTGGGGAATCGTATCCCTTCTCCTGACCTGACCAACTTGAGCAGTTTCCTCCTCTCGAGGGGAACGACGCTCGAGATGCGGTACGACTCGAGAATGAAGGCAGCAGTGAAGGGCATATTTTCCATTTCTTCCCATTTCGGCACATCTCCCTCAACTCCACGAGTCACGGTCCGGATCTCGGCGGCGATCTTCTCCTGCGCTGCCGAATCTCGAGCGGCGTACGAGAGACAGAAACCCACGGCGGAGGACGTCATTAAGGGTCCAGGACATAGGAACTCGAACAAGAGGGCGATCGAGGATGAATCTACGTGCGTAACAGTTAATTACTGACCAGTGGTTCGGGTGCAAGTAACCAGTTGCAAGAAATAACGGCAAGAAAGTGGTTTCTTGCAGCTATTTTGACCTACAAGAAATTCAAGGCGCAAGAAACTAGGCCCCGTCGCTATACTTCATACGGCACGTGGCTGGATGGTGCATATTTCCTGCACTTTCTCCCAGTTTCTTACATCTCGCATTTCTTGCGTTTCTTGCTTTGCAGTGCAAGAAATGCAACAAACCCGGAATAATAGAAATTATTTTACTGACGGACAATTAATTTTAGATCTTATTTTCTCCTCACCATTCATCTGTTCCGAGCCGAAGGATTGTTTTCTGAGCTCTTTAAACTCACGGATGCAAGCTTGCACGTAGCTGAGCTCGTTATTGAGCTTACCCTTCTCGGCCTTCTTGTACTGCTCCTTGATGAGACTCTGCATGGAGAAAAAAGGGGCTAGATATCAGTCACACCCACCAAGTCATTCACTTTGTATAGGATTCTGTACCTTTAAAACCTTCCTAAAGTCGTGGTTGACCTCTTGCAGCTTGTTCCAGCCTGCCCAACCGGGGAACCAGCGCACCATGAAAGGATAGTGGTCACTCCAGGCCGATAGTTTAACCCCCTTCTCTTCCCAATCTTTCAAACAGCGGTGAATCGTTTGCACGCGACGGTCCGTGACCTAAAACCGGAGTTGAGAAATTAATTATTGACTTACAATGGAGGTTTCGCAGCATATATGCTCTCCAATTTTGACTAAACTAGTGTCTGTCAGTCGATCGCAAATTAAATTAGTATAGAATTTGCAAAAAACACGATGTCATAATGCATAGGTTTGACAGATATTTGCATCCAAATAGGAGAATAGGCACCCTAAAGTTGATAAACTTTACACATTCCAAATTTTACTGCTCGTTTTCTCCTGTTCAGATGCAAACATTTCCGCTAAATGTGACCATTAAAAGATCGTGTGTTTTGCAAATTTCATAGTAATTAGATACCTCGATCCCCACGTCGCCAGTGAGGACGGACCACACGGAGGAGATGACATAGGGTAGAAAAGTATCTGGAATAGAACATGTCAATAAAACCAAAGAAAATTATTGGATAAAATGTAACGGCTTCTAAATACCTGCGCCAATTTCTCTCATCCCCAGTTTGTCGACTCTCTCCTGACTTTCAATGCCTACGAGGAGGTCGTTCACTTGCTTGGAAATCAGCCCGTTTAAGGCTTCCTTTCTCGAGAGTAAGATGCTTTCCAAACACCTCGTCGCCGTGTTTCGACGCGACACCCAAACGGCGAGGGAACCTGGAGACAAATAAAATGATGAGTCGACATGATCCACGCATTTATTCCGCTTGTCACTGCTTACTCGTGGACCGCTTTTCCGTCTCCGTCCTGTCCAGGCGCCACACTTCGTCGCGCTCTCCCGCCCACTCGTCATCGTTGTGGAGAACCTCACTCAAACGCTGCGCCCCATTTACCGACACTAATTTATAATCATAAATTAGCATATTATGCACTATTTGTCATTGTAGTATCATATACTATGCAAATTATACATATGCAAATTTGTTATGAATGTATAAATTTGCAAGCTTACCATATCCACTCAATCCGTTGAAGACTTTCATGAATCCGCTCCGGTACCAGCGTCCCATTCGCGTGATGGCGACGTAAGGTCGATTCCCACCGTAAAGGGCGAGCTGGACCCGATTCCCGATTATGGGGAGACGCATGGGCCCTATACATACCCAAAAAAATCAGTAAAAGTTCTCAGTAATTCACTCGAGTTAAAAAAATATGTGTCTCACCAAACGGGATCCGCTTGAATCGGTCATTTAGCTCGTCACAGAGCGAGATGAGGAAGAGGACGCCCGCAATAATCCCGGCATAGTAGAGCCACTCCCACCGAAATATCTCCTGCACCACGGCCACCGCTGCAAACGAGACGTTTCACAAACTTGGCATGAATAATGGTCGGGAAATTTGATCATATAAACCATATTGCATTTTCCCCCATCGTTCAGGATTTACTACTTTTCACTCACCGGCAACTTACTTTTTGCTACACTTTTTAAATTGTACTTTTTTAATTAATAATGGAGGGGGAGGACTGGGTCTTCACGCAGAGGACCACAAAGAAGAGACCACGAACGGAAAAGAAAGCAGAGGAGAGAGTGGTGAAAGCTGGCCCTTTTACTTCTGTTGCTAAATCTACGCCGTTAGTTTTTTTTGTTTCCTCCTCTTCCTCCCACTAATTAATTATTACATATTGTTATTTTGTGTCGTTACAGTTCACCGACTGCGACACCCACCCTTGCTCCTCCTAAACATTTGGCCGTGGAGACGACTAGAGCAGCAGGCTGTGCGGAAGGGGAATTAAATCCTCGTGGGACGGAGGATAAGGAGAAGAGGAAATCTGTCACCGCCACAAGTACTGCTCGTGAGGACCAGGCCTTCCAACCTGTCCCGTGGGAATGCGTCCCCAGAGTGGTGGAAATGGAGGTGGACGATGAGGAAGCGAGACGACGAGTCAGGGATGAGAGGGGGATTGTTATCAGGGAGTTGGGAGAGGGAGAACAGTTGGGAGAAGAATTTAAAATTAGATACACGACTTCATCTGATGCGACACTTGGTAAAACGATGAAAGGTAATACATAAATTATTATACACATGATGATGGTTAGTGCACCTAATTTACAATAATATTATTATTATGCTATATAGACGAAGGGGTCGATAAGATCAAAAAGACCATTCTACGGTTGGCTGGTTTAGCTCCGGAAACCATCTCTGCTGACCTCGACGTGTATGAAGCGTCCCCTGAACCTATTCTCACGCAGGAGGAACAAGGGTTGACGGCCGGACAACGGGAGACTCTCTTTAAGGAGATTTTCGCCAGAGGAGGTCGTGTCGCTGTCGATGATAAGCCAGGGTGGTTTTTAATTATTCACAAAGCCCCCACCACCGGCATTATTCATTTATGTATCGAGAAATTGAATAATATTAATGAGTTACCCATTTACCATGCTTTTAGGCTATGCACAGAACCAAGTAAGTATATTTCATGTGGTTATGTCCTTTGTGATGCACATTTTAATAATTCATATCACTATTGCAGAATGTTACCGGTACAGATACACGTTGTCAAGTGACGTCCTCCCAAAATGTCCGATACATCTACCTGAACCACTTTACACCGTGATGACAGTGACGGATTACAAACGGAGGGACGTGCTGGTTCAACTTCACTTTAAAAAGGCACTCTTTGTAGGACATGATGCATCCGACAAGAAGAAAGATGAAGAGGCTGAGTTGGTACTAGGCCAACGAGCTGCCTCATATCAATCATGGAAAGAATACTGTGGTAGTCAAATCTCTACACTCTCAACCAAGGGTCTCAAAGGAAAGGCGAAGAAGGTGGAGGATGACAAAAATCGCCCGATTGCCAAGTCCATCGATCGATTCCACTTTACCAATGAGGAGGAGGCTCTCAAGAAGTTAGCATTTGAATCGGTTAGTGAATTTGACTCGGAACTGTGCAATATTGAGCAATAAGTTGTCATTGTCACATTATTATTATGTATTTCTAGACCATTTGTATGTTTATGAAACTCGCCCCCGGAACTCAAGCCATCATCAACTTGGATGATCTCATCCCCCTCTGCTACGGGATGGAGGGTCAGATCGATGCGCGACTGAAGGAACGAGGAATGGTGCTCAAAATTCGTCGCCACTTGAAGCCGGAGGAGAGGGTGAAGGTCAAGTCTCCCTTTCCAGGGGAGTACTTGCTCGGAACAGCAGCAGCAGAATTACAAAAACCAGAGAAAGGAAAGACGTTTTTGTATGCCATCATGAGTCGTGACATGCACTACTTTGGCTGGAGTGAGACGCCCGATTTCAAGGGTCGCTTGGACGTAAGCCGGACGGATGGTGCTAGTGAGTACAAAAAGATCACGGTGGCTAGAGCTAAGTCTGAAGGCGTCGAGCCTCCCACCCTGACCTGCTACCTTCTCGCAAAGTGTGACGATGACGATAAGAAGAAGATCAAGACAAAGACGATTGAGGCAAAAATGATAATTGCAGGCTATGTCGCGTATTTGTTAGGATTTTATAATCCTATTGTTCCTAGATTTTCACCATGTTACTCTACTAATAAGTGTGTATCCATTAGTCTTATTGATTCTTCTTCATGGGCAGAGATTTGTGATTTTGTCAAATTATTTTGGGGATTTGAGCCCATGTTGGGTCGATTTGAGGGAAATTGAATTATGTTGAGCTTTTTTTATATATGCAGAATGAAAATGAAATAAATTGACTCAAACGAAATAAAATTGATTATCTCACCCAGACGAAGGACGAGAATCAACATGACGACGACGACGACTACTTGACCACCACAACAGCAATCGACTCCTGCCGATTAAATGGATCTCTTCTCGTCAGAGTGTGAACTCGTTGAGCTAACGATGACTTCAGAAATGCTCGCGTGTGTGTAGCGTACGTAGCTTTGTTCGAGTGGGGATTAAGCTCAAGAGCTCGCAACTCTGTAAGTAAATTGAGGTACAGATTCATGCAAAATTGTTGCATGAATGGATTTAGCAACTCTCACCTCTCGTCAGATAAGGCCAGTAAGATTGATGTGAACGGGATCAGTCCAGTGCAAAGTCAGCTATAATTGTTGAGCGAGTCGTGCAGCTGCTGCTGGCAAAAAATTGTAATTGATTACTATAATTATGATGCACATGAACTTTGTATGTATGGAAAAGCCAACTTGTTCCAATATTCTGCTGACCCTAAAAAAGCTTTAATAAATGGTTGTGTGGTGGCTGCTTATATCAGATCAAGTTTTCAGTTCGTGCTCGTATTTTAATCCAAACTGAACCCTCACCGACCGACTACTTGAGGCTGATTAAAACTAAATGGATCTCAATTGAATGAATCCGACCCTGGCTGGCTGGACTACTGGACTCTTTAAGCTGCTGCCAAGATTAAACATTACTCCGGAATGCTGACAGTTTGGAAAATTTTAAATTTTTAAGTGGCTCACTGAGCAGAAAGAAGGAGTCAGTCAGGCGAGAGCAGACTTGGGAGGAGAGGAACGCCACACACGAAACAAAAAGTAAGTAGATAATCAAAACCAGTGTCAACTGCACGAAACGCGATTTATCCCAATTGAGCCCAATTGTTTAAAAGTATATTTATTATTAGAGACAATTTTAATTCTCACTTTTTCCTTCCTTGTGTCCTGCCAGACTCGGCTTGTTCAGTCCCGACCTCAGCCAAGGGAGGAAAAAGAAAGAGGGGATTCACTCGCTCAGTTTTTGACACAAAAATCGATAAAGTGCATCCAGCAGAAGTAAATCCGGAAAAATAGGGGAGGCGAACCGATCAGATTCAGATCTTTATTATTATTATTTCTGCCGAATAAATAACAAATTGATCTCTCGAGGAGGACAGAGCAGGACAAGGATTGAATCAGGTAAGAAAACTACAAACTTTGCTGCACCTTTGTAAATATCCCAACTATTTCTAAGTAATTCCTCAGCAGATATATGGTTGGTAAAGCAGTCTATGTACATATTCGAGTCGATTTTGCCTATGTAGGGCATCAGGGAGGCAGCATATTAATTGTGGGGTGGGATTTGTTGGCCCAATTTAATGTCCCGACATTACTTTGCTCTCTATTCCTCATCGATTTGCAAAATTATTGATCTCGCCGCTGTCCCAAATGATTAAGAATTTATACGAATTGATTCCCGTTCCCCTATTTCCACAGGTTATTAAATCATCAGTCTTTCAGTATATGTAGCATCTGCATTTCATTACCCAACCTACCAAATTGCCAAAATATTCACGACTTTCTTCTCCCCAAACCCGAATCATTTTGCAAAATATTTAGCATGTAATTTTTCCATACCAAAAAATAATAATTTCGGGTTTATTCTACTCCGTGTAAATAGAGTCGAATAACCCGACGTGAACTATGCCACCGAACGTGAAGGACAAGGAGGGTTCAGCCCACGCTTTGGGGGAGGAGGACCTCGACGACGACGCGCGACCCTTTATCACCCCCAAAAAGGAAATCCTCTACGACGGTTATTTCTACGATGTGACCGATTTCGTGGACCGACACCCGGGCGGGTTTGTCATAGATTATTACACGACGCCCGGAGAGGACGCGACCGTCCCGATACTCGAGTTCCACAACAGGTCAAAATCCAAGGTTGACCTTATCATGAAGTCGCTCCCACGGAGGAAGGCACAAGAGCATGAGAGTAAGTTACGAGATAATTATTATTTTACTAATTAGCAGAGCACGGATATGCATTTATGAACGAAAAATCACTGAAATCACTGTGTATTTAATTTTTGGGGAAAAAACACAAAAATACGAACTTTCGCAAACTTTGTATTTCTGAATTAATTCTCGTCGAATTTCTTTGAGCATAAAAATGTCGGGTCATATCGTTGAAATATTTACAACATGTACGAATAAAAAAAATATCGAACATCACGATTAAAAAAAATAGTAGTGTAAATATTATAAATATTTATATGTTCGAAAACCTAGAAATATGCATAAAAAATATTTCGAAACTTTTATGATCTATAAAAGTTTGTAACACACCCACAAAATTGTACAATCATCAAATGAAAAAGTTGAAACTACGTAAATACCTACATATCCAACCTCTGCTAATTAAGCATACATTTAACTGCCTAACTGTATTTGTACCCTACTTATCAGTGTACTTTGCTGGTAACCGCGCCTCCCGTGATCGCTACGCCGCGATGACCTCTGACTTTCTCGCCCTGCATAAAGAAGTCGAAGCCGAAGGTCTCTTTAAGCCCGTGTACTGGCGCAACTTCCTCGTCGTGCTGGAGGTCACTTTCACGATGGCATTGGGCGCCTGGATCGTGGCTTCGCACCCGGAAAGCGTCGCGTTCAAAATCCTGGGTGCCATCATCGTCGGACTTGGCATGGGACGGATGGGGCTTCTGCAGCACGAATGTGGTCACAACTCGGTTTCCGGCAACCCCAAATTGGACAAGGCCCTGCAAAATATTTTCTACGGTTTGTACATGGGAATGAGTGCCAAGTGGTGGGTGAGACGACATAATCGACACCACGCCATGCCGCAACGGTACCAGAGGGACTTTGACATGGAGCATCTACCCGTAACCGCCACCCACGCGGACTTTGTCACTGATGCGGACAACTTTGCACAGAATAATGTACTCACGCGAAATCAGGTAAAATATTTTGCATAATTTTCCTCCACACAATTTAACAAATGCTTAACCTCCTCCACGAATTGAAAACTGGCAACATGCAATTTAATTAATTTCCTTAATGCATTAACATAATGAGAATGCATAAATATGCTAATTATATTGAATAGGAAATATAGGGATTCAGGTAAAAGAATATCATAGTTTTCCTCTACGCAATTTAACAAATATTTACCTTCGAATTAACTGACACGCAATTTAATCAATTTAATTAACTAAAATGATGAGAATACATAAATATGCAAATTATATGGAATAGGAATCACAATTTTCCTCAGCCCAATTTTAACCGACACGACATTTAATAAATATTTAAGTTCCTCCACGAATTTGAATGAATGAATGAATACTTTATTGATATGGTGGCCCTCATCAAATTCAATTACATATAATGGAGTATTACTATATTTTAGCTATTAGTATTTTAGCTTTAAGTATTCCTCCACGAATTTACTGACACGCAATTTGATTACATAATTAATTTCTTCAATATGTAAATATGCAAATTATGTCTAACAGGGATTCCTCCTCCCCCTGAACGGGACATTGTTCATCTGCGCCATCAACTTTTACTACCACCCGCACTACATCATCAAGCGTGGGCTGTGGGAGGAGGCGCTCTCACTTTTGGCACATTTTGCTCTGGCATTCTACATCATGGGCGTGTGGCCCTACCTGCTCGGCAAGACCTTCATGTCGCTCTATCTCTCGTCCTCCTTCGCCCTCAACCACACCCACCTTCCGATCACCTATGAGAACAAGCATTGGCTCGAGTTTGGCCTGCAACACACGGCCAACGTGTCGCCAGGATGGTTTAACGACTGGTGGCTCATCCTCCTCAACTATCAGGTCAGCCAGTCCGTCAGTGGGTGGGGTCACTTTGAGGTCATGTTGACACTTTTGTTATTATTGTTGTTAGATTGAGCACCACCTTTTCCCAACGATGCCACAGTACAATCTCCGCTTCGTCTGTGAGGTAATAAATTTCTGGAAGAATTTATTTCACATTTTTTATGAGAAATTAAGTTTGAGAATTGTTGGAAAAAATTCTCAGAAAAAAATTATGAGAAATTCAGCGTTTCGTTCTTGTGGGTTTGCTACATTTCTTGCACTGCACTGCAAATCAAGAAACGCAATAAATGCGAGGTGCAAGAAACTGGGAGAAAGTGCAGGAAATATGCACCATCCAGCCACGTGCCGTATGAAGTATAGCGGCGGGTCGTAGTTTCTTGCGCCTTGCATTTCTTGCAGGTCAAAGTAGCTGCAAGAAACCACTTTCTTGGCGTCATTTCTGGTTATTTGCACAGGAGAAATGTAACACGATTTTTTCCTCTGCTTACAGCGTGTCAAGAAGTTGGCTGCCAAGTATGACCTCAAATACGAAACGACCTCACTCCCCCACGCCTACAAGAACATTATGGAACACATGCTCGAAGTGCAGGGTCACGTGAGGGAAGTGCACCAACGGAAGAAGGAGGCTCAAAAGACGGAGTAATTATTTAGTCAAGATAAAATTTAATAAGTATTTGGTTTGGTCATTTAACTGCATATGTAAATCTTATAAATAATTACAACCTTGATCATAAATAATATACTTGACATTGCGATGTCATAGGTTAAAGTTCAACGTGCAAACTGTGTACGATACATAAATTACTAGATTACGTCCATCTGTGACATTGACACCACAACGGCACCCAAACTCTGTTGGATTAATTAATCAATGAATGGAATAAAAATGTTACGAGTGGATAATACTCGAGATAACATGCATTCCGTGCAATTCGAATGAATGAGGACGAGTCAAAACATGCCTTTTTTGGTACAATTTATGTACAATCATGTCGAGAGATCAACTTGTCCGTCTACATACAAAAGGCGATTAGACTTACTTTTGACGAATTCAAACCTTAATTACGGAATGGTTTTTAGTTGTAGAGATTTCTAGCATTTTTTATGTGAAAGCCCATGTCTCAAACTATAGGTTAGCATATCTGGCTTCCGGTTTTGTGTACTCTGCGAAATGAGGCGAGGTCAAATTTGGAGAGGTGTCCTTCTTTAGTTTTCCAAACCCGTACTCTTACAAAATGGCGTTGAAGAAAAGATTTTTTTCTCAGGTCCTGATGCAAAAATGGTCTTTGCGACTATTATTAAGGGAATCAGCATGCTTTTCACTATATAAAACAATTTTTGTCTCATGCTTATCTTTTAAGTCCGTTTTGTAGTCTAATTTTAAACTTGTCCAAATTGAATGCGCTCGTGACCGCAACTTCTCCACTTTAAAGGCCCCCACATTTTACGACTTTGATTTTTAAAATCCCTAACGTTGTTTTTATTCAAGGTACATATAGTATATTGCACTGTAAGTACTTTTTACAAAATTTTGATAAGTGGTTACACCCCTAGAAATCAGCTCTTACCAGATCCCATGAGTTTTGTAAAAAGGTTCTCCTCAAAATCGAAACTGAACTTCAGAAATAATTTAACTAACCAAAACGCAGTAATTTTAACATTTTGTCACTTGTACCTTGTAGGCAGAATAGTTCTGCAGTAGGGGACACAAAAAAGTTATTAAAATTTATTTTAAACAATATTTGACCATTAATTTTCCAAATTAGTTCACGAGTTTTTTAGGATTCCGCGTCAGCTGATTAGCTTGGGTCCTTCTCCAAAACTGGCTACCCAAAATCTTACCTGTTCTATTTAATATTACGTAGGACACTTTCAGCTTTACCCTCAATCTTCATTTGACCCAGTGGGTCCGATTTCAAGGTCAGCAGGTCAATTTTCCTGTGCACGGTCCGATTTATCACTTTTCATGGAAAAATATCAGCGACGCTGGAGGGCCCATCTTATGTAATTCATTGCGGATTCTTTTAATATTACATGCAATGGTTATCAGGGGTTATAATATTAACAATCATTCACCTCTGACCTCTTTGGTTATCATAATATATGAATAAGTAAGTTTGGAAAGTGTTTTTTTGGCTCCCTCCAACTCTGAGGGCACTGGAGGGGGCATTTATGAAGCTATCGCTACAAAATTTTAGAAATATCTTCCTGAGAGTATTATCTGATAACTCGCCAAAAATCAGTCCAAAATTCAACCCCCTGCCAGAGAGATTCAACTTTGAATTCGTCAAAACCATCATTAATCACCTTTTGTAAATATGTACCTCGGGAAGAAAAGGTTATGTCATGTCACAGTCGGTCGGATGATGATGGTGTGTTACTAATAAATCCACCTACACCAAATCTGCATTATCTGGCTTATCATTGATATTATTTATATGCTTAACTAACTGAGCATTAAATTCTTGGGTGACACCGTGTCACTGACACGCCATCCAATTTTTGCAAATATATATTACATAATTTAATCCTGACATATTTTAGTGGCAATTTTACGTAATAAAGTTGCTGGATTTATTTAGTAGGACGTTATTTTAGTCGGGGCAAATTCTCTCCCAACTGAATTTAGCAGAGACAATTATCACGATTACCGGATTAAGGATTAATAATCCTTAATCCCTAAAACAAAATCCAATAATCACACGTCTCTGGTGAACAGTACGTATGTATGTTAAAGGGAATATGTATTTAGATTCCATGAGATTAAGATTATTAGTCAATCAGCGGATATAGGGAACTCACATCATGCACATGTTTATTATCACGAGACAAACATGCATAACAATAAAATTATGCAATAGCTCGTCTCCTGAACGTTTCTCTTGCAATTTTGCATACACTTTCATCATCATTTCCATGCTGTGCATCATGAGATCAAGATCAAGACACAATTAAGAAGCACAAGCACCATGGAGTATAAGCTACGACATGCTATTTCTCATCAACTTATGCAAATATTATTGTCTCTAATCCCAAATAAAAGCAAATTGGGATTAGTGCACATTTTGAAACGTATTGCAACGTTTATTTCACGTATTATTGGCAGAGGTACGATTTGCGAATAATCAATATCACGGTTTTTTTCTTTATATGAAATAAAACCCGGGTATTTTCCGTACTTACTTCCCTAAGAGAGTTTAGTCGATGCATATTGCGTCAAGGTCGTCAATACAGTACACGTATCCACACATCACATCAGTCAGATTCTTATTATTAGTAATTACACGTCTCTAGTCAAAACATTTCATTATATTCTAAACATAACATAACGTTGCAAAAACACTGCCAAACAATTCGCATAAAGTCTGCATTGTGCGAAATATATGGTGATAATAATACATAATGGAGGAAGAAGAATCTCAGAAACTGCACCCAGAAGAAGACACACTTCCCACCGTGGTGGCATCCACGGACAGTGCGGCGTCCTCCCCCTCTGGTCGTCCCCCCTGGTTGAAGCGCTACCTGGGCATCCTGCTCGCCCTCTGCGCCTCGCTCCTCTTCCCACTCACGGGCCTCCTGGTCAAAACCTTGGTCAAGACGTATCACCCTTTCAACGTGGCGTTCTGGCGATTTCAGGGCATTCTCCTCCCAGCCATTCCTATGGCTCTTTGTCGCCCTTCAGCCAAAAAGGACGGCAAGAAAAATAAAAATATCTTTGCCCCCATAACCTCGGGGGAAGACGCGGCCCAAAATCGTGTCCTCCTCGTTGTAAGTGACACTACGTCAAAAATTCTGCTTAAGAATAATCAGTGTTCCGGGTGGAAGAAACTACGTACAAGAAATAACTGCAAGAAATTGGTTTCTTGCAGATATTTTTGCCCGCAAGAAATGCATACGGTGCAAGTAACTACGTTCCATGGCTATAATAGTTTATAGGGCGCGCGGCTACATACATAAGTAGATGACGCATATTTTTTTTGCACTTTCTTGCACCTCGAATGTCTTGCGTTTCTTGCTTTCCAGTGGAAGAAATTTAGCAAACCCGCAAGGAATTAAACATTAAAAATCCATATTTTGTGCATATTTTCAGCTGCGCGGCCTCGCAGGCGCATCCGCGCTCGTCTTTCAGTTCTACTCTCTCCGCTACATCACGATTGCGGACTCTTCGGTTATCTCGTTTTCGACGCCGGTGTGGGTGACGCTCTTGGCGCATGTAACCCTTGGAGAGGCGTGCAGCGTGATGACCATTCTGGCCGGAGTGCTCTCATTGGCAGGTGTGCTTATCATTTCGCGACCACCGATGCTCACAGGGCAGGAATCTTGGGACGGGGACACGCTCATCGGTGTCGCACTGGCGCTAGGTTTGTACAATTTACATATTATGAAAAATGGACTTCCATATTATTTTTATTTTTATGTAAATAGGTTGCATGGTCTGTGCGACGAGCACGTTCGTCATCCTGCGCCGCCTCCGGACCATGTCCTACGCCCTGCTGAACTTGTTCTTCGGTATTTGGGGCAGTTTAGAGACGCTCTTTCTGTCCGCGTTGATCTGGACGTTTTCGCCCCCAATGAACTGGTGGGACGGGGGGTTGGCGATTGCTTTGGGCGTCCTCTCCTTCATCTCACAGCTCTGCATGACACTCTCCTTCAAGTACGAAACTGCCGGGGTCATCTCCCTCATTAGAACTTTGGACGTTATATTTACCTTCATTTGGCAGTACCTCGTCTTCCAAGTAGTACCGGACAGATTTAGGTAATAAATTTCTGTTCATGTTTTGAGTTTTCAAAATTTTAAGAAATTTGTTCTTTCAAAATTTCCAGCGTGATAGGCGCCATCATAGTTTTGACGGGAATTGGGCTCGTCGGAGTAAGAAAGTGGTTGACTGAACTGGATCCTCAAGATCCTCGAAGGAAGCGATTCGCACTATTGCTCATCTAGTCATCAATTGCAAAAGTGGTATTCAAATGTGATACGGAGAAACGATGAAATTAGAAAAATAATCTCGAAAAATATTTACATATTTAGCAAATAGATATTATTTTATTAATAAAAGTAGCAAATAATATTTATAGAATCATTAATACATAAATATGTGGCTACTCATTTCGTCAACTCGGTGTTCGTGGGGGTACTGGCGGTGGTGGCGATGCGAATAACAGGTGGCGTCTCTCTAGTGGACTGCTATTATTGTTGGGGTTGAAAAATCTCGCTTCGTCAGGGGCAGGTCCGTACCAATTCGGAACGACGCGAGGGGGGAGGTGGTGATGGTGTGGTGGACCAGCTTCCGTCGTACTGGACTCGGATCGTGACCCCAACACAAGGGCACCTACATAAAGTGATACAAGTGCAGGCATAATCACAGGGTTTCGATGTGGTGTTAACAGCCGTCCAAAACATGTTTCCAGTTTTGGACGTCCCAAGTTTTCGACGTCCAAAATTTCCAAACGTGTCCAAAGTAGGAAATGGGACAGATTGTTATAGGTTATTTATTCCCATTATTTAATCCTTCCATAATCCGTATTATCTTGTATTAATTTTGAGCATTTTGGTGCGTAAATTACGCAGCGTAATACGGCATGGTTTAGAAAATTTGTTAATTTCTCAAGAAAACATGTTAAAACAAATGTTTTCCTAATTCGGTGGTATTAAGCACCAACCAAAATGCTAGATTGAATATCTGTGCATAAATTCACAAAGTAGTCGTTAATAAAAAAACTTGTCACGTTTTGCCCCATTTTCCAATGTTGGACGGTTTTGGACACTTATCGAAGGTGTCCATTTGAAATATAGTTTTGGACGTTCATACAGTAAATCTGCACAAAAAAGACTTACGCGTCGTGGACAACGCTTTCCTCTCACTCCTACGATAACAGAGGTAACTGCACCCAATCCCGATGCCTGACAGGATCAAAATCACGGCAAGAAATCCCATAATCACGATCACAGAAGTTGCACTGTGCAGAGAACAAAATTTTCCAGTGTCAGTCATTATTTTTCCCAGTAATTATAAATTTCCATATTCCTATTTACTCTGTACCTGTCGTCATACTCGGTATTTTGAACGTTCTTCTGGCGAACGGTGGGGGATTCTACTTGCTGCGATGAAACCACACCTGCACTCGTTAGCAGAAATATCATCCTCCCTTGAGCCAGCATTTTGTACAAGTATCGCACTAATTGATTAATCAAGTTAGCGAATTTATGTGATTATTTGAACCATATACAACTGGTCAAACCATTGACCAATTGACGAAATATACTTTTTTTCAAGTTTAACAAGTTATGAAGACTTCATAGTCTCGACTGGATGTTCATGATTGACAACAATTCCAAAAACTGGGAAAGTTTTCCCATCCATTAATGCGTATGTAGGTATTTATTTACGCCTAAATACTTACACGCTTACTGTGGTCAAGTGTCCTTTACGGAGAATTTTCCTCTCTTTTGGCCCATGCGGTTTGCTACATGTTGTGGCCCCACAACTGCAGACATGTAATACGTACATCCCATACATAATATTTTGCACAAAATTTGCCCATTCTTTGCAAAAACGTGACAGCAATTCGTACATATCATCATTTATTATTATGTCTACTCTCGTTCTCGTCTACGCGATCATCATCACTTTGCTGACTGATGATGGCCAGCTCAGAACAAAGGAAAAGGGAGGAAGCGGGTTTTACCCGAACCCATCCGATCCGGACTGTGTAAAAAATGTGTACAAAAAAGTTTGGCAAATGCAAACCTGTACTCGCTTTTAGTCCACATGGCATGGCACATTTTCACACGAAAGACTGCTCCAGTTTTTACAGGCTTCATAAATTACATCACCAACTTTTCTCCTATTCTTCTCCCCAGACTTTTATTGCATTGCATAAATAAATAAACTTGTTCATATTCCGAATTAAATAAAAAGACTGACATCATCATTTATGATTTAATAAAAGTGAATCAAAGGCTAACTTGTAAATTCCTAATCTACATACAAATTTTAAACAAGCAGGGACGGCATTTTACTTAACCGTATCGTATACAGTATTTCAGTTCAGTCGGTGTGGCGATCGAGTAATTCGTACTTTTGTGCTGATAGGTATTGTTATTGGATTCGAGTTTCGGTGGCTTAATTATATTTAGCTTAACCAGGTTTAACGACTTGTTGCATCATCACATCACCAATGTAATGTGAGATGCATTTTAGGTGACTGATCCTTAGTGAAATTGTCATGTCTTATTGTACATCGTAAAATGAGACAGGGAGAGGAGACGCCGTTAGGAAAAGCTACGGACAGAAATGCAATAATGCAATGAATGGGGAACGGAATGGTTTCATATTTCATTTCATAGCACTCTCCTCCTCCTCTAATTTCGTATTATCTCCTCTCTCCTCACTAATTGAGTTAGTCAGTTAGCTAGTTACCAGTTCCATAAGACAGTTACAGTAAATTAGTCTGTTATCCAAATCCGGTTCTCGTTCCAGCAGGAGGTAAAGTAAAGTATAGTCCTATTTAGAAGGTAGTGGATTGAGGTAGGGTTAGATAACTAGCAAGTCTACAGTTTTAGATTAGTGGGTGTGGTTTTCTACTGGTTTGAACATGAAAGAAATGGGCAAGATGATGTCTTCGCCCTCCTCCTCGATCTCCTCGATGGTGAGGATGAAAAAGGAGGTCGGTCTCCTCGAGGGGGTCGCCATCATCATGGGAATCATCATCGGATCTGGTACTTTTTTTACATAGTTGTAATTTTCAAATGTGTAAATGATGGTGAGAATTGCATTTTTGCAGGAATCTTCATCTCTCCGAAGGGTGTTTTAGAGGATGCCCACTCCGTCGGGTTGACCATCACGGTCTGGGTTTCTACCGGGCTCCTCTCCATGATCGGAGCCGTGTGCTATGCAGAACTGTAATTTTCGTTAATCTACAGTAAATGCTTGTGTAATGTGTGATTTAATGTCACATATTTTAGTGGGACGACGATCCAAAAATCTGGCGGAGACTATGCTTACATCCACCAAGCGTTCGGACCATTTCCTGCTTTTCTCTTCCTCTGGGACGGTATGTGTGTACCTTTAACCTAGGACACGATGACTCTTGATCAAAATCGAACCATTTTTAACCTTTTCACGGCTCTGGAATTCATTTTAAAATTCTGAAAGACAAATTTGTAGTCAGTAAATTAGTTAATATGTAGGATGGCGGTGAGTTTTTTTAAGCCAGTTTCGACGAGTTATAATTCTTCTGAAGGTTTCATAAACTAGAAATCTTCAAAATTTGGAGTGTGTATTTTTTTAAATTTGGAACGAGCTGCTCCACAAAATTTACCATCCTGAATTTTTCAATAGGTTCCCAGTGCCGAGAAATGATTAAAAATGTCCTGATTAGCGACGCGTCATCGAGTCGTTAAAAACAAACACAAGCTCTTTCGTCACCCACCCCCATTTTCATGATTATTTTCTACACAGCAAATGTGGTTTTTGTCCCCACGACGAACGCCATCATGGGATTGACCTTTGCCAAGTACGTGACGCAGCCGTTCTTTCCTGCCGGATGCATCCCGGACAGCGGAGTTCGTCTCATCGCCGCGTCCGCCATCATTTTCCTCACTTTTCTCAACTGTTACGACGTTCGGATCACGACGAGGATGCAGAACGTGTTCCTCGTCGCGAAGGTGGCCGGACTGGGGACGGTGATCGTGGCTGGAATGGTGCATCTCTTGCAGGGGAACGTCTCCAATTTTCACGACCCTTGGAAGAACACGCAGACTGATCCCAGCCTCATCGCGGTCTCGTTCTACTCGGGAATATTCTCATATGCGGGCTGGAATTATCTCAACTTTATGACGGAGGTGAGAATGGCATGCTTATCAATGTTTCGGGTGGAAGAAAAAACGACAAGAAAGTGGTTTCTTCGACCCCCAATTACGACCCACAATTAGAGTTCGTACGGCGCCTGGCGCATATGTTCCTTCCAGTTTCTTGCACCATGCATTTCTGTTTTTGTGTGCAAGAAATATAGTAAACCCGTAAAAAACAACACATTTCTTACCAGTATATGCTTATCTGAAATATTCAACTATGGTGTATGTATGTAGGAGCTGAAGGACCCTTACCGCAATCTGCCCAGGGCCATCTATATTTCCCTCCCACTTTGCACGATAGTCTACGTTTTAGCGAATTTAGGCTACATTGCCGTCCTCAATTATGATCAGGTAAAGTCTAAATTAATTTGTTTGCATAATAATTTCTTTAATTTGCGTTCAAATTTTGAAATTGAAATTTTGGTTGTATTTAGATGATGCACAGTGACGCGATTGCAGTGGTAACTACTTACTTATAAATATAAATTGATTGATGTTTTTGGTATTTGTGTTTAATTAATTTTGATCGAAAATTTTTGTAGACATTTGGAGACAAAGTTCTTGGCAGCATGGCTTGGGTGATGCCGGTCTTTGTGGCGTTATCAACCTTTGGCGGACTCAGTGTTCATATCATGACCTCCTCCAGGTACGTTTCTCTAACTGTTGAGGTACATTTTTTAAGGAAACTTCAGTAGAAACTCGAGGATTTTTTCAAAAGTTAAAACCAAAATTCAAAATAACAGTAATAATTATAACACAATTACACCCAATTTTAAATAACTAAATCGGTCCCTTGAAATTGGACATAAATTTACATATCTTTCAAAACGTAAAATTCTTATTGGAGTATTCCGAAGATCAAGATACTGTCGCATGCAGCAACTGGGTCAGGGAATTGCCCTTATTCAAAAGGTTTGTCACATTGGACCAGCGTCAGGGTACAAGAAAGGAAAACAATTTCATCACAAGCGTCATGCATCTAAAGAATAAATCATTTTGTCTGTCCGACGTGTTTATGGCCAATCGTCCCAAAGACCAATCGTTCCAAAGGGGGGGGGGGTTTCTACCCAAATAGACTCACACCCGATGATAGTGTCACCAAACTATATCAAGACGATATTATCAAGACGCCATATTGCACTAATTAACTCCTACCCAGAAAATAAATCTTACCCCGATCACGCAGTCCTCAATAGTACATGAACGTAACTCTTCATTTACTGTAAAATGACGACATACCCAATTTCTTACCGTATATTGATGAAATAGAAATGAATATTTGGAGGTTTAAACTGATTATTCCATTTTAGAATAAACTTACAAAAACCATGATTTTCTACAGGCTTCTATTCGTGGGTGCCCGAGAAGGTCAAATGCCCTCCATGCTGTCCACAATTAGCTCGAGACGACTCACACCGGCACCCGCTCTGGCATTTCTGGTAAGAAATTAGTATCTACATTAACAGTAATTGGTTATTGGTGAGTAATTTAAAGTATGCGATTATTATTTAGTGCGCTCTGAGTCTTTGCTACCTCTCGACAAGCGACATCTTCGCCCTGATCGAATACTCCTCCTTCGTCGAGTCCGCCTTCATCTTTGTCACCATTTCCGGCATGGTTTACCTCCGTGTAACAAGGCCAGATTTACCCAGACCGATTCAGGTAAAAATTACAATTATAAATTAGGTTGGTGAAAGTGAGAACTATTTAATTACGTAAATATTGATTTCGCAGTTTCCACTCTTCGTGCCCATCATATTCCTCTTCCTCTGCGGTTTCCTCGTCTTCCTCCCCGTATTTCGACGTCCCTGGGAAGTTGGAGCAGGTCTACTCATCACAGCCACTGGTAACTAATACGTAAAGATAACCACTACTTATCTTCAAAACTGACCCAACTATGATCTTCTTATCTGCAGGCATCCCATTCTACTTGATCTTTCTAAAGTGGAGACCCCGTGCCGTGGTCCCGTTCACGACCATGTCCACTCAAACGGTACAAAAAATCTTCCTCTCCCTGAAACAGGACTGATCTTTTTTTACACAATCTTCAAACCATTAAAGATTACCATTTTTACTGTGAAACACCTTCGTGAAAAATAAAGAAATCATTTCATGAAACGACTTTTTATGATGGCTTGCAAAAAAAACAGTTCAAACAAAAACATAACTTGCCAAAAAAGGTACAAAAAATATTTATTGATGAAATACAAAACCAAATATTTGTATTACAATCAAAATCATCACCGGCCGAAGTATTGATGAATTAATGCATATCATATCAATGTGAGATTTAAACGGGTCGTTCATGCGACCATAAATAAATTAGTAACGCTGTCAACATATAAGAATGTAGACTAGGAAAATGCGGTTGATAATACACCGTACAGAAATATATTTAGTTTATGAGTCTATCTCTCTCTTGTAATTATAATTGGAAGTCGATTGTTCCTAATCCCATCTGGTATTTGGTCTTCTCTGCCAAGGGGATGTTTGTACGAGTTTGGAGCTGGAGCACCCCTGCCGCGGCCGCCGCGAAAATATCCGTTATCCATAAATGGTGGTGGTGGTCGAGGTGGACAGTTGTATTGTTGTTGGTGGAATGGATTGTTCACATAATTGTTCTGGTAATAGTTGTTGTGGTTTGGTGGTGGATAAAACTGCTGATGATGGAACGGTGGTCTGTTATTGGTATTAAACGAGGGGTGAAAGTCGTCGCCCGTATAGAAATTGTTGAAAAATCCACTTCTATCATTCGAGAATGGAATTTGCTGACTGCTAGCAAAGTTGAAGGGGTTGTTGTTATTGTTGTTGTTAAAGTCTGGAAAGGACAGATTGTTGTTGTGGAAGTCATACGAAGACGAATGCGTTGGTTGAGGAGGTAGATCCCAAATTGCAAATTTTGGAGCTGGTTTATTTGGGACGATGTCATCATCATTTTTCTGATTGTTAAGTCGCATCTGTTTATTATTATTGGTAAATGCCCGACTAGGCTTTGGACTTGGAGGGTGCTTCCTTTTCACGGGCGGGGGCAGTGGTAAATGGGTGTTGGTCACTGGGTTCGGGATAAGCCGCAGCTGGATCGTATACTCCATGTTATACATTTTACACTCCAACCAAGCAAAGATATTCTTCCTCGTTAGTCTCCTATTCTCATCGGTTCCACCTTCACATGTCACGGCGGGGCTGTCTGGCGATACTTTGACGACCACGTTCAATTTCTCGGCGAGTTGAGCAAAAAGTCCGTCCTTTTTTAGTAGCTCCTCCTGCACGAGACGCCTTTCACACTCGGTGAGTGAAACAATCAATTGGTCGTCGTTCGCTTTGGCAGAAGAGTAACTTGGGTCACCTACGTCTTTTTTCTCCTCATCTTTCACGACTATCACATCTGGAGAGTTTTTCGTCTTCTTTTCCTTCATTTCTCGAACGACCTTAACCAATTCGATCTGCGCCTCGATGTTATCGGAGTCGGAGTAGATGTGGATCGCTTTCCTTTCTTGGAATACTAAAAATAACATGCAGAAATCAGAAATAATTCCATTACTGGTAATTGTTGTGCTTTAGTTGTGGATAAGATTTGACTACCCGTGATCTGAGCCTTTTTCCCCACGAGATTAGATATTTCTTTGTCATTTTGAGCTGTGAGCATTAATTCGTGCTCGACAGAATTGACGGACATTTCGTAGCAGAACGTTTTTGGTTTTAGCTTGTTTCGACATTCGGGATCCATGCACTTACTGTTGCCATCGGATTTGGTGCTCTCACCTAAATCTAAAAAATGTCACATATTGATCCGTGTGTGCCAAATTATGCCAGTCACCAGTAAAAATATATAATAGTTTTTACCAGGAGCTTGTCCTATCGCATCATCAGCCTCCGAACTGTGATGTCGATTTTGTCGAGCGGTATCAACGGTGTCACTTGGCGACACAGGTGACGACGACACTGCCGTCGCAGATACAATCCTTTTTGTTGGTAGGCGTGGTAGCTCATTAAAAATTCTGACATTGTGCCTCGTATACTTGTCCCCGCTGGTCTTGCAAGTTGATCTGCAGTTGAAATATCGATGTCCTTTATAACTGCAAACAGCACAGTACGAATCCTTATGCAGTTTATAAACCGGTTTGTCGCCGTAGAATGATATTGTCCCATCTTCATTTTGATGACCCTGCAAAATTATTTTCAATTTTATATGATGATGACGAGGTCTACCAGCGCATGCCTCCAATTTTGACCGAACTAATGTCAGCCGATCACAAATTTTATGAAACTTACAAAAGGCACGATCTCCGAGTGGTTTCGTTTGGCGGAGCTATTTGCATCCGAAGAGGAGAAAATAGAGTATAGACAGCAAATTTGCAAAGTGTAAAAATCAACTTTAGGGCATGTTTTCTCCTGTTTGAATGCAAACATGTCTACCAAATGTGCTCATTGGGAGATTGTTTTTTGCAAATTTCACATTAATTGTGATTGATTAACACTAATTTAGTAAAGAGTCTGAAAGCATACGCTGGCAGACTTCCATTTAGTTTTATATTAAATTGGGCTAGTTTAGAGCTTAACATACTTTGGTCGTGGAGAAGAATTTACGCCAATTGTCTGGACAATGAGCCGAAGTGTGTCCATCGATATCACAGATTTCACAGGACGGAGTCTTCTTGTTTTTTGTTACTTGACACTCTGGACAAGAATGACAAACATATTTCCCCTGCTGCCGTCCACACTGGAAAACAAATAGACACAGGATTAATCAAGTTTAGGAGTGCAATATTTTTTATAGCAGCAAAATAAACTACCATGTACTTACGCTTAGACAAATCGCTTTGAAACAAGGGTGTGGATTTCCAAATCGTCTATCATCCCTGTCTCGTGCAGATATGAATCCATGTCCAGATTGTCCACAGTAGTGACACACTGGGTGTTTCTTAATTTCTGGGCAAACTGAAGCTTTGTGGCCAAATTCGCTGCAATTGAAGCAACGCAGTCCTCTTGGACCATTCGGAGTCAACTCTTTCTCGTTCGTCTTCCATAATGTAGGATAATCTATAATTAAGGAATAATTAATTAATTATTAGCACTTTTCTTAATACGATGATGACCAAAATGGTAACTTTAGTGTACAATAAATTCATTTAAATTTAAATGGGTTGACCCACCTGGCATGGTGGCAAGTGCGTGGGACGTGTGAAAGTTGTCGTTGATCGTTGTATCGTAGAACTTGACCATTGCAGGTGTCCAGAATGATGGAAGGTACACCGGTGGTGGGTCATTCTGTTGACCTCGTGCATTATTGACATTGCCGTCTGGCTTGGGAATTGTCGGATCTGAATGAAAACAGTATTAAAATTACAAAATGAATCACGCAAGGTTTAATCGGTTTATTGATTATGGCCTAAATTTTGCAAATTAAATATTTCACTTACCTAAACCTGGAGAATTGCAGGGATGTGGTGGGTACATACCAATAATTTTATCCGGCAATTCTCGTTGTCTTCTATTATCTTCGCGTGATGGTGAAATGGGAGTAGAAGGCGACACATGCTTCGAAGACTTGGGAGATTTCAGAACAGAAGATACGTTAAACGACAACGCTGCTCGTTCCGCTCTCGTCAACATTCCCACGGTGGGGCTCGGATTGACATCGGCGAACAGGGATGTTGATGGTGCTTGGTTGCCAAAATCTACCTCATCGGATGCTGGAGAGATTTGATCTTCTGGAATCCTGGATTTTGATCTTCTAGAAACCACGACAGTTTCTGTTTCATCTCGTGATCTTTGATTAGCGGTTTTGAGTCGTAGCTTGCGTTGCTCGTAGGTTTCTCCTACAGTTTCTTCACTTGATTTTGAAGCTTTCTTTTCTCTAACAGTTTCTTTATCTGATTTTGAAGCCTTCTTTTTCTTCCTCTTCTTTTCTGATGATGACGCATCTAGCGGAAGGACATCATCTAAAAGTGTTTAAAAAGTGGGGGTGCAAATTCACGAATTGCAGTGGATTTATCAAAATAATTTAAATACCTTGCTGTTCAGGTGGAGGTGGATCCCGCACCTTTTTTGACTTCTTTGCTCTTTTTTCTTTGGGAGGAGGCGGCGATTCTTCTACGGCTGGCGTTGATCCCAATACTCCAAGCGTAACCAAAAAATTGTTAATCTCCTCACTCGTCCTTTGCTTGGATATTTGCTTTTTTGAAGGGAGTTTTTCTCTTCTGCTGGGGGTAGAAGCATCCGACGACGATGCCGGACTTGTCGATGTCCTCTTTCGCTTTGATGTTGTTGCTTTCTCTGTAACCTGCGTTTTCCTATTACCTAACTTATTATTGTTCCCCTCGAGGCCCACTATCACCCCGTTCTTATCGGACCTTGGGATTGACAATCCTCCTCCAAGTGCGTCATCATTATTTGGCTCAAATACTGAACTAGTAGCTACCCGTACGTTGCTGGGCAAGGATGGGTGTTCTTTAGTCCTCCGCAGGTGATTACCACCTGTTGACGGTGAACTATTGGCACCAACATGCGTCAAGCTTCGATTGTGCTTACCACTAAGCGAGGCGACATTCAGATCACCGCTCGTCCCAGCATTATTGTGTACGGGATTTATTACCAATTGTTCAGATCTTTTACCAGCATTTATTGCAGCACTTGGAGGTGAGATAGTGGTCTGACCTACAATTTCTGTGGAAGAGGAAGACGAGCTTTGAAGAAGCGTTTTGGTAACTGAGCAAGGTATGAAAGATGTCGAGGATTGTTTCTTTTTCTTCTTTTTATTTGATTTGGACGAAGCTTGGTCGTCGTCATCTTCGGAGGATTCGAGTAGATCTATCAGTGGTGGGGGTGGCTTTGTGTAAGGGATGTATTGTACTTCGTCCTCATCCGATGAGGAGGGCGGCATCTCGACAAGGCCAAGGGGTCGGATGAAGAACAATCGAAAATCTAAATAATCAACAAAGAAAAATTTCAACGAGATCAGGCAAAAATTCCAGTTTTCAGCTTTAAATAACTTGGCCTTTGCATCACCTCACCTTAACCTGGATGATGACGAGTTACCATATTTGTAGGGAGGTAGCAAGTAGTAGCGACATATATTTCACTACTTTCAACAAATAATTGAAATAAACAAATTAAATGTTGACCAAGCAAGCACGTGTGATAAATGATAATGCTCTTTGCTTCCTTCCACCCGATTCGCGGCTGCTGCATGGGTAAAACTGCGACTGGGTCTCATGCAAATCCAACAAGAGTTCTAAAATGAGACAAATTAGTAAACCGATTGTCTCACGTTTCTTGTTAGAACTCTGATGACTTGAATTTCCGTAGCCATTCATTTACATATTCTAATACATTTCATTAACCATCCATCCACCTGCACATAATTACAGTATTTACTTATTTAGTCAATAATATTATTATTAACTTATTACCGCTGAAGGTAATAAATTGAGACAACAGAACACTTGAAAATGTGCAGAAATACATAAGCTTTATATCCACACGTGTATCGTAACTTGTTGAATGGAAACCTAACCTATGTACATAAACGTACGTCTCTGGTATTTACGCTTAGTAAGTGGTAAACTTTTAAAGAGATATTATTCAGCTCGAGGCAGTTCCACCGTTTTGTACACGCATTCACATTTAAGCATGTACATAAATGCACTTTGTTTGTACGTAAGACGACTTGCATTAAGCAGGTTAAACAATCCACAAAAGGGACTGCACGCTAGGAATTCGAATACCCTTCGAAATCATCATCATGTGCATATAGTCGAATCCTCGTAGTGAATGCAATAATGATAAGAAAACTAATAGAAGGGGACCAGCAGCAGGAGCATAACATAACCTAGTTTTTAGTTGCACATCCGTCCCAAAATTCCAGTGAGAAGATTCAGAGCAGGAAAAAAAGTAGAAAGAAGAATCTTCAACAAAGCGTTCCATTCATCTCATTCACACGGAAGTGAATGCATAAAAGGTAGTAAATAATACAGTCTCGTCACTTCCGGTCCCACAGCAGCTTTAACGAAAGTCCATCTCATCTCGTCATGTGAAGTTAAAAAAAGTGTAGAATCTCGTCAAATATAATTTATGTACGTCGATGCCATATTCAGTTAGAAAAAAATCTCATTTTTTACTGATCACGCAACGACCGACATGTGGTGAGGAATACAGATAAATACGTACGTGACTGGTTTTATAGCTTGTAATTGATATTACTGCGGGCTGAACAAGAGATAATTTTTTTGATGACGTAGACAAGTGATTATTGGAATTCTATCGTCTCCCATGCTAATACAGACAATTAGTTAATTTTGCTTTGTGCGACAAACAACGCAGTATTATTCAGCTTACTGGTAGCAAAAGAAGTGAAGAATAAATTCTGAAAAATAATAATTTTTGCTATTCTATCAACCCGAATCATTTAATTTGAGTGACCAAGTCACAAATCGAAATTATACGTGCCAGCCAATTACATAAACTTTCTGAAAGGCCGTGAAATAAGTGCAATACAACATTTTCTCCAATTACCAGAGTGAATTCAGCATAATTTGATACAATCAAATTTGATTTATACATAGAGATCAAACTTTTGCAAAAAAACTGACTTTTGTCACGCAATTATAATTCTACTTAATTGCTTGCGTCACTGGCTGGACATCACATTTCGCGTGTGAATGACAAATTCTATGCATTTTTGAGCAGTCAATTACATCCAAAAGTATTACAACTGCCCTTGACTGGATAATAATCTTATCTTATGATATAGTCATTCACCTCCTGCCCCTGCTGCTTATCAGTCGTCTCGTCTCACGTTGAACCTAATCTCAAATCCACTGGCTAACATAATATCCGTTAACCCTGTCTCAAGTTAACTTCGAGTGAATTATAAAGGTCACAAAATATGCCTATGAGGAGACCAATCAATTAAGCCGTTTATTATTAAATCATCTAATAAATTAACAAAGTCAACTCTCTCTCCCAGCAAAACTAACCAAATCGATTTCATCCACGTACTTCTACACATATTATTCAATATTCTTACTCGGCGAACGGTACAGTTTTGTGTACTAATCGATAAACGGAATATAACTCATCGTCTCCGACTTTGGACTAAATATTCTCGTTCGACGAGTCTGATACGACGCAAGATTCAAGTTGAACGTCAAAAGATTCCAGGAACGTGGAATAACTAGAATTTTTCGTCGTCATCCTGCCTACGTGACTCGGCAAATCGGAAAATTATTATTATCAACCTTATCAACCTCTCCCCAAGTTAAATAAATTCAAATTAAATACACAATTTCGGGACTCATCCTTTAAAACAAAAGTGATCAAATAATATTATTGCCGTGTTCGTTCGTCGTCGCTGGTCAATAAATAAGAGAAACCGGACAGAGAATAATATTCATTCGCCAAACTAAATAAATAACGAGGATCGCCACAAAACCGCAGAAAATTATTACAAATATAACATCATCCACGCCCAAATAAATATTAAGGAGGATAAGTAAATAGCTTCGATATTTACTCTAACTTTGGCCTGGTCTGATTAATAATACATCATCATCATCCTTCGCGAACAAACAAGTGTGGCTGGCAGCAGTGTTAAAAAATCAATAGCTCAATGCAAACATAACAGAACAATTTTAATGAGTCATTTATTATAAGTTATAATTTATAACCTTCTGCTACTCTGTTCTGCTCATGAAAATAAAGCGGATTCCTTTCGGTACTCGACCCGTCATTATTAAGCTGTCGTGTGTGCGGATCCATTCATTAGGAAAAAATAGGGATCGATAAGTCGTAAAAACGCAAGTTTATGTCTTGTCCCTGGTTAAAAAATCACAATAATTGATTGACAGCCGCGTTGTGAATTGTTCCATTCGAGTTTGAGTCAGTTTTGTACTGCATTATGCAACACGACCTTTGAGACCAAGAACAATTAAATATAATTCGTTTCGTATACACACGCTGAAGGTTTCGTTTTTTTAAATCCAAACACAAAACAAATACCGGAGAAGAAAACCATGAATGTGACGGAAGCCATCATAAATTCTACGATCGGCACGACCACCACCCCCGCCGCTGGGGGGACGCACTACGTTGGACTGAAATTTGGGGAGGATGGGGTCCGCCAACCCCCCTCAGTCATCGCGTCGAGCAACGTGATCATCATGGTTGTGGGGTTGTCCCTCCTCATCGTCCCGATTGTGGGCTTCCTCGTCTGCATGATTGCCAAAAGTAGAGTTCTCAAAAATCTGAGGGGTATGAAGTTCACGTCCGACGTGTGTTCTGCTGGGGGAGGCGGGGCCGGTGGTGAAGGGGACAGTGGACTTCCGTACTCTCGTGAGTTATATAGATTTATTTCAAATTATTTCTTAAAATTTGTACTAATTTTATATATTTCCTTGTAGAGTTTGAGTCTGAACCGGAAGACGACTATGAGACGTCCACCCCCACGGGGAACAAGAAAAAAAAGAGATCCACAGTTGTCGACCCACAGCAAAACAAGGACGTCCGCGTCCTCATCCACAATGACAACACGTTCGTGGGATCTCCGACCAAAAAAAACGGTAACTCGCAGCAGGATGCTGCTCTCCTGAGGAGAAAACTACCCGCGTCGTCGAACCTGACAGGGTCCTCGGTCACAGTACCCTTGAATGGTGAGAGAGAGAGGAATAATCAATTTAAATAAGGTTCCAGACCAGTAAATAATATTAATTGATTGGTCTTTTAGACGACACTTTCGCCACTCTGGACGTAGATGCGACGTTCATCATAAACGCCAATCGAGTCGAAGACAGTCATCAAAATTACGTTCATCAAGAACAACCAAGCACATCTCATCAGTACACATGAATATTTTTGTGATTTTTTTTTAAACTCGGAGGAATCTCGTTGACCTCGACACAAAAAGTGACTGCACTTAATTATTTATTATGACGAGGACTTATCGCGAATAAGTATATTTGAGAGGCGCTAATGATAACAAATTAAAGTATGTAGCAAGATAAGATATTTAACACTTTCCTGAATGAAACTAACGGTATTCTAAATTTGCAACGTACAATTTTCCTCTCGGACTGATCGACCTCGACTGACAAAGACGCGATGTATGCATGTAAAGTGAAGGCGATATGATATCTCAAATCTCAACTCAATCATTTAGTATACAAAATGTTATTCTATTTATTAATCATGTTAATTAAAATGTAAATACGTTCAGTCATGAATTTTCTTTCCCGGTGGTGTCGTTCGTTATAGAATGTGTTAATTAGCAAGTTATTAATATCACTCGTTTACTTCTTGTCAAACAAATGCAAAGTTCCCCTTCTAAATATTTACCGATATTTTTGTAAAATGGTTACACTTTTACAGTTGAAAAGTCTTAATTTTCGAGTAAACTCTGACAGTGAGGTTGCAGAGCATGGTTAAAGACTGATAAGTGGTTGGACAGAGAAAGGGTGTGCATTTTTGTATGAAAACAACCGTCCTGATAAGTATGGTCCTGACTTTATGAGTATTTTGTTGTTCATCATTTCCACTAATGTTTAATTGGTCAATGAAATAAATTAATTGCTAAAACCTAAATAGTTATGCTAAATATGCCATGAATCATCATTTTCATGCAAAATTGGAGAATAGTGTGCATGCACAAAATAGAGCAAGTAAATATGTACACACATCATCCAATTTTTTTCTTTGTTTTATTTTTCTACTTATTTATTTCATAACACAACAACAATTGACAATCACATAATAATCAACGTAACAATGATATGGGTGATCATTAAGTAGTATAACAAGTATACTTAACTGCTATAAACTAATTAATTCATTTACTGCATTTCTGAATAGATTTATGTAAGAATTCGTTGGAATATGTTAGCAAAATTACAACTAACAAGCGATGCATGTACTGATAAACTTGCAATTTGGTACAGTAGATATTTCGAATTATGGAATTAAATGTTCTCTGTAAGAATTTGATTAAATTTGGTACCAAAATATTATCTATCATACGTGTTTTTTTATCCATTCGTTTGTTCAGTAAGGGAAAGAAATAATAATAATCAAATAATAATAATAAAGTAACATTTTAGAGTATTGATAATGAATCATCCAACCGACAACTGATCAATACACGTACTTTTTTGACAGTCCATGTCGTAAAGAAAAATAATACAACAAATAATGATAATTGATCAGTAACTAGCAGTCGGTGAGGAAAGTCGACAAAAAAAATGATGAATTAGATTTTTTGACACATTTGATACTACGATTTTGTATAAAAAGAAAACACTATCATTTGCTCTTCTTCTTCTTCTTCTTCTTACGTTTCTTGCCTTTCTTGGCCTTTTTGTGCTTCTCGTCTGAAGAGTCGGACGAAGACGAACTGGACGAATCCGACTTGCGTTTCTTGGTCTTCTTTTTCTTCTTGGTGGATGAATCCTCATCAGATTTTTCAGACTTAAGTTCAGACGCGGGGACTAGTTGTGGGAGGATATTGGGGGCAGCAATGTCTGGGATGAAGAGTGACGGTGTGGCGAGTTGTGGTTGTTGGGCGTATGCATTCTCTTCTTCTTCATGCTCCTCGCTGGACGAGCTGCTTTCTCGCTCAAGTTTCGCCGTACTGGACAGTTTAATGTTAATTCTTTGTTTTCCCTTCCTCCCACCGGGGAAAGGATTGGAAAATGCGGCAGCCACGCCGGAAGCCCCGTCATGTGATGTGTCAGAACTACGCGACTTGTTGGAATCCTTGAGGGACTTCCCAGTGTTATTGCTGAGCTTATCCACCCCGGGAGGAGTGGGCTCTCTGGTTGCGTCGTCGACTCGACGCCGACCACGATCACCAGACGTATCTTCGTTTCTACTGTAAGAATCACCCCCTCGGTCCCGGTTTCGACGGTCTGGGCTTCTCCCACGCAAACTACTGCGAGAGACTTGTATCGAAAAGAGAGGTTGAGGTGCGGATGATGATGCCGGAGGTCGACGCCGGTCATCTAGTCGACGAGGACTTCTTGAACGCGAACGTCGTCTGTCTCGTTCACGTAATGATTCTCGCTCTCTTTCACGCTCCCGGCTGCGGGATCTTCGTGAATTTCGATCCCTAAATTCTACATCCCTTTCCCGGTCACGAATTCTATCTCTATCCCGATCATCGCAAATCCTATCACGACTCCGTGGTCGTGTACGTATTTCTCTGTCAGATGGTCTCAGGTCGGGCAGTCTTTCTCTCTCGGAGCGCCGTTGTTCTGGGGAACGAGACCGCTCACGGAGTCGTTTCGCTGGAATGGGGGATCGACTTCTGGACCTCGGTCTTCCTGCTGCAGGACGAGCATACTTTTTCTCTTCGCGTTGTTCTCTCGCGTCCTTGTCCAAATCTCTGCGATCATCTTTCGACCTGAGAGCTTCATCCTCTGACACTTTATAACCGAGACGATCCCTGACTGGTTTTCTGTACACTGCTGAAGATAACCCTTTCGATCCCTTATCGTCGTCGGTGCCAACGTCATCTGGAAGGAGTAAAATAATAAGTATTAAATTCCTAAAAGCCATGAAAAAGCAAAATAAAAACCTTACCCGACGCATCCATTTCCGGGGGTAAAGTACCAATATCTGTCAGAGTAACTTTTTTAGACTTTCCATTTCCAGCGTCAGTAACACTCACACTGATTGATTGAACCGTGACAGGAGTGAGTTTATCAAATATGACGTTTTCAGCTCGTCTCAACACATCGATAGGAACTTTGGTCTCGTGCTTCTCCTCTGACCCAATAAGTGAGGTGTCACCCATTACATCAGCCGTCATGTTGCCATCTCCCTCATCGTCAAGCAGATCCCATTTCGAAGCAGGAATTGGCACCAAGGGTTTCGACGAGTTATTATCTGGAAAACAGCCAATTGATAAATTGATTAAGAAATCTAGTACATACAATAAAATCCCAAAATTAATATAACTAACAATGGAGCGTATATTAAGAGATTTTTTTTACAAAATTCGTGTCAATCGATCACAAATTCAATTAATATGAATTATCATTTAAAAGACACGATCTCCCAATGGTCACGTTTAGCAGTGATATTTGCACCCAAAGAGGGGAAAACGCGCCCCAAAGCCGAGAAATGTTACACTTTCCAAAATTACTCGTTTCCGTGTAGTTCAAATCGAAGAAATCGTGTCTGTTGTACATTTCATCTTAATTAAATTTGTGAGCGATTGACGCAACTTGGTCAAAATTTGTGAGCATACATTGGGTAACCTCCATATTACATGATAAGCTAAATAGCTAACATACCACTAGGGAATTCGTCACCTCCCAATAATTTGTCCCCAAGATCTCTTCCCGTCATCTCACCCCCTTCTTGTTTAAGGATGCCCGTCCCATCCGCACTAACGGGGCGATCAGGCGACTTCACAGTTGAATCACATGGCGCAGTCAACTTTACCGTCTTATCCACATCTAACACCCCCGTTGCCCCGATTGCTAATGCTTGTGGTGGAAGGAGCGACTCTGCTACCGTGATACCAAGCACGTCCAACGGGATCATCTCGGCCGGATCGTCCTTGCTCCTTTTCCGTTTTGATTTTTCCTTCTTTTTCTCCTCCTTCTTTTCCTTTTTGTGCTTCTTCTTCTCTTTTTTCAGCTTCTTCTCCTCGGACGACTTTCTACGCTTGTGTTCCTTCTTCTCCTCCTGTGAACTCAATCCTACTCCTCCCACTTCAGCGACAACCTTAGTGCTCGCCTCTTCCGAAATTACGGGCTTCTTTACGTCACGATCCGTTGAATTATCAACGTACGGTTTTACTCCAGGGGGCGTAATGTTCAGGTCGAAAAGGGACGGAGGTACTTGTTGCTGTTGTTGTGTTGTTGGTGTAGGTAGCAATGCCGTGGACTCTTGTCCTGCCGCATGGGGAGGAACTGATGGTTCATACTCATAAATTCGCCGAGGAGGAGGATTTTCTAGTCCGGATGTCTTGTCTCTATTCATCCCAGGTCCAGGTGAAGGACCACGATGATGAGACGAATGATGGGAATGGTGATGCGAAGAGGGATGTCCTCTAGAGGACGAGGACGACTTGTTGTAGTCATACCGATCCCTGTGACCCTCGTGGTGACGCCCTCCACCCGCCGGACTAACGTATCTGTCCCCTCGATAGCCGCTCTCTTCATACTCTTTCGAAGAAGAGTGATGCTTACTACCCGAAGACGGAGGTGGTAACAAGTGTCTCGAAGAGTGGCGTGAATCACGGTCACGGTCCCGATGGTCGCCGCGACCGTCCCGGTCTCGCATCTCCCTGTCGCGCTCATCCAACCTGTAGAGAAAGCCCCAGAGAAAAAAAAATAGCATGTAAGTTTTATATGCCAACAAACAACCACCTGGCAGGCCACGCGTCCATTTTTTCTTGAGTCAACATTTAATAATCTTATTCAAGAAGAGTCAATAATCAAAATTATAATCGTTCACAGAAAAAAATTGTCATTTGTCCAATGATTATAATTCTATAGGCATATTCTTGAAAATTTTCAAAAAATTTGATTTAACAACTAAATATATTAAAAATAGTGTCGACTTTTTGAGATCAATTAATTGACATGAGCACCAGAGTTACATATCACAGAGTAGGACGGATTGGTTTCTTCCCTCGAAATCACAATTATATATCATCATCATCAACTTTGTTCACGTATGTAAATTAAGGACTAGAAAGTTGTAACGTATAAAAATTTAACAGTAGATCGACTACTGACTCAAGATCATTAATTTCATCATTATCATCATCATCATATTCATCCCAAAATTTATACCAAATGCTCTGACAATATGATTCTTGACAACACCATTCATACAGAGTAGTAGTAGTAGTAGTGGTGGTAGTAGTAGTAGTAAAGTAATAATAATAATAAGTAGTCGTAAGAAAGTACCACATGCCAAAAAACAGAGGAGGACATATGTGTATTAGACTAGTAATAGTAATATTGATGGATATTGGTTCAAATAATACTTATCGCTTTTCTCAATACAAAGAATGGAACGGTGGCAGCTGCTGAACAATGATACCGACCTTGAGCCGGAGGATGTGGTGTGATGGTCGTAGTACGGATCGTCCTTGATGAGGTCCTTCTTCACGAATCGCGACGATGTAGAGGGTGGCGAAGGGGAATATGGTGGGGCTCGGCGGGGAGACCTTCGCCTCGAGTGAGGACTTATACTTCGTAAACGTTCCCGTTCCCTCGGTGGCGGTTCTCGATCCCTCGGGGAACGCGACCTATATGGCAAAAATATACAAAGTTAGGCCAAACTCGTAAATAGTTACTAATTGGACACGTTTATTATTTATTTGTAGTATTAGAACTCTTCACTTTTACTCCAGAATGTACATGCTCTGCTCTGGAGGTGCTCTGTCTGGGGTATCTGGTCGGATGGATGGGCCCTCACTCAACATGCGAGACTAAGTATTAACTTACCGAGATCTTTGAGGGGGTGGTCGACGCAGTGGGGGCGCGAGAAGTGGAGGCGTTCTAGAACGTGAACGCGAAAATGAATTTCGACGTTTCAAAGGGTAAATACGTGAGCGTTTAGGAGATGGAGACCTGGTGTTGTATGAGGAAGAGAGAGGAGGAGGAGATAGCGAGCGCTTTCGAATAAATGGAGATGGCGATCGGGAAGAAGCTCGGCGAAGTGGGGGCGTATGACCGGGAGGCGGCGAACGAGAATTGGAACGTTTTTTCAGTCCCATTTGTTGCTGTTGCTGCTTCCTCCGATCCTTCTCTCGCATGATTCTCTCAAACTCCTTTAATGGGTCGTCAATAGTTCTGCACGCATAAAAAACAAAAACTAATTACGGCAAACCGTTCTCTACTGCTCTTTAGTCGGTAATTGGTTGATAATCAGAATCTGTAACTCACCCTGGTCGATTTTCATCGTTCGGAAATCTCCCTCCAATCCGAGAGTCGCGACCTAAATATGGACGACTTCGTGATGGAGGAGGACCTCGACCCCTGTAGTCGTCACGATGTCGATCCATTGGATATGGTCCAGATCCTGGTCCAGGTCCATACATCTCACCCGGTGGAGGTGGACGGCTGTGAATTAAACGTAACGCAACGGTAAATTCAATAGGTCCAAGTCGAAGCCTTCTCGTAAACTAGAATTCTAATGAATTTGATAACTTACTTGTATCCTTGTTGAGGGGGAGGATATGGTCCAGGGGGAAAGGGCCCAGGTGGTCCTCCCATGTGTGGTGGTCTCTGCATGTTACCTGTCGTAATCGTCATGAGATCAGTAAAATATTCACTTTGTTAAGCTTTTCAAGTTATTTGTACGCTACCTGGCGGAGGACCATGTGGAAACCCGGGAGGAGGTTGCATCGGATTAAATGGACCTGGAGGTCCACCCATCATATGACCAGGTGGACCTCCCCGATTATCATCGGGTCTTCCATGATGACCTGGTGGTGGTGGTCCATGCTGTCTCATCTGCTGAGGTGGGCCACGTTCTTCTCCAGGAGGAGGAACATCGCCAAATCCGGGTGGAGGGGGTTCGTTATGACCTCCGCTCGGATGTTGTTGCTGTTGCGGAGGTGGACCTCCAGACATTCGCATATCATGTTGTTGTGGAGGACCACCATGATGACCGTGGTAAGATGGAGGGGGTCCATGAAAGCTGGGCGGAGGCCGGCTAAAGTCTCGCATTGGTTGTTGAGAAGGTGGACCGCCATGATGCCCGTGAAATTGATGTTGTTGTGAATGTGGTGGTGGGTGCATGTTGGGTGCTGGATGCGGATTGTCTCCATCCTTCGTGAATGGCGATGGAATTGAACCATCGTTAAAATCGTAAATATCTGTCAAACATGAAAATAGTACAAATTTAGTTGCATTTCTAAAGTCTAAAAATTAATAATCACCTTTCGAATCAATCGCGTCATCTGCTTCGTCGATTCGACGTGGAGAATGTGGAAATAAGTCGTCCGGCAATTCATCCAAACGATCCAGAGAAGTTGAAAGTTTTCTCTCCGCAGCAGCCGCCTCTTGTGCCTCTTTGCGCGGAGATACAACTGGATCTGGTGGCTTATCGGGCAGTTTAACCGGTTTCGAATATCCAGTCTCATTCTTAAATGCATTCACAGCAGTACGCAGAAATCGGTTGGGAATCAAATCGTTTGGTGAAGTTTCCTTCTCGTGACAGCCAGGACATTCCTGATCATCAGAATCCAAGAGGGCACTCCGGATACCTAAACTCACAATGATTTATTTATTTGGTTAAAAATTAACCACATATAAAATTAATAGGAACGGAGCTTACATTCATCGCAGTATGAAGTCGCACAACATGGGACAAGGAGAGCATCCGTCAACAAATCTTGGCACAAAGGACAGATCAACTCTTCCGGAATCTTGGGTTTTGGAGGGGGTTCACTCCGCGCTGATTTGCCTTTCCCCGAATATGCCTCACTGCAATACACAATTAATTACGATCTTTAATAAGCTTTGCACACTATTAAATTTTCAAATTAAATAAGTATTTACTGATCAATAGCTGGGACAGCGTATAGGCCTTCCGGTGTAATTAGAGCGCCCGGTACTTGAGGACCATCTACATGGACCATAAAACTCCTCGGAATTCCTGTGCTCTTTTTGACATTGTCCTCGTGCTAGTTGCAAAAAAATCACTTAAGTAAACCATTAAAAAGTTTAAGTATTAATTAATTAATTCATTGCTCACCGACGCCATTGGACAATTTTTTATCCAATGTCCACTCTGATGACACTTGTAACAAGTGTATCCGTCAGGAATCTTCCCGTGTTGCGTTTGTCCTCTGATTTTCATGTATCTCGACACATCATAGTCAGCGGTGGATTGTGACATCATTGCCTTGATTTTCTCTTCTTCCGTCGCATCCATCGATGTCAAGTCAATGCCCTTTAATTAAATTTGGCATGGTTTAGTAATTATTTCTTCACAACAGTTAAAATCATATTTATTTGTGTACCTTTCCTGCCGAAGCTGGAGGCAAATTAGCAAGATGGGCTCGTTGCTGATGTGCGAATCTTTCTCTCCCAAAACTTGGTCCAGGTGGGCCGCCGGCGGATCTCTTTTTCTCTGTGATTGGGATACGAGCCACGATCACGGACGTATTTTTCGGAATAAGTGTGTTTTCATCGGCATACACTGCAAATAATATCATCACACATATTAATTATTATAATGTGATAAACAAACATCAACTATTTCTAATTTCTACAAGTTAGTTAAACACCAATTCTCACCTTCTTTCGTTTGTGCATTCTGAATTTGTAAATCAAAATCAACATTTTTTCCTAATCGTTTCTGCTCAATGATTTCCTTCTTTAAATCAGTGACGGATATGTGAATCCCGTCAAATGTGACGGTCGAGAAGTCCAACGCTGCTTTGAACTTGTAGTGAACCGACATTTTGATTTAATAGTTGTTGACTTCTTATTCGTAGTAAAACTAATTCCTCATTCTTTACGCCGTTTTATATCGCTAGTTGGACCAGCAGATATTAATCTGAAAAGGAAACAAATCGGATAACTTTATTAATTTGACATTATTAGAAGTACTTTCTCTTTAAAAAAACTTACAAGTTCTGTTCACTATTATACAACTTATTTTGCATATACATGATAATTAAGTACGAGAAAGAAAAATAATGCTAAATCGACAATATATTCTGAATAAATCCAATAATTTCAAGGTCTACCCAACTTAATACATATTAATACGTAATTGATGAATAAGTAAACAGCGTACATAACTGGTTTTCCACGCACGCTCTGTAAATACAATTTAAACTTAACAAATGTTTATCAACAGCTTACCTTTCACCTCTTCTTCCACTATTCTCTTCTCTGAAACCACTTTAATCTCGCCAAATCAGGTATTAATTAAGGAATCAATTAAACGCTTTCCCTCAATTATTAACTCATAATTAATTAACGTTCGTGCCGGAAAGTAACGCCAGCCAACGAACGGACGAAGTGTTCAACTCAACTGCTTATGACGAATTTCAAACTTTCCCGGGCTTGGGGACAGCTTCCACTTTCTCACCCCAGCCGGCTCCTCATCCCTACCAGCCAAATAACCGTCTCATCATCTTCACGCGTCTCAATTTGGATTTGTCTCAAATTTTTGCATATTATTAGCTCACCCTGCGTAGCATGAGAGCTATTGAATTCCTCTTGTTTTTTGCAAATTGTTTTATTTTGCAAACTATTAAATACGCTCCGCAAATTACTAATTAATTAATTAGTTAATTACCAAATAATTAATTGGCCTAATTGCGATGCTCGTGTAGAGTTTACATATTTGTATGTCATTAATGTCAATAATTGTAAATTTTATAATTATTCTATAATGATACACCAGACGCTAGATTAAATAATAGCTGCAATTAATTTATAGTAACTAAATTGCCCAGACATATTTTCAGATTGCTAAGTTCCTTCCCTTAGAAAATATAACACATAAGCGATTTTGCAAAACTGCAAAAACCTTCAAATTTGTCATTATTTTCGCTGTGTTAAAAAAATAATCGAAATCTCGCAAAAACCCTAATGTGAAGAAAATGGGAGGAAAATGTAGCAAGTCGAAACCTCCTGGTCACATCGAACCTTCACGAGGAGGCGAACTGGGTGGTGACGCCGACGTCAATAAGAATTCCCAACCCCAACAAATTCCACCCATCGTCGTCGCCAACGCGGAGGGCGAATCTTTTGCTATTGGATCGTCCTCAGCTGCAAGTGCGTCTGCCTCCTCCTTCGCTTCGACCTCGGCCTCCTCCATCATTATCGTCGACAATCGCCTCGTCGCCAACACGGAGAACCAAGCCATGGTGGAGGCCACGCTTGCCAATCTTCTCGACCAAACAGACTCCGTCATGTTCAACAAACCCGACCTGCAAATTTTCAACGAGTTCATGCTCTACCAAATTACGCTCGGACAAGCAAATGACACCGTCGCCATGTACGTCGTCAAACGGTCGCCGTCACGATTCCAACCGAGACGCGATATCATCCTGCTCACCAGCGATGGCCAAACGGTTCTTCGGTTTATGAACCCCAAAAGACTGCTTCACGTACGAATGAACGAAGATAAATGCAGAGGGCGGATATGTATTTATGGAAAAATATTTGAAATATTTCACAAAATATGTATTTTTGAAAAAATATCTACAAGATTTATGAATTTTTCGAGCAATGGCAGAAATATTTCTAAATATGTCTGAAAACCTAGAAATATGTACCAATATATAAAATATTTTGAAATTTTTGAGATCTATCTATAAGAGTTACACTCGCAAAGTTTGCCTGTCGGTCGTCATCAAATGAAAAAGTAGAAACAAAGTACATATCCATCCTTTGGTAAATATATACTACTGACTCAGAATTACTTCACCAAAAATTTGATTCCCGCTTCGTATCCCTACCATACTAATAGCATGGGAAGGATACCAGCGCGGGATGGAAAAGAAAAACTGAGTTGATATTACATACACTTTGTTCCTAATATTAGTAACTAAAATATGACTGAAATCCACTTTCAGAAGGTCAAAGTATTCATGGGGGACGTCGTTATTGGTTCCATCGTCAAGAGTAGGCTGAACATTTGTAAACCAGAGTTCAGAATACGTGACCGTGACAAAAAGGATATCGCCGTGGTGGTCAGCAGGACTGCGTACTGCTGCACAACTCTGCAGAAACTCTGCTGTTCGGACAACTTTGGTATTTTTGAAGCCATTGGGAAGCCGAATTATCAACCAAAGGCGACACCATCATCCCAACCGCATGATAATAATGATGACAAGCTGCTGGGAATTATATATCGGTATTTAAGTAATGTTACGTTATTTTTAACTGAGGAGAATAAATTTAAATGAATAAATGTGTAGAGACATCACATTTAGCGATCGAGCCAGTCATGACGGTATTATCGAGATACAGTTCCGCAACGATTCTGCCCTTGTTGTTGATACCACGATGAAATGTCTACTCATTGCGGCTGCTATTTTTATTGTGAGAAATTTCCGAGCTACAAATTAATTAATTATGTAAATTTATTAGTTATTTAATTATATTTTCTGTAGGATTTTTCCGTCTTTGTTCCACAAGAAGGTGAATCGGACGTCAAAGTGATCATCATTGTGGGTCTGTCGCTCCTCGTCTTTCTTGGCTTCGTCATCCTTGGCGTCGTGTACATTACGTAAACAATTGACTAAAAGTTAATAGTTTATTAGTAAATTGTCGCTTATTTAATAATAATTTTTTACTTGTCCCGTATTTATTAAGTATTTTATACAATTTACATTTTAATTAAAGGATAAAGACACAAGTAACACGCAAGCTAAAAACACACCGAATAGACTAATTACAAAAATATAATTTCTTAAGCATCTCAATTCTCTACTCGACGACCTAAAATATATGTGAAACTGTAAAGACAAAGACAATCATTAAATTAAATATGTAAATTAAATTCCGTAATTAATTAATCATACCAAAACTAAAGCGGCACTAAATATAAACAATTTTGTGTCCTTGTCCATCGTACATGACTTCATGAATCGGATCCCAAACTGGACCCTGTCGAATTTTAGGGCAAATCTCAAAAGGTTACGATATTCATTAATTGGGAGAAAAAATTGCATACAAATTTTAAATTAACGTGGGACTCGGTGTCGTCCAGAATTTTAAAATAAATTCAAAGAGCTGAGAAATGACTAAAAATGTGCTTATTTTGACGCTTTTGGCAATGAGTCCTACCTTCAGAGCTGGGTGATTATTCGTTTTTGAGGGTGGATTAAGGATTATGGATTAACCACAAAATAATGTGGATTGTGATTAAATTATTTTCGTCAGATTAATTCATGTCAGGATTAATCCGGATTAATCCATGAACTCTGGAAATTTCAGGATTATGGATTATGGATTAATAATCTGGATTATTTTGGTGATTAATGATTTTTACACTACCTACAGGTATATCTAGCGCAACAAATTTAAACTATGTGGTTTCACATAAAATATTTAAAACGCCAGTTTCAATTGATATATGTAGCACAAGGCAGCGAGAACATGTTGACTCTTCAAATGGTAGCTGACAGGACAAAGTTTTGAGAACTTGAGACTTCGAGCTACACAGTGGGATGAAATAGAACTACGGGAATTGAACTGAGGATGAGTAATCCAGATTGAGAATTAATCACGAATACCTAATCATGATTAGTAATCGTGATTGGGATTTATCTAATGGGATTATTCCCGAATTAATTCAAATTCCAGAAAAATCTGGATTATGGATTTGGATTAATCTACAAAAAACTCTCATTGTCGGATTAGGGATTATGGATTATAATCCTTAATCAGGATTATCCCAGCTCTGCCTACCTTAAATGATAATTTATTTGCATACTTGTCTTGGTAAAGCGTCCCCTTCCACTTCTTCTTCCCCATGAGCGCCACCGTTTCGCCAGGAACGTTGTGGCGATTCTCAAATTCTGATACAGAGTCGTAACCCTCCTCCAGCTTGCGCATTTCGAGTGTGGGGTGCTTCCAGAAGGTGAGGCAAGCACAGAAGGTCATCCACCTCGGGAACTTGACCTCGTAATGATTCCCGGTCAGAAAATCCTTCACAACGTAGTAAAAACAGCCTTCGGAGGAGATCTTGCCACGAACCACTTCATGCCTCCCCTTCAGAATTACTTGCTGAAATTTAGATTAAATAATTTGCACAATTTATTGCGAAATTTTTGGCAAAGGAAATTTCCAGTGTTTCGTTTCTTGCGGGTTTGCTACATTTTTTGCACTGCAAAGCAAGAAACTGCAGGAAATACGTGCTATCTAGCGACGCGCCGTATAGCGTCGGGAAGCAGCTTCCACCTTCAATTTCTTGCAGGTCGAAATAGCTGCAAGAAACCACTTTCTTGCAGTCATTTCTTGCAAGTGGTTACTCGCAATGCTGGAAATTTTGCTCACTCACGATGCCGCAGCGCGTCTCATATCCGTCCGTGGTGAAAATGACGTGACCTCGAAGGTCTTGCACGTTGTAGGCGACTTGTGTACGACCCTGTTCATCCATTGGGACCTTGACCTCTTTTGCGATGAGGAACGTCTCTTGGTGTACATTTTCAACGGCGTACTCTTCCAAATATTTCAACCCTGGAGGAAGAAATGATTTTGGTTCGGGACCCATCGTGTCTGAGGTGAGATTTAATTAGCATAAAGATAAAGTTGCAGATGAGTCGAGTGATACCTAGCGCCAAAGGGTCCACGTCCGCGTCAAGGATTCCCAGCCATCCCGTTTTCAAATGCCGGATGAAAATGTAGTTCGCGATGTCCAGCGTCTTGTCGACGACTTCTTTTGACGACGTGGGAGTAGTGTTGAACACGCCTTGGCGTTATATAAATAATAAATAATTACTAATTAGCATATTTTAATGATACAGTAATTTATGCATGTATCTCCAACCGGCTGATTCGTCCGCGTCGAGGTATCCGTTGGCTGCAAATATTGTCAGAATGCTGTCCGCCTTGACCAACGCGGTGGAACTGGTTGGCAGAAGCTTGGGCATTTTCTTATCTTTCTTCCTCCGACGGGCATGGCATTTCTAGCGCAAGTGGGTACTTTTTAATTTCCGGTAATTATTTAACACTGAGAGCTGACGTGTCTCCTTACTCAAGTCAGATTTAGATTAACTAACGTTTCGTCAATTAGCGAATAATTATTAAATAGGTTAGCGCTAATTTCAGCTTCAATTAATTTTAATGACATTTTGTGGTGCGCGTTGTCTGGTAACTAATGTGCCCAGCAGAAATTTCTCGCCTATTCTCATCATCAATAGAACCAAATTTTACCAGTTTGGCGACATGTAGGTTAAAAAATAATGACATCATCCCAGAATTTGATAACACACAAATTTTCTCGAAGCGTGTCACAACAGTCACGTATGTAACCAATATCTGCAAATCCAATGACCACGTGGATTATAATTTTTGCAATGTATTTGTCTCCCTCCAGTGCACTCCAAGTCGAGTACCAGCTCGATGGTAGTCAAGTCTGGGAAGGGTCGCCTCAAAAACTACAGCCAAGAGTCGTTTGCTTCGCGATGTCAGCGGAATAAGGTCAACAAAAGCATCGGGCTAAGCAGTGCGACTAGTAAAACGATGTCAGAGTTTGAATCAAAGCTCGCGGCGACAACGACGGTCACCATTTCGACAAAGATAAAACGTTCAGCGGGTATTTAAATAATGTAAATTTTTTACACTTTTCAAACCTTGGTAAATTAATTATAGAATTTCCCCTCATTGGAAAAACTGGGTATCGCGTTTCACTAAATGTCGAGACGATCGGATTCTTAATTTCTCCCTCAGAAAAAGGATGTTGCGGTGGAACACCGGGTATGAAATGGGATTAAATAGTACTTTAATTTCATGTGTTCCCTAGTGTTTCGTTTCCTGCGGGTTTGCTACATTTCTTGTACTGCTTAGCAAGAAACGTAGGAAATGCAAGGTGCGACAAATATGCGCCATGTAGCCACACGCCTTATGATTTATAGCGGACGGAAGGAGTTTCTTGCGCCTTGCATTTCTTGCAGGCCAAACTATTTGGCTGCAAGAAACCACTTTCTTGCCATTATTTCTTACATGCAGTTACTTGTACCCAAAACACTGCTCATGTATTTGCAGACCGGAACGAGAACGACCCTCTAAACTATTACTTGGTCAGTCTCTCTGGCGAGGAGCTCATCAACATTCGCGGCCTGGATGACACCACCAAAGAAAATGTGAGTCACATTACTAAATAAATAACTGCACACTCGGGTATAAAATTTTCCTATAATTTATTCTCCAGCACGTCGAAGTGACGACAAGCGCTCTGAAAAAAAAGTTGGGCAGTATCGAGTACGGCTACCTGGGCGCAGACGGTGAGGCGTTAAGCAAAGCGACGACACTGGCAGGTAGAGGAAACTCTTACACGGTCCCCACCTCCGTGATGAACGAGGCCGGTGCCATGACCTACATTTTCCGCCGGGAACAAGATAACCCTGCCTACACGGAGATCATTACTGAGGACGGAGACGCCCTCACGGTGGGCGAGGTTATCATCAACTTTAAAAACACGGGGGGACGGCATCGATTCAGCACGGTGAGTCGAGGCAGAATGATGGAGGGAACGCCGGACAGCTTTTCGCTCAATTTCATCGAAGCTGTGGGCGAAAAGGAGAAAATGCTACTCATCGGGACGGCTGTCACACTGGTTAGTCAATTCCGGCGTTTCGGGTGAAAGTAACCATTTGCAAGAAATAACGACAAGAAAGTGGTTTCTTGCAGCTATTTTGACCTGCAAGAAATGCAAGGCGCAAGCATCTAGGCCCCCCGCTTCACTTCATACGGCGCGTGGCTGGATAGCGCATATTTCTTGCACTTTCTTGCGGTTACTGGTACCTTGCGTTTCTTGTTGTGCACGAAACACTTACAAATTCATTTAAAACGTGTAAAAATTTATATAAATCGAATTTAATTAATTACACAATTGTTGTAATTTACAGTTCAACCAGTGGCTGACACGTCAAACGCAGAAAAAAGTGTATTGCGTTCTACAATAATAATTTCATATAATTTGTTTATTGTAAGAGAAACAATTGAATCGCCACAATAAAATTTGCAATTAATTATTATTTTAAACTAAAACCTTATCACAATGATGAAACTTATGTTAATTGAAACGTAACTGATCTTCAATCTTGATGGGGAGGAGGAGCGTCATTACTTGGCTGTTGGTCGATCGGGTAGCCCTCAACTTCTGAGCTGACCAAGTTCCGCACGAAATGGCTGAGATGACCACCCCCAAAAAAGTCCAGGACGAGGAACATACAACGACAAGCGATCAGAATTTTCAGCGCTATTAAGATGTAAAATCAGGATAATTTTCTCTTCTAATTTTGTAGCTTGGAAATCTGCGCTTACAATTGAGAAAGACGAGGCACATGTTGACCATCACGCCGTACTCGTCCTTCTCAATCATCTTCTCGTTCTTCTCCGTCAAGTGGAGCTCATTCTCATCCAGTTTATAATGCGTCAGCGTGACCACGCCGCAGAGGGCGACGTCGACCAAGGCTTGCATCTGAGATTTTCATCAATTTTACATTAGTTGATAAACTGTAGCGTATAGCATTACCGTACAGGACCCAATGACTCATCGCCAAAATATGCACATTTTATTTTTCATTTTCCTGCTATAAGAATTTATTTTAAAATTCTTGGTCGCAAGTCTGTAGAGCAAGTCGTTGGCAGTTTTTTTAAAATATACACTCCAGATTTTGAAGGAGGAGTCGGAGGAGATCTCAAGTTTAAGAAGGCTTCAGAAATATTGGAACTTATCGGCTTAAAAACTGGCTTAAAAAACTCACCGCAATTCCATTAATCAACTAACTGACTACAATTTGGTCGTCCAGAATTTTAAAATAAATTCCCAGAGCCGAGAAATGTGCTGATTTTGACGATGAGTCATCGAGTCCTAAGAGTGAATGTGCATTTACGTACGAGTGGGTATTCCTGCAGGCTGCCGTTCCAATACGGGAGCGTGTGCGCGTCCCATCTGGGCGGTGGTGGTTTGAAGATTGAGCACATTTCGAAAATGGCCGTGACGAAGAAGGTCCATTGAATGGCGGAAGAGATGCTGGATGGGAAAAAGTCTATTGTTTCTGCCGCCGTCATCGCCACGGAGAAAATCGTCCCTTGCATTCCTACGCTGATTAACTCCCTCCACTGCAAAGAAACGCAGAAATAAGTATTTAGCGGATATCGATGTTGTTCAGCAAATTCAAATTTTACCATTGCGGAAAAAATTGGTCTCGGACTTGTTGACATTTTGGGTTTACTTTGACCCTAAAATAGGGCGCATGTAATGCAATGCAAGAAATTATAATGGTATCGTTTTTTAGATCCAACGTGTCAAAAGTAGAATTTTCTATGAAAAACCTCCAGCGAACTAAAAAAAATTATTCAAACACAAAAAGCTATAGAATTTGGAAGCACACCAAGGAAACAAGTTCCAAAATTTATAAGTCTTATAAAAATAATTTATTTCGCGAAAACAACGCAAAATTTTGTACCAAGGTTGCTTGACAACTTTAGTAATAAAACCTACTCCAAGCAACTTCTAAGATGGCATTATTCACTGAAAGTCGGACTCGAGATATGATTACTGATAACTTCTCCAAGTTTCAGCCTCCCACGACAATTTCGGAACGTTTCTATGACCTTTAAATTTTTATGAGGTCCACCTGATCCAACTAAATGACCCCCACTGACCAACCACTTGACCGATCATGCCCATCTCCGAACTCAACCTTACTTTTTGCCCGAAGATGAAGTATGCAAAATTTCAAGTCGATAGCTTTTGCTTAAAAAGAGTTATCGTGCCTACAGACGGACGGACAGACATCTTGACAAATCTATAAGGCCATCTTAAAAGGCCTAATTACAAGGTTGCAACAATTGCTTCGACGCCTAAAAAACTTCAATTTTCGTAAACCCTGGTACCTTTTGGAACCAGTGTGCGTCGCACAAACTGTCGCCCAGAAACAAACCGCACAAAAATCGTCAACACTCACATTTCGTGCTTTCGATTCTCGAATTAATTTTTTAATCATGGATGTATTATGATAAATTGTCAAGCAATCTTGCACTCAAAGTAAGTGAGGAGAAAAGACCAAAAATGTCTTTTCTCCTCACTGAAAGACTGCTGGAAGAAAATAAGAAAACTGCCTTTTCTAATTAAAAAAATGATTATCGAAGGGTTTTTACGAGCCTGTCGACAAAAAATTGAACATAAAACTTGATTTGTTAGGGAAGGAAGAAAATAATACGCGGTAGGTGGGTCAAAAGGTCAAGTTGTCTTTGATAGTTTAACTTTAACACTTTATCATAATGCTAAAAAATAATTCTTCAGTTTGTAACTGGAGCTAACATCACCATTTCTTTTCTTTCTTGTTTTAAGAACGACGACTAATTACTGATATGTTGCTTGATAAGGATTTGGGCAGCCTCGAGTGGTGCTATCCGGACTGTCCATTGATGATCAATAGCAAGTACTCGTACAAATTGCTCAATATGCACAGCCAATAAGAAGCATTGTGCTCAATTTCATGCAAATCGGACGAGAAATGGCGAAATTATGGCATGGGGACGAAATTTGGCGAAAACAAGGTCGTGGCGGCGGGTGTGACCTTGCGACATGTCGATAACACCAAAAAGAAGTCTCTGTCGAAGTTTGATGAAAATCGGCCGAGATATGCCGAAATTGTGGCATGGCGACGAAATTTGGAGAAAACAAGGTGGTGGCGGCGGGTGTGACCTTGCGACATGTCGATAACACCAAAAAGAAGTCGCGTTCGAAGTTTGATGAAAATCGGACGAGAAATGGCGAAATTATGGAATGGCGACGAAATTTGGCGAAAACAAGGTGGTGGCGGCGGGTGTGACCTTGCGACATGTCGATAACACCAAAAAGAAGTCGCGTTCGAAGTTTAATGGAAATCGGACGAAAAATGGCGAAGTTATGGCATGGCGACGAAATTTGGCGAAAAAAAGGTAGTGGCGATGAGTGTGACCTTGCGACATGTCGATAACACCAATAAGAAGCGTTGTGCCTAATTTCATGCAAATCGAACGAGAAATGGCGAAATTATGGCATGGCGACGAAATCTGTCGAAAATAAGGAGGTGGCGGCGGGTGGGACCTTGCGACATGTTAACAACACCAATAATAAGCATTGTGCCAAATTTCATGCAAATCGGACGAGAAATGGCGAAATTATGACATGGCGACGATATTTGGCGAAAACAAGGTGGTGGCGATGAGTGTGACCTTGCGACATGTCGATAACACCAAAAAGAAGTCTTTGTCGAAGTTTGATTGAAATCGGACGAGAAATGGCGAAATTATGGCATGGCGACTGTCACGCAAGCATTGTAGGTGCGTTACCTCTCTCGTTGGAGGGACTTGTTCCCCAATAAATGCCAGTTCTTTGTGAGCAACGATGTAGTTCAGTCGTGTGTTTATTTGCATCTCTCGCGTTGACATGCATATGTACATACGTACTTTCCCTGCTACGGCATCACTGCTTACAGAGGCTCATGGTCGCTACCGCGACCACACCATCAACCACACCCACAGGGATTCCCGACATTGGTGTTCACACTTCTCCACTGTCTCCAATGGGTGTGCCGGAGACGAGTGGGGTGCGGAAGAACTGCAGGGGGTAATGTGAGACTTATGGGCACATTGGAGTGTGCGTTGTGGAGTGAAAGTTAACCTTTTGATAGTGTGATTCTAACAATGAACGTGTATATTAGAGAAAGAATTCTACAGCACTTTCGAGATCTCGAACCGGAACAGGCAAGTTGTGTGTTGAAAAGAGACTAATTAAAGCTATGGAGGCACAATTACCAAAAACGGAGACGAAAGGTCTGGATGAGACGGATATGAACAATGAGAGAGAGCTGATAGTGCTAGTAGAGAGTAAGTTGCATCCAAAAATTAGGCAGTTCATTAAGTATAAGGGAATGCCTTCTAGCTGGAGCGCATTAGTAGGAATTCTGCATCTATACGACAGCGTTGAACTGTATGCGGATTGTCAAGATGGTGCAGAGGCAGTGGATAATAAATTAGTGGAAACCACCATAGTGAGCCAAAATAACTGGGCAGACGAAGTAGCGGAGAAAGTTATGGATAAAATGCAAGCAGTGTTAAAAATTAGTCAATCAATTAAGGGCCCGAATCATCAGGGGCAGCAACCAAGTCATGCACAAGTACCAGGAAGCCTTAAAGGGCAATTACATCGTCCCATACCACGTTGTCATGGTGTACAAGGGTATGTGAGTAGTCAGTGTTACGCCAGTAAGCGAGAACAGCAACGTTGGGGAAGTTTTTGTCATTATCATGGAATGTTTGGACATTTTACTGAGGACTGTGCAAAATTAAAACGCGAGATATGTGTGTGGAAATGGGGGAGCGTACGTGAACCCGTTAAAGATTTTATAGCGCATTAACTACATGTAACATTAATTACATTAACTACATTAACTACATGAGTTATGTGGAAGGACACGCAAGCAGAAAGTTAATAAGATACCGTGGTGTTTTAACTTTTCTGAGGGCGTGGATGAAGAACATTGACTTTTTGCAATCGGTTTGTGCATTAATTTAATTTGCCCAGCACGCAAGCGGTCATGTACTAGTTAATACACGCTAGGAGAAAGTGCGCCGAACTTTTAGTTATATATACGTTGAGTCCACCTTGGATTAACCTTTAGAAAGGACGAACTAGCAATACACTAACACACGCGGTTAAGAGCATTAACTCTCGTCAATTGGATACATGCACGATTCGCCGGAATAAAACATTTGGCTTCGGAGTGATGAACTGACCATAGAAATGACTGCATTGCAGAGACGCGTAGGGTACAGTGATCTGATAGTACCTACCGATGGAAAATCAATAAGTGGATTCCCGACACGACGAAATCTGTCGAAAATAAGGAGGTGGCGGCAGGTGGGACCTTGCGACATGTTAACAACATCAATAAGAAGTGTCTGTCCAAATTTGATGGAAATCGGACGAGAAATGGCGAAATTATGACATGGCGACGATATTTGGCGAAGACAAGGGTGTGGCGGCGGGTGTGACCTTGCGACATGTCGATAACACCAAAAAGAAGTCTTTGTCGAAGTTTGATTGAAATCGGACGAAAAATGGCGAAGTTATGGCATGGCGACGAAATTTGGCGAAAACAAGGTGGTGGCGATGAGTGTTACCTTGCGACATGTCGATAACACCAAAAAGAAGTCTCTGTCGAAGTTTGATTGAAATCGGACGAGAAATGGCGAAATTATGGCATGGCGACGAAATCTGTCGAAAATAAGGAGGTGGCGGCAGGTGGGACCTTGCGACATGTTAACAACATCAATAAAAAGTGTCTGTCCAAATTTGATACAAATCGGACGAGAAATGTCGAAATTATGACATGGCGACGATATTTGGCGAAGACAAGGGTGTGGCGGCGGGTGGGACCTTGCGACATGTTAACAACACCAATAACAAGCATTGTGCCAAATTTCATGCAAATCGGACGAGAAATGGCGAAATTATGGCATGTCGACAAAGGTTGTCGCCATGCCATGCATTTATAAGGGGGGGAGCTGTTGGCCGCCCTAAGAAGGGCGTTTCCAGAGCACACGACGAGGACGTCGCTCCCTCGTGCTCCACACGGGTCGGCCCCCACTCGCACCCTGAGGCGCAAGGGGGGTCTACCTCCACCGACCGGGAAAGACCTGCCCACGTCACCGCCTCTGCAACCGCGTTCCCCTAGGGGGCCCGTCTGACCCTCGCCTTACGAGGTGGGAGCGCACCCGTAAATCGGCCCCCATTAAGGCTTCGAACTCGGGAACCCGGTCGGCCCCAAGGGGAGGTATCGCTAAAGAGCGGCGTCACCCAAGGGTTGGAGGTAGAGAGCCCCTCTCACTTGCCAAGCGCCACCCGCACTTTTGGCAAGCCCCGCCGGCTCCCCACCCGGTGAGCCTGCTTGGTGGGAGGAGCATTGGAGGGGGGACCTTCCCGTAAGGCTCTCCCCTTGCAGCGTTGCTCCCCCGGACCACCCCTCCAACGGGAAGAGAGTCGGGGCTGTGGGACAAACCACGGGTGGACCCGACTCCCCAGAGAGGCAGGGCGGTCCAGGGGCGCGGCTACAATGGGGAGCTCACCCAGGGACACGTCCCCCACGAGCGCCTCCCGCAGACTGACAAAAATTTCTGGTGCAGCTCCTTTTATACCCTCTGGAGGGCGGTGAAAGTTCTGCTATAAATAGCACCCAGTCATACTGTATGACTTGGTGCTATTAATATCCGTATATTAATAGCACCTGAGATAAGCGGCCTCACATGTTCCGTGTTATATTATAATTACATATATAGTAGTTATATAGCATATAGCACACACGTGCTATAGGTATACAGCTGTATACCTGTGTATAGCAATATATAACATATATATATATATATATACATAGTATATATATATGTATTTAGTAGTTATATATATACACATATGTTATATATAGCTATACACAGGTATACAGGTGGAAGTTGTGCTATATACTATATACTATATAACTACTATATATGTATACATTGCCTGCATATAGCGGCCTATTTCAAATGTTTACAATTGTTTACGAATAATTCAATGAATTATTTCGACGTCGTTAGCATTGGGTAAATTTCGATTCTTATAGGTTTTTGGTCGCTGATTTCGAATCTGAGGTCAGTTTTTCGATTGCGACATCATGGGAAGGGGCACATGCTTAATTATGTTAAAATAACACAAAATCTACAAATACAAGGCTACAAATATACAAAGCTACAAATATAAGGCTGGGTTTTGTATTTGTAGTATGAAAAAATTAGAAGTTGACAAAATTCATGTAAATTCTTGTCAATCAGAGAGTGAAAGAACTTCCCATCATTACTGCCACCTTGTGATAATTTTTGTAATAATCTACATGCCAACTGCAACTTCGTCTCTTCGCAGTCTTCGATGCTTACTTCGACGATGAAGAAACTCAATTCAATTCAATTTTCGAAAACCCTGGTACCTTTTGGAACCAGTGTGCACTCACATTTCGTTCCCACGAATTAATTTTTAGCCCGAACCAGGGCTTATGTAATTGTCATGTCCGTCTGTCTGTCTGTCTGTCCGTCTGTCTTTCGATAGCTCTCGAACGAGTTGACCGATTGACTTGAAATTTTTACCATATGCATATTGGACAAAGTTAGGAAACGAGTTCGAAGATGGATGACATTGGTCCAGTGGTTGACCGGTGGGGGTCATCGGAGTGGGTGGGGTATTATGCACCAAAATTTCAAAATCGTCATAGAAAGCTCAAATTTGGTACAAAGGTTGCTAATGGCTCCTAATGAAAGAATATGAAGTGAAATTGGAAAATTTGTCAACCGGAGGTACCCGAGGGGCTGACCCATACCGATTTTTCAAAATCATCCAATCGAGCTGAAATTTGGTATAGAGGCTGCTAATGGCCCCTAATGGAAGAATATGAAGTGAAATTGGTAAAATTTTCATCTAGAGGGACTCTATGGGGTAACCCCCACCGATTTTCAGAAATTAACATGGAAAGCTGAAATTTGGACCAGAGATCCATACTGCTTTTTCACGAAATAATATGAAGTTAAATATGAACAAAAATTAACCAGGGGGGCTATAGAGACGACCTCCACTAGGAAGTAGTCAAGGGAAGGGATAGTAAATATTTTTAGAATTTGGAGCCTAGTAATACGAAGGATTGATGGAAGAATTAGTGCAAAATAGTAGCACATAATTTCATAGAAAACTACTGACAAACACGGGTTTACTAATCATTCCTGGTTCGGGCTAAGCAAAGCTGTACTGATAGGTTTTTAACCATGGATACAAGAATCAGTGCAGTTGTAAATGTGAAATCGGCTATTTCGGCGTTCCGGCAGAAATTTTTGTGCTTTAATTACCGTTAGCGACGGCCCAAATAATAAATAATTAGCACTTCAAAAATGGAGGTTTTTGAGGCTATCGAAGCAACTGTCGTAACCTTGTATTATGATAAATTGTCAAGCAATCTTGATTTTGTACTTGTTTGATTGGAATTTGTCCGTGGCATGCAAAACCAGAGTCTCTGCCACCACTTTAAATTAATGCCCAGCAGATAAATTATCTCCCCACAAGTGTACAAACTCCACCCAAATGTCAAGGCTACCTATTCCTCAGTCTTATTACAGATGAACATGTATGAGCTATGTTCAAGCGTGAAGATTAAAATAATGCGACAGTCTCCACCCAGATTATGGACCGAGATTTCAAAAGTAAAACTCCCCCTGGTCCACAACTTAAAGGTAGCGAATCAACAATAGTGAAAGAAAATCCAGTCTTTCATCCCCTGCTGCTGAGAAGGAGGAAGAAAAAGAAGAAAGCTTCCGGTGGCCTTGGTCGAGTCGGTGGCGTCTTCACGACAAGACCCCAGCGACCCCGGAGACGACACTTGGTCGAATTGGAGAACAGCGTGGTGCAGAAGCGCGGACCGTTCCAGCTTCCCACCAGCCTCGCGGCCCCGTCCGACCTGGGCCATTCGGTGAAGCGGTTCCTCGCGGGGAGATGGGTCCCCTCGAAGATGGACTTTCTTCTACCTTTTACTGACCCCGAAATTCCCGGAGTTCCCCGCGGTCTCGAACTTCTCTCGCTGGTTGACCACTTCTACGTCCAGCAAGTCCAGAGGAGGGACTTTCCTGAAGCGATATCCAGTAGGTGATTAATTTACAGTGTTTCGTGTTACAGAAATATTCGCCATCTGGCCACGCGCCCTATGAAGTATTTAGTTTCTTGCGCTTTGCATTTCCTGCAGGTCAAAATAGCTTCAAAAAACCACTTTTTTGCCGTTATTTCTTGCAAGTGGTTACGTGACGTGCACTAGAAACAATGATCATTTACATAATTTGGAAATAAATAAATTTTGAGTGTATTATCTACAATTTTTGCAGGACAGCTCAGCTCGATGGTAGGAAATCGGTACCACGTGCTTTGTGGAGACACGAAAAACCGAATTTTTTACGGCGTGGTGAAGTACCCCGTTTGCATGGGATGCCTCGCCGGCTACAAACCGTTTCGTCTCTTCGTCATGAATTATAATCTCGATATCGTCCTCCACTTTGAAAAGTCAATTTCATGCAGATTATTCTGGTGTTTCGGAGGCTACGGGACGGTAAGGGTCGAATTAATAAATAAAATAATTCGCAGAGAAAAAATGTATAAATATAAATTTTTCCAGAAAATCCGAGTAACCGGACCCTCCGGAGAACTTTATGGGACAATAATGCAGCGTTTCTCCCTCCTCCGACCGAACTTTGACCTCTTGGATGAAAACGATTCTCGCGTTCTGAGTATCCAAGGACCGCCCATAATTCCCCTGCCACTCAGCTACCTCCAGTTCCTCACAAAATTCAAGCTCTACCAGCATGACCCTCACGAAGAAGAAGGTGAAGGAGATCAGGTCGGGATCTTCTTAGAAGCCGCGTATGGCGTTGGAAATCGCAACATGAAGAATTCTCTCAGAGTCGGATTTCCAAGAGATTTGCCCATTCGGCATAAAGCGCTCGTGCTGGCGGCTCTCTTCCAAATTGTACTACGAAGCATTTCATATTTCATAATTTGGTATAATTTTATGAATTTTATCAACCTCCTGTTTTGTTTAATTCCTCCAGTTTTTTGCGTATTACGAGCTTGGCGACGAATATCCGGGCGGTACATGGATCACACAGCGACTGCGACCCCTCCTCCGGATAAACCCGTTTGCTGCGACAAAACTAATTCGACCTTATGGCTACGTGGTGGGTGAGTACACAGTCGCGGAATCGGTTCAGGATTTCGCTGCGGTTTTAACCACGGACGATAAGAGCCGTCTAAATCCGGTTTTAACTAGCTTTGGGCACCAAATTCTGAACGTCCAAAATGTCCTAAATGAAAATGGGGCAAAATTTTACAAGTTCGTCATTATTGCTGTGTCGATAATCTGTTGGCATATATGTAATCTCCCATTAATTCTGAGCATTTTGATGTGTAATGCGACATTGTTTAGAAAGTTTCTTAATTTCCCATAAGAAAACATGTTGAAAGCACTTTTTTCTCAATTTCGTGGCATTATACATACACACTAAAATTCTTAAAATTCGGGAGATTACATATTATCTGTGCATGGATTTGCAAAAAAGTCGCTATTAAAGAACTTGTAACATTTTACCCCATTTTCCAATGTAGCCTTTGGACATTTTGGACGTCTAAAACAAAACCCTCGTCCAAAAAAATAATAATTGCAGCAATGATGCTTTCTCTGCAGGAAAATGCAACCCGTACCTCACGTTCCTGCTTCTTTGTGGCGTCATCTTTTTGACCTTGTACTATTTCGTGATTAAACACCATTGGGACTTTGGTTACATGTCGCTAGACTAACACACAGCTTGATGTTTAAATACTTTTATAATTTTGTGCTTTACTATTTTCATTTTTAAATACAACTATGTGTAAATATATGTAATATTCCAATTCTATTTATGGCTCATAATTTGTGGAAATCGAACTAAAAATTAAGAACACGTGACCGGAATTCAAACGTTCAGAAAATTTTATCATTTATTTGCATACTATTTATGAAATACAAATTAATTTATGCATTCTGATTTCCTCTCCTCACTTTTTCCGCTTCGACTTTCCCTTAGATTTCGGTTTCTGTTTTGACGGTTTTTGAGCCTTCTTACTGCCAGCAGCTTTACTATCGCTGTCGTCACTGTTCTCACTGTCATCGTCATCATCATCGTCATCATCGTCCAAAAGGTCATCGTCATCTTGGTCGTCGTCATCATCATCTCCAACCAAATGAGAGGTTTGACTGGGTTTTCCTGCATTGTCATCGTCATCCGATCCCGACCCGGAGGAAGAACCTTCACCTGAAGAGACGGATAATAATATGGTAGAAGGTCAAAGGTCAAGAAGTAGTTGATAACTAACCCTCCTCTTCACTGGACCCTTCCTCCTCCTCGTCCAAGTCCCTGTTTTCCATCATGGCCTTGTGCAGCTTCATCCTTCCAACCGGCGCGACGACCAGGTTGCCCTCCGAGTCTCGATAGTACTCCATCTCCTCGTCATCCAGGTCCCAGTCGTCTAAAAAGTCTTGCTCGTCTGCCAAAAAATGTTGTTATTAAATGTCGCCATTTTTTATTGGTTAATTTAAAATTTACCAAGTTGGATGCCTTGTTCTGCGGCCGCCTTCCTTGCTTTTTCCTCCTGCAAGGCCAACTTTCTCCTCCGCTCTTCCCTCTTCTTTTTAAGGGCGGCTTCCTTCCTCTGCTTGATCCGTTCTTCGACGAGGCGTTTGTTGAGGTAGGCCTTGAACGCGATGGATAGTTCGCACTCGACGGGGACGACGGGCACTTCCGGGTGGCGGAGTTTCTCCAACTCCTCCTTCTTACGAGTCTCGCACTGAGCCAATTTCTGGTCAAGAAAAAGCAGCAAAACTTATCAATTTACAATGTCCATATTATGTAAAGTGTTTCGTTTCGTGCGGGCTTGCAAATGGTTACACACTGATTATGTAAATTAAATATGCTGTCTTACACTGAATGCCCACTCGATGCTGAGATATCCTTTCTTCATGTTGAGTCGATTTCTTTTCTGCAACAATATTTCCTTCCTCTCACTGAGTCTCTAGAGAATTGCCAAAAATATGTATCAAATTAAGGTCACAAGTCCTTGAAAATGAAAATAAATTTTTAAAAATACGGCGTTTGCAATATCGAGTCGGCCGAGGTCCCACCGATTGCACCGATTATCCAACTCCATCAAGTTCATGTGGTCCGAGAACATGGGCATCAGGTGAGATCGACACGTCGTGATCAAGTTGAACAACTCGCTCTCCAAATGGTTGTGCAATTTGGCTCGCTCGCTAATAAAGCATGTGACGAAAAATGAGTACAAGAATACAAATCCTTAGTCAAATTTCGTCTCTAAAATATTACTTCAAATATTGGTTCTTCAAGTGGCGCGTTTTAACGTTGGCATCCAACTCGGCGGCAGGAATCATGTCTTGCAGTTCTTTGAGATGAGCGAGAAGTCCGGCCAACTTCTTACTAGAAATTTAGGAAATTATTGAAGATTTTTTTAAGTAAAAAATATGTACTTAATTGCTGCTCACATTAAGTGCTCATATTCCAAGAGCTTGATTCTCAACTCGTTCAACTCGACTTCTCCCTTTTGCATGCGGTGCTTATACTCGGCGAGGCGTTTGTCGTAGTCGCTCATACGTTCTCGGATGAGACGGTCCACCTCCGCCCGCTCCAATTCTAATTGTAGGCTGGCAGGAAACAATTGAATTGATTAATTAATTATTAATTAATGAGAGGGATTTTTTACATACGTGATTTCTTCCATGAGACGTTGGATCTCGCCCATCTTTTCCTTGAGGTAGTCGTGATAGACGTCGTTGTCGTGCTTCATGGCGAGCATTTCTCGCGTCATGTACCATCCTTCGAGCCGCTTTTTGCGTGCGCGTCCCTGCGTCTGCTTCAGGTCAAACAATTTTTCGCGGAGTTTGTTGTAAAGTTCAGTGAGTTGGTGGAGTGGGGGCGGCTCGAAGACGGGTTTTTCCTTCTTCTTTTTCTTCCCTTTATCCTTCTTCCGCTTCCCCCCTTTGGACTTCCCCTTCGTCTTCAGCTTGGGAGGCATTCTGAATGACTTTTCCGGTCAAAAGTCGTCCAATATCGATTTTTGGATCTTTAGACGAGATGCAAGGCGTAAATCGTGAAAAAATTGTGTACACGTGTAGCCAAGGCTATGCATGCATTTTGACGAAATGACGAAATTTCTAGACAAAATATTTGTCAATGGAACTTTTTGAGAAATTTGCAGTTTCATTTTTTGTGTGAATCTGCTGTTTTTGTCACATTCTGTCCACATTTTTGTTAACTTTGAATCATGCCGTCAACCAGACATATTAAGAAACCTCACAGAATTAGCACCAAGGCGAAACTACGCCTCCACTACTACCGAATACTTCTAGAAACTTCAAACTTTGTTGATAAATTTCGAAAAGAAAAATTACCCATTGACAGCGACGACAATGGATTGTACCGAGACCCCAAAGAAGAAACGACTCAACCCTCTAAAAGGACACCACGTCGGAATACGTCGCCCCCTGTTGAGAAGAAGACAAGAAACGAAGGTACAAGGCGAAAGGGTCACGACCACGTAAAGTCACCCCTCTTTAGCAGCAGTCCGACCAGCAGCGTCGATCAGGTCGTCCGAAAAGGAAGGGTCAAACTGTGTCCATCTCAGAGTGCGGACGAATTCTATCAATTTCAGTACGAGCGGATGAACAAGAGCTATGCGGATATGTACCTTGGCCCCAGTCACAGTCAGATCCTCGCTTCCTCGTGCAAAAATAATATGATCACTCTTGAAGAACAAGAAGAAATATGTCTGCCTTTACCTCACAAAGTCAGAGTCCGAGCCGTTTCCAGTGATGAGAGCATTTTTCACAGGCAGAAGAAAACAGACGCCAGACAACGTCGTCGTCGCTCTTCTCGAACAACGAGACAAAGCGCGTCCCACGTTGAGGAGACCTCGTGCAAAGATGTGGGCGGAGATCGTCGCAATAATGATAGTCTGATTGGGAGAGAGAAGGCGGAAAATAATGGTGATGGCGAAACTACTTATCCCCAAAAATCTGCAAGTATTCATCAGGAGGAGGTATTTACATTAATAATACCCGAGACGAATTTAGTCATGAATTAATTTTGCAATATGCAGATTATCCGGGCAGATTCAGACCACGGAAAAATACGCATCTCCAGACACCGTATTCATCTCAGAGCAGAGAATGCGGAAAATAATAATGACGATGATGATGCCGACCGTGGCTGGACCGTTGAGACGAAAACGATGGAAATCATTCAAGTCGAAACGAGCGAAGAGTCCCCATCTTCTACTCGTGACGAGGAGAAGGATCTCGCCCTAGTTCAGAGCGACGAGAAAGTCGACCAGACCAAAGGTCCCGCTGAGAAAAGAGCAGCCGCCAAGAAATTAGCGAAACAAGTCCGCCTGCAAGGATTGAGGCGGCGGAAACAGGTCATCAAAAAAAGCATGACTGACTCCTTGTCCGCCATCAAGTCCACCATCCACGCGCTCACTCACCGCCGTCGAGACCCCTCCGCCTACAACATAAAATCCTACCCGCTCCGATTCGGTCTTTCTGTTGTCGACCCACGCAGAAAAGCAGCGGCCCCATCAACGTCGTCGTCGTCACTAATTCCACTTTTCGACCCCATTTCTGGGAGAAGGTTGAAACTCAAGAAGGGCGACGACAGCTCCATGTTGACGAAAATATTTGACGTCATGTCGCCCAAGAAGGGGAATAATTACAACCACGCCCAGACGAAATCCCACCCGTACAACGTGACCAAATTGAATAATAGTAATAATAATACGCCTGAAACGAACGTGGTGAGAAAAACCTTGTCCGAAATCTACCAACAGAGCGGTAACAATAACGAGAAAATGACACGATCCTATTACCACGACTCTGCTTCCGATGATGATGATGACAAAATTCGCGAGTACTATTACAAACCGCAGTCCCCCATGACGGAAAAGTATGCGGAATTATTGCGAAAATAAAATATTAAGATATGTACATATGTTAATTTATTTGCATTTATCGTTGCATTTAATATTTACAAAGTTAGAACTATTTACGAAAGTATCACTATTTCACCGAGATGGACAGAATACTTTGTCAAAATACGGGATTTTGAGCTCCGGTCTTCTCAAGGCTTGTGAGGAAAATAACCTTTTATCGCTGTCAAAATACTTTATTTATAAATCGCGAAAACAGTATTTTGACAGCGATAAAAAGCTGATTTCTTCACAAAACCTTTATTTTCATATGACCGTTATCTTCTCCACGTAGATTTTCGTCTTTTTGTGGATGTAACAGCCCTGGAAATCCAAACCCTGGGAAGAACGAAGCTCAAAATACTGTATTTATTTTCATTTGTATTTTGTCAACCCCTGCACATCGACATTTCTATCTACTACTTGTTCTCGTCTAAATTGGTAATTTGCGACACGCTGAAGCTCACCGCACCCCTTCCATACTCATACTGTTTCGATAACGAGTTGAATTTTACGATCAGAAATGACATGAGGACACAGAGGACGATCGTTTGTGCCGTGACGAAGGCCCAGAGATACATGTGACCCGAATAGCAAGCGTCGTCAGTATTATTCCCACCACTCCCATCGTCACCCTCTACTTTTGGGGATGACAGCGTCAAACTTTCCCCCCGTTCCGCAGAAGAACTAATACTTTCCAAGTCCACGAGAGAGACTGTGTCCTCCGGAGAAAACAACGAGAAATTGACCTTCGTCGTCGGCTCGGCCAGAAAGTATTTCCCCTCCTGATTCCAGCTCGAGTTGACCATGTGATCCGGAATCACGTGCTGGACAAAAAGGCTGTTTCCACACGGGGCTCTAGCATAGAACTTATCATCGTGATAAGTCAGATAACAATTGCAGGGAAGCGTGACCTCCACACTGCCATAAATTTGCGGTGTAATCATCTCGTCCGGTTTTCCTTCACATTTTATCAGTATTGAAGTAATGCGATTAACCGCGATGACAAATCTGGTCGGAGAAACGCGTTGAATCAAGGGCAGCGTTTTTCTCCCGTATTCCGGCGGAAGCGGGTCACAATGAAGGGAACAAAACTCTCGGACTCGGATCGCTTCAAAGGAGGCGTTCAAGAGCTCGAAAATGCAGCGATTGACGAGCGGGCGCTGCGAAGAATCGGGCATGTGACAAAGGTCACCTGCAGGACGGCTCGCCTCCATCAAGGTTCTCGATGCCCGGTCAAAGTGAAAGTATTCTGGTTGCGCGTGTCTCGGGAGGTCAGAGACGCTCTTGACCCCGCACAACTGGTCCTCATAAAGGAACGTGGGGTAGGTAAACCGCATCAGGCTGTAGCTCCTCTCCACCCGGAGGACGGGAAGAAGTAGCTGCACGACCATCGTCGTGGGACCAAAGATGCAGTCGGCCACGGGCAGTTTGAGCAGCTTGGAGATGGTCAGCCCCGTTGGAAGGGTGTACTTTTGCGGGATGAGTTTCAACCTGAGTTCCTGCAAGGCTTTGTCCAACCTGCCCACTTTAAGGAAGGAGTAGGGCAGGACGTGATTCTGACAGGAAAGGAGTGCCTCTCGTAACCGGGTAATTTCGGAGAAAGTGTTGATCAGGTGGAGACCCTGGAGGGCGAGGAGGTTGTTAATCATTTCACCCGAATCGGGATCCGGCGCCATGAAGTTGTCCTTCATGGCGTCAAAGAGCGTCCCCGGGTCGGACGTGTAGTCGGTGATCTGCTCCTCGAAGTAGGACGGGAGGGTGTTGCACTTTTCGAGGAGGACGCGATACTCGGCGAGACCCATGTCACGCCCGTAAATGCCCTTCCACGAGCGGGCAATGATCTGTTCGCAGTCCTCGAAGTGGAGGGAAGCGTGGTGCGAGAATTTTTGGTAGTCTTGGGGAAGCTGTTGTCCGGTGGTTGCTTGTCGCAGTCCGGCTCGGAAGGCGGGGTGGATATCGGTATAGTTGGCTTTGTACTGTTTGAGGAATTCGTGCACGTGGAAGAAGACGGGGCAGGTGAAGAGCCAATCGGTCGTGGAGGTGGTAGCGGATTTATTGTCGGACCTGCAGTTGAGACGGGGAAGGATTTTGAACTTGTTGAAACCGACGGGGAGATTGGACCAGAGGTCGGAACGGAGACGGAATTCGAAGACGAGGGGGACTACTTTTTCGTAGAGGAGGGTTTGGAGGGGGGATTCCTCGGAGTAGATGCCCGTCACGACTTTGCCTTTGAGGGTGGGAAGGTCGTCGTGAAAGGGGGACGACGCGGTGCTGATGGCGAAAAGTGGGAGGAGGAAGAGGTACACGGACGTTATCATTGTGATGCTCTGTGTTCTTCAACTGACACCAACTGGACAGAAATTTGTAAAAAATTAACAAAATTTTGCACAAAGTTTATTCGGAATTATCTTTTCCAAAAATAATACTAATTTTCTTAAAATCTTTGTGATAATTTTTTTGCATTTTTCTACATATGTTTTGATAATAAATTAGTATTTGAAATATTGACAAAGAAAGTAAGCTTTTCCCCCGTTTATTTTCGAAAGTATGATCAAATTAATCGCAAATTTATTATTTTTATTCGTAAATACCTGATTTGGAATACAGCTCGTCTATCATCAAGCCCTTCTTGTCTTCTTCTTATTCTGGAGGAGTCGTCTTTATCGTTTCGATTCCTACCACAAATGAGAATTTTTGACAACAACCACTGCTGCGCGTGGACCACACAAGTTTCATTATCATTGCAGCATTTTTATTTGTGGGACAAGGGTTCGTGAATTTGTGTCAATATTGAACTTCTTGAGAGAGCTTTTATGAAACCGCAAGCTCTCCTCCGTCCACAGATTGATAAGCTCTAATCTGTATTTGTTTACACGCAAAAAACTAATCGTAACCCACAAAACCAAGGATTCAATATACCGGAAGAGACGAAGAAGATGATGAAAGTGCAGGATGGGATTCAACAAGTAAATGCGTACTATGCACTGGAGTAACGAAAGTGATTTGAAAAAATCAGGACAGAAGAGGACAAAGACTTTTTGTAGTTAAGCTGCTGGTAACTGGACACATGCTCATACTCGTCCAGTCGACATGCAAATATGTACTTTTTAAATTGACAATTAGATATTTTTTTGTGGTGGAAAGGGTTAAGATTTTTTGCTACCACGACTTGAACTCTTTATCTCTCTGTGTTTTATGCGACTTTTACATGCTCCCATAAATTCAAGAGTTGACACTGCATATTATTATCGTGTAAGTGGACATACTTATTATGACGATATGCGTATTATTAATGCATTTCGTTAAACTGCTGCTGACTCTGCTGCATCCACTTCATAATAAAACAGAAGAACAAGACCAAGTCAGTCTTCTAATCGAGAGAATGATGATTAATTACGTAATATGTAATTTAAGCGATTGAAATTATGGTGTAATGACCTAGTCCATACAGTGCAGAGAGATGCAAAAATATTTTTGTGTGTGCGATGCATATTCGTGAAGGAAGCGATAAGTTTGAGAGGAATGAGCATAACATAATTATGTACGGAATAGTACGGATGGGAGAAGAAGATGACCGTTACGTTATTATGCGTAATAAAATTGCTGGAATATTTTGCTAATCTCATAGTTTGAGATACTAATTGTAAGACTTTTGCCTCAATTTGCCTCATGTAAATGGAAAGAATCTTTCTATGTATATGCAAACATTCTCCTCATATTTATCATTTCCTTCATGGTTATGTATATGCAAGTATTTAGTAAGTTAGTTTTATAAAAAATGGCTCGTAGAGTGCATATTTTAACAGTAAAATATGTACAAGCAAGTTGAGACCAATTAATTTCGACGGTGCATGAAATGAGGTAAAATGAGACTTATAATTTTACAGAAATGAGACTATGGACAAAATGAGACAGAAATGAGACGAGTTGGCAAAGCGGTATGCCAGCTGGACTGAATTTGCCGAGTTGTCAAATGTGGGACGTGAAGTCTTGCAAGAATTATTAATTTGTAATTGTAAATTGTAATTTAGTAAAGTTGAAGGCAAATAATTCATGGTTTTATACATACTGTGATAAGTCATTAAGTTAACGGACAATCATGTCACTAACTTTGGACGAAATTGAGAAGGACGGTAAATTGCGAACGATATTTATTGAAACACTCTTTATACTGACAAAGTCTTTGTTTTTATTGTTCTTTTTCAGTGTTTCTGAAGCCTTTTACCCAGTCCAACTTTGACGTTGGGGGACATGTGACGTCTCTCTTACCGAAAACGTCGACTGCCTTGACCCAGCTCTCCACATCTATTTCGTCCATTGACCAGCAAATCCACGGAATTGTGACCACCCATCATGGCGACCTTCTCGCACAAACATCCAACGTCGAGCTTATGGAATCCGTCGTGCAAAACTGTAACAAGAGGGCGAGCATGTGTCTCCGCTCGGTGGATGGCGTTCGACAAAAGTTGAACGATCTACACGCCCAATGCCGACAGCAGGTTACCTACTTGGAAAACTTGTACAAGGCGAACCAAGCCATGAGAAGGATGAGGGCAGTGGTGGAAATCGATAAGCGTGCGGAGAACGAGCGGAATACGGCGGAAGTGGCGTCATGTGTGGCGCAAATTGGTAAATAGGCGTATCTTAAAGGAAATTAAGCTAGTCGATAACATTGTATCTCTATTATTATTTTTTAATTAGAACACCTGTGCCTTAAGTCACCCAAACTGGATTTTCTCCAACCTTATCATGATAAGGTGAAGCAAACAACAATTATTATTCATTTATTACTAATTGTTGTTAATTTTATTGTTATTATTGTTAAAGGCTTCCTCCCTTCGTCAAAATATAGAGAAACAAACCGAAAACATTTTGAATCAAGGGCTTCAAGCCAACTCACTGAGTCAGGTTTCCGGATGTTTGCAAATTTTCGCCAACCTGGACGTCCTCGAAGCAAAAATTGTCAAAGTTTTGGGCGAGACGGAAAAATATATTGAGAGAGATGTCAAAATTGCGCTGGAAGTTAAATTGCAGGCACCGTCTTCCACAAGAGGTAACCTCGTACTCATAACGGAGGTCTCCCCGCTTATGCTCTCTGATTTTGACCAAATTAGTGTCAATCGAACACAAATTTAATTATCATGGCGTAACTAAATAAATGCAAAACATATTAAATGGTAGGTGGTGGTCCTGGCCGAGCCGTGCTGCCGTCCACATCAAAAGCTATCGTCCAAACGTGGAGCAATTTAGATAATTTTGTCACCAAAGTGGTCGCCCACACGGGAAGGGTAAAACTATTATGGAAAGCCATCCTGGTCGGGAAGGATTCCTCGTCAAGCGTCCCATTCTTGGATTTCATCACGAGTGGGGAATCAGTCTGGACAAAATTTTGGAACAATTTTATGGACGTTTTAATTCGAAATTTTTCCACTTTGAAATTGGAGTTTATGAAGGCCGCGTTGGAAAATGAGTTTCCAAAATTACTCGGACTTTTCTGCACAATGGGGACAAAAATTGAGGAAGGCTCACCAACCAGTTTATCGTGAGTTGGGTTTCAAAAAATAATTTCAAAAAATCGCGAATTTTCTGATAATTTTTTCGCATGCCAGAATCCAGTCCGGCCTGCGTGGTGTGTTATCAAACTACGAAAAGGCCTACTTATCCAAATCGTTGGCCAGATTATTTGATTCAGTCAATCAGAATTTTGCCTCTATTCCCTCCACGTCCGGAATTGATGCTGTCGTCACCGTCATCAATAACGAAGTCAACCTGCAGGATGCTATTCTGAAGAAGTTGGTGAGTCGAAATGTGAGTAAAACCATCAACTTGGTATGTGTCAAGGCGGAACAATTAATTATCAATGATGGAAATTCGACACAAGTCATCGGTACGTAATTTTTGAATCATTAATTTTCAAGGTGTTAGAGTTAATGTCATTATAAATTTTCAAAGGGTCACCAACGGAATCACAAATGGCAAACGCACAACTTCTCAATTCTTTGGACTATTTTAAATCCGCATTTCCCGAAGCTACCGATGCTGTCGGGATAGTCACACAGAATTGCATCCATCCTCTCGTCCTTGCAGTGGGCGATGCCATCGAAGCCATCATTCTAACCATGCACAATGAAAACTTTCAACGGTACATTTTTTAATAATCCTCAATAATAAGAAATTCAATATAAAAAATCTTGATTATTTTAATAATTTGGTACTTATTGTTCTAGTTCGAGCCGAGCAACAGAGTATTCTCTTTACATCGGCGAACTCCAAAGTTTTCTCAATAGAGTTGCCAAAGACTATTTTTTAATGTTCCAGTCTTCCGAACTAATTTTAAAATGGTATGCAACTACAATTAACTTATGACCCCAAAATTCGCACATTTCTCTCGGCTCTGAGAATCCATGAAAATTTATGGACCCTTTTATATTCTTTTCAGTGGGATATCTCTGGCATCCAAGACAATCGACCTGTTCACTCGTCACGCCTGCCTTTTATCCTCGCTCAACCAAGAGTCCACCAAAACCCAGCTGCTAATCGACCTCAACCACTTGGAAATCGTATTGACTCCGGTGTGTCCCGTAATTTCCGACTTGGGAAAACCATACAAACTTCTCAAGGGATTTAAAACCTTGTTGTCCCTGAAAATGGAGGAAATCCCAAATTCAAACCTGGTCGGATCCGTTATCCCGTACAGTTTAGTGATCCATTTGCTGTTCAGATTTTCCCAGGGAGAAATGAAAATGCCACACACGGTACGGTTGGAAATTTTGGAGATTAACATTTTATTCGAGTATTAATTGATCTTTTTTATCCCCCACAGAACAACGCCTGGTCAATTACACGGTACAGCAAATGGCTTGATGGACACGGTGAAATGGAGCGATTGTCCCTGTTGAAAGCGTCGTTAGAGTCGTACGTGCACAGCGTCAAGTTTAAAGGGCTGCAAGAATTTACTCCCGTCTATCCTCACATGATCAGTTTGCTGCAGAAAGGAATGCTTGGTGGATAACAACGAGATTGATATGTAATAAATAGTGATTTATATGTACAACAATTTGTTATTATTACTTTTATAACAATTGTGAATAAATTAGATATATGCCGTTATTTAAAATGACAACCAACTCATTAACGTACGACTCGATGACTCATCACCAAAATCGACAAAATCTATACATTTTTAATCATTCCTCGGCTCTGGGAATTTATTTTAAAATTCTGGACCACAAATTTGTAGCCAGTGAGTTGAATGATGGTGAGTGTTTTAAGCCAGTGTCGACGAGTTACAATTTTTCTTAAGGCTTCGGCAATTTGAAATCTCCTTCAGAAACTCAAAATCTAAAGTGTATGTTTTTTTAATGGCAACGACCTGCCGAGAAATGTTTAAAAATGCGCTGCCTTTGACGATTTTGACATTGAGTCATCGAGTTCTACTCTAAAAATATATTTTGTGACATCCATAAAAAATGTTAACTAAATTATTTCCCTTTATAAAATACTACAGTTAAATTTCTTCCCCCTCAAACTACGACCCCTCTTCTGACCACCGCCACTCTTATTATTTTTCTGCTTCATTATGGCTCTCACCGCCTCGATGAAAACGGCATCCAAATTCTCTTGCGTTTTAGCCGAGCAACTTAGAAACTGGGCCGCCTTGATTTTTTTCTTCAGCTTTTTCCCATCACTTTCTGAGATAAGCTTGGTGTCGTCTTGCTCCGTGCGGAGGTCGCTCTTCGTCCCGACGAGGAGAATGGACGCCCTTGGACAGTGCTGGCGCAGCTCGGGAACCCATTTGATCTCCACGTTAGCGAAAGAGGCTGGGTTATCTATGGCGTAGCAGATTATGAAACAGTCAGTCTGCAAAAAAAGAACGAGGAAGGTTTAGCTTGATGTCCGGGTAAATATTAGCAGTGGTTCGTTTCTATCGGGTTTGCTACATTTCTTGCAGTGCAAAGGAAGGGATGCAAGAAAGTGCAAGAAATATGTGCATCTAGCCACGCGACCTATGAGCTATTTAATAGCGGCGGGGCGTAGTTTCTTGCGCCTTGCGTTTCTTGCAGGTCAAAATACCTGCAAGAAACCACTTGCTTCCCGTTATTAAGTAGCGTCAAAACTTCTTGTGATCACTTTGTCCGTCCGTCCGTAAGCAGGATATCTTTAGAATGTCTCGACATAATCAAAAGCGGTTTTCGCCATTGTGCTTCTAATTTTTAGTTGTCGGTCAAATTCGATAATGGAGTCAATCGGACCACCCCCCACAGCGCCAGGGGGTGTGGTTCAAAATTAAATTCACGTTAATTTTCATATGGGGTATCATTTTAAAGGAAATTTCGCCACGAATTCAATGACATCAATATTTTTGACCTTATGACCTTGACGATGAGGTCAGAGGTCAGAAAACACATAATTTTCATATGGGGTGTCATTTTAAAGGAAATTTGACTGCGATTTCAAGGACGTTAATATTTTTGACCTCATGACCGTTAGGAAGAGGTCATATACGGAGAAACGTTAAAGGAAACTTGAATCGCTCTGACGCTACTTATTTACATTGGTTTGGAGGGTTTATTTCTAGCAAATGTATACTTGCAACCGAAACACATGAAAATTAGATTTTATAAGTAAATCGTCACCTTTGGATAAGAGAGGGGTCGCAGCTTCTCATACTCTTCTTGACCTGCCGTATCCCAGACTGTAAGGCCCACCAATTTTCCATCGACGGTCAGCGTCTTGGCGTGGTTGTCGAACCTGTGGAGATAAAAATCGTCAAGTCTCACAGTGTTGACCAAAGATTAGTGACAATCTTACACTGTGGGGATGTACTCTTGAGGGAATGAGTTTTGCGTGTAGCTGATGAGTAGGCATGTCTTGCCTGCATTTCATTAGATACGTAAATTATTATGAAAGTTAGTTAAACTCAATTTTTGTTTTACTACTTACCGACGGTTCCATCTCCGACGACGGTGATCTTGATCGGGCGTAAGGTCTCCGTTATGGTGGGGGCATTATTGTGCGGCGTGGTGGAAGAGGAACTCGACCTGTTGGACCGGATGCTCATTTCTTTGACTTCGGGATTCGGAAAAAGTGTCACCACGAAAAATATGTTGTTGGCCGTAAATCTGACCAAGTTTGCACCACCTGAATAAATTAAAGCACAATCTTGACTATAAAATTCGGAGATTGGTGATGCCGACACCGCAACAAAATCACTCTGAGTTGATACTTCTACTAGATTAATTAATCAGCCCATTAATCTGCTCCGTGTCTCCTCGTTGAATGAGAGCAATTAACTAACTAATTCTAATAACAGAATAACAATTCCAAAAAGTCCAATGTAATGCATGCCACGCAGCATTAATGCACGGGAGAGAACAGGATGTCCACAAAAACCTATATTATTCGCTTAATTTCCTCTCCCAAATTTGCTATCGACTAAATTAGTCAGCCTAGTTTAAGTACTTGCATATTTACTTAAATGAGTGTATGTATTACAGTTTTAACAGTTCATTACTTACATTTGACTTCCTATTCACATCGGACGGAATATATGTATGTACATAAGCGAAACTAATGAAAAAGTCGACGCATAATAAATATACTGAACCGTAAATAAATAACAAAACAAGTTAAATAAATAAACCAAGGACAGGAAATTAAAGCCAGTCAGTAGTATGCATGTCGTCGTGGTACATGGAATTGGGGCGTCAATGACGCCGCGTCATTTATTATATTGTCGGGGGGATCATTACATATTATTATTACCCGTCGAGGCGTTAAAAAGGCACGTAATCGCAATAAATATATTCAACCTGGAGTGGACTAGTGGACATATTTACATAAGCTGTAGGGTTATTTAGTCACCTCTATAATGTATAATTGTATACATATTTAACTTGCCTGGTCACGTAAGTATGTACATAATTTAATAATTCTATGCTACATATCCCAGCCAGCATGTAGCTCTAAATATGCCGTATTGCCTAAATGGTCAAATAAACATCTATTCTATGAGCATATGTATCTATTGCCCTGTACACGAATTTACTCTATTCTAACTTATGTAAATATGCTTTCCGGTCTTTACTGCTCCAGTTTCAGATTTCATTTTAGTATTGTTTTATTTATGTCTCTAGACTAAACGGTTCTTAGAAGAAATTTTTCTGGGATTCGTCACCACCAGGAATGATGAATGTGTTGCTTTGTTTCTATTGTTCTGATTGCTGTGTTATTGAGTCAAACACTTCTTATCAAGAATGCCACGTACCTCGTCTAGGAATCCGAATAGGTCCAAGTATTCAATAGGATTAAGATTGTGATGTCTTGGTGTGAAATTGAATTGGGCAAGTTCTCCAGGAATGGAAAAACACTGATAAGGTTACACGTCACGTCACTAAAACATCATAAAAATTGTCCACACAATACGTGAAAGACTGAGAGAAATGGTGATGATAAGCTATGTGCAAATGATAATGCTATGTCATCGCGATGGTAGTGTTGGTAAATGGCAATGATGTAACTAAACAAATCCATCCATACATAATTAGGCGATAAGGTAGTGAGATGAAAGTAATAATAATAGTTGATAAGAGAGCATGTCTCACCAATAAAGTTAGTTATTAGTGATGATAACTGCTCATTTGTGACGCATATCACACATTTTCATGCATAAGCAAATACCTACTCATAAAATGTTCCATGAAAATTGCAAAAAAGTCTCAATGATTCTGAATTCGTAATTTATTTCAGCAATACAACAAACAAGTCAATATATGCAAAAACCTAGTATTAAACTGATCCTACCGCACCATCCAATAAATGACCGTGAAATATTGATTCAAAAAATATAAAGTACACCGCTACATGATTTGATTACGTATATAAAATAACGGCTCTACTAATTTAAATAAGTATGAAAATTATCCTCCAAGTTTCAAGTTTACAAAGTCTGGCCCGCAGAAATGGCTGGAATTTTTTACACGCTTAAGTATTTATGTATTATTAGAGAGATTACTTTGAGATTTAAATATATGTATTTTGCGACCTTGTCAAATGCCGCAGATTTATGTCAGGTGGAGTAATAATTCGTATAAAAAGGCATCTCATAAACTTGAGCAAGTCAGTTCCTAGTAAATTGTGGATAAAATAATAAATTTCGCCACAAATTTCATCAATTCGCAAATTTCGCCACAAATTTCGTCAATTCGAAAATTTCTCCACAATGAAAACTGCTGTAGTCGTTGTGGTAAGAATTAAAAACTTTCTTGCGCCCCATTAACGGTACTCCCATTATCTCATGCAAATTACTATTCGCCAGGTCATCCTCGCCACCGTCGGCTCCGTCATTTTGGTCGTTGACGCCGTCATAACGCCACCACATCGTTGCACAGCAGCTGGAAATTTTGGCCCCACGATCGCCAAGGAACCTTGTTTCGACCAAGGTGACGTCCCAGTTGGGAATCAGGTTAATCGTTGCGACTTTGTATCATGCACCTTCTACGCTTCGTACAACACGTGGGTTAAGGCGCCCCACGTTTGTCCAGGGGACCCGACCAATGTGTTTGACGATAAGACAGGACTTTGCGGACCGCTTCCAGTCACAAGTACAACGGTGAAAACTGTATGATGACCAGTCATTTGAGGTGATCAATGCGATTAACAAACTTAAATATGTACATACACATTTGATTTTGATTATTTATTCATTAAAATCGCAACAAATTTTAATTTTAATTTGAAAAATAAGCATCATCAATATCTTTGTTATCCAGCCAACGTAGTGTTGAGGACACAGGTCTTCGTTACGTTGCTAAATCTGCATACAAAAATGGCATTGTTAAAATATTGATCGGATAGAATTTTTAAATTCTTACGAAAAGTTTCCGGACGGGATGGTCGGCGTGGAACAATTTCCGGGGTAGCGAAGCCACACATTGAATGCGCTGTAGAAGATGCAGAAAACGTACTGACACTGACATTCGTCACCCGTGCCGACACCTTGCACGCCCGGCGTGGTGCACCTCCCCCTCCACGCCTCCGATTTGTCGATAAGTTCTCCCATCATGAAAATGCTCACGGAGACGACGGTCTAAACAGTAGGGTAAAAATATTTGCATAATAAGGTCAAATGGGAGCATCTCATTTCAGACTCACCAGAAAGACCACTCTTGATACACCCATGTTTTCTGATGTGGTGGGGAATTTGAGATGGAAACGATCCAAAATATTGAGACGAAAGTTGTGCAGTCGGGAATTTTGAGACGAAAAAGTTACTTCTTGTGATAATTTCCAAGTGATGATATTATTACAAATTTTGTTCTTCTATTTCATGCAAATTGGTAGGACTGGGGGTGCATTTTATACCAAAATTATGTAAACAATAGGTTTTAATTGATCTGTCATAACTTTTACTTTTACAATGTGGTCCTGTCAAACAGATTGTAAACCTAGTGACCTCAACGACTACATATAGGAGACATTTTGAAATGATTTGAAATGAGGGTGGAATTTCCATCATAAAAAAATATTTATGTACTTGACCAGTCATTAGAAATGAACGAGTGTGTACAATTACAGTAATTAGGTATATAATTTTATTGTGGTTATTTGCACAAGAAATTTTGCAGATTTGAAAAACATAGAAAATATAAAATAAGTTACACATTGCCAGAGGGACATTCTAGACCTCATACCTTAGACAAAACCCTGTATTTCCAACGTCTGGGGGTGGGCCCAAGAATATGCCGGGGTCTAAACCAGGCACTATCAGTGTCGGGTTGAGGTCACATTGGCAGGTTCCATTCACATTGGCTGGCGTGGGTTCAGGGAACCATTCGCAGATAAGGATGCCACGAGAGCCAGTGCCAATGGCGAGGCATGAGGGACCATCTGAAAATACCACCTCAAATTGACCACCGAACCTAAAGTTTGGTAGACTTATTCCTTACCCGTGGCTACGCCTGGGGAAGCTCCGAAGGGCGGAATTGGCACTTCTCTTTGGTCGAAGTTGACATTGAGGAGGTAAGGTTTCCAGATGGAATGCACCATAGGAAAGCTGGCACAGTGGCGTTGCTCTCCATTAATGTCGACCCAGTCCGTCCTACAGGGCGCGGACCCTGTTAGGTCAGTTACAACAGAAAATGGAGAACCTGCACCTAGACATTCTCCCGCAGTGCCAGGACGCCACTGTCGGAAAGGAATTAATTACGCTTTATTATAGAGTGAACCGCTATTATGCAAAGACTTTGTCTGTCTCTCAGCAGGATAACGAGAGAACGGATCGAGATAGTCGAGATCCGATCAGCGGCATCACTCCAGTTGGAGGAACCTATGAATTTTTGAGGTCAATCGGACCACCACCCGCTTGAGGTTAGGGGGTGTGGTTACATAATTTTTAGGGGAATAACTTGTTTCGCCCTTTTGCTACATTTCGTTCGCTACGGTTTAATCTATTTAAACTTGAGGTGTATAAGATTATTACCGTGATGCCGACACTCTGCTCGGGACTTTCGACGCAGACCACGTACTGCTGATTGCTCTGTTGTTGCGTCGGCCAGTCGAATGATTTTACAATGGCGGTACTCTGGTTGAAGTATTGAAGACAGTAACTGGGCACTGTAGAATGACAGGTCAGAGGTGTGTTTATGTACATATGTATGTCCAATAAAGATACGACGTACCAACTCGGTTCGATAAGCAAGGAATTTGCGACATGACAATTTCATATCGAGCATTTGTGGATAACACTCGCGGCAAGATGTCGATCGAGTCGGACGATCCGAAGGAGAGGTACACTACAAAAAATGATGGATAGATATGCATACAAAATTTATTAATATGTCATTTCCTTGCTTACTGTGCTGATCTGCTAAATTTCCACACGTCGTAAATCCATCCGGGACTGTGATAGAGTTGCTAATTTGTAATCGATCTCGATCACAAACCCCGTCGTTGTTTGCGGACGAAAATCCGGAAAATACCTTAAAATCGAGGCGAACTTGGCAAACGTCCTTTTTCTACGGACACAGAATATAGAGCATTTAAAACCTAAATACGCAAAAATACTGAACAACTGCTGTCCACGCACCTTTCTGATTTTGAAGGCGCACTGGGTCGTAGCCGGTTCAGGTGACCGAAGGACGGTGACATACTCGTCAATATCGATTCTGTGTATGTCAGTCGTACAATTGGCAAAAAGGCGACAACATTCGCCAAAACCGAGGCTACAATCTCCGTTGGGCTGACCACGCTTTGTCATACATGCGCCACGAGGGAGGCAGGTTCCATCACGAATCATGTTGAGACCAGTCGGGGGGCCGCATGGTTCCGGGGGGATCACAACTTTGATGAAGGGAAGGTACATCACTGCGCAAAAGTTAATGGTTGTTAATTAACTTTAGTTGCAGTAAAAGGTAATAAAAAATCTCACTTTTCCCATCTCTCACGGACACTGCTGAGCCCCCAGGATCTTGCTGCACTCCGTCCAAAAAGGATATTTTCGCCCCCACGACACAAAGCAATCCAACCAGAATTCCGATGAAGGCGACGACCTGTCCCTGTTGGACATAATAAGTTCCCATCTCTCAAAAAATTCCTTGAGACGAGAACACCGGAACATGTGGATGACGTGTAAAGAAATTGATTCCATAAGGAGCGTTTTTATACGAGCTAACAAATCCAAGAACTGTTTAAACAAGGTATTAAACTTGATTAATTAATTAACACCTGAGTAAGTGAGTGAGCATTATAGGTTGGTTAGTTTTATTAAGTATGTACTGGGTTCGTCAGTGCCGGCGGAATTTTGGGGGACATAGGGGACATTAGCATTTTGTGGGGGAGACTTATTAACTTGGGCAGATTTTGTTGAATTTCTGGGGGACAATATTCCCCTGCTTCCGCCGTCAATGGGCTTCGTTCGTAAAACGCTAGTTTGTGGACATAACCAATTTGCACGCACCGTGTTGTGCCTGTCACATACCGTTACTCTACTTTATACAAAAAATTGAGACAATGCAAACGAGTAGACAAATTAAATCATCTTTATTTGCGTACGTCGTACATCTGTAAATTTCCACTAATATCATGTTGACATATTTTTGGCACATAATTAGAAATGAGGTAGACACAATGATTAATTATTACTTGCTAACTAGACCGAGTCTTGTTAATTAATGGGGTCGCAGTGCCGCACCTAATTTCCGTGATGCATAGACACCCACACCCAGCCGGGCACACTTTCTTATCCGTAAACCAGCTTAACACATGATTCGCGTGACCCCCATGACCACAAAGTGGACAAAAGGTGGACAGTCCTTTCGCCGGGGTGTGACAAATGGAGCAAATTGAAACGATGCGTTTGCAGTGGAAGCAGTACGGCGTTTTGGACGTCTCTCCGCATGAACGACATAAAATTGAAAAGTCGACTCCCATCCGCGTGATGGTATTGCTTTCGGAAATTTCGGTCAAGTTTTTCAAAATCTGGGGACAAAAAAACACGACTTATTTAAAAATTTGTAAAATATGTGCTTCTTTACCCTTTACTCACCTCTGCTCTCTGCTGAAGGAGCCCCCAACGGAACAATATTTCCGCATATGATTTTTTGTACCGGTCGTAAAATCCTAAAAAACAACAAGATTATACTTCAAAGGTCCTCATTTAAATTAATTTTGCACTCACTATGTAGCGAACCATCCAACACGACCCCTTTTCCCACGGGAATCAACTGCTTGGAAATGCACACCACAGTCCCACCCAGTCTGACCATGGCACTCCCATCTCCATTCATGGCGGCGTCCCCAATATTATTATTATTGTTTGCTAGCACCATCATCGCTCCGTTAGTTGCGGCGTCCGATATTACGCCACCACCAACACCACCACCACCGCCATGATGTGAATGTCCTCCACGACCACCATTCTTATTTGGGGTGTTATTTTTATTGCTCCCTTGAATCTGAATGCCACCCGAACTGCTGTGATAGCTGGGTCCGTCCCCACCCCCACCTCCTCCGCCCGTCGACATAGCAGACGCCGTCCCCCCATTCGACATTGGTCCTTCTACAATAAAACGACACCCAGTTTTAGATTTATTCATGGCCTCATCCATATAAAATTCATTCTCACCTCCAACCCCGTGCAGAAGTTGTAACGTTTTAATATCATCTAAAGAGTCGGACCACGAGTTGGAGCGGTGTTGTCGAAAGAAGGTTTCCGCCGAGAGGAGTGGATTCACATTATAATTAAAGCCCCCAACAATTCCGTGCGTATCGGACCCGTGCACGGTATGATAGGGAGATCCCGTCCCCTGAAACAATCAGCAAGATCAGTATTAGCATATTTCTCCACCCATTCATCAAACCAAAACCAGGATGACACCGTTATAAAAATTAACAAGTGTCATCAACATCAAACCAACAACAGGACAACAGAAAGTCATAAAATCGAATCAAATTAATATTCTCCTTCTCTGTGCGTAAATATTTTTAGAGTCAAGTTCAACAGTCAATGTCAACATCCAACCCGAAAATAATCAATTACACATCTTCACACTCTAATTATCAACCCATTTAAACCGTGACATTAGTGTTTAAGCTATTTATTAGTACGTATTAGTTGGCTAAGTTAATCAGCAAATCAACTTTCCCATCCACCCACCCAAGTAGTGGTTAGTAACGTAAACAAGTCAATAAGCTATTCTCACACGGAATCATGAAACGTTACAACATTAATTAAACGACAAACGGTACATACTTAAGAGAAAGATAGAGATAGCAAATGAGACGAAAGATTCGTGGTTGCTCTGGATCGGAATTTCTGACAAAATTAGTCATTCGACAATTAATATGCATGCACATTCCGTTAGAAAACATCAAGTTGGAAGGAAGACAAGAAGAAAGAAGAACGAATGACAACAAAAACGTAAGACAAATGGTAAACGACACTGAAAGAGGAGAATAGAGGGAGAAAAAGATCCTGAATAGCAGATTTTTGGTCCTACCTTTGTCCACCACTTGGGAACGGTGAGTCGCTGTACAAAGGGATAAAAAGAAGGAATGTTTATCACATAATTAATATGTTATGGTACAGCGTTTAATATGCGTATGTACGAAGAGAGCGATAATATTGTGATGTGTGTGACATGTATTCAGCATAACAATCAATTAATATTTTGCATATCAGTCAATAACTTAATGTGAGTCGTCCAAAGTGTATGAGTTGATTTACAAAGCCAAAATAGCAAGCAGCCACTGCGCCTACCGGAACAGTTTGGCGGTGCCCTTGTCCTCCGCCACCCTTCTTAAACTGACCCACATAGTCACTCCCTACGCTGGGCAAGTGCTCTTTCGAGGTGAACAATCCTGCCAAGGTGGCCGCAGTTTGGACATCGCCAAATTGAGCAGAGTGCGTAATCCTGTAGCAAAATTAGATTTTAGTTTAAAGTTAATTAACAAATGTTATTTATGCATTACTCACATCATATGTATCAATTCACAGCCCAACGGATGATAAGCCAACCAGTTGATTTCCTCCTCTTCCTCAAAGGTCATGTCGTTTATGGCCGCTGCAGGGATAAGTTCGCTGCCCACGACGATACCATTACCATACTGGTCGTCACCATTCCGAGAATTTTGCATTTCTTCCGGACTAGCAAACGTGCTAATGATCCCGGCGGCTTGCCAAATATTGGCGACAAGATGTTTCTTTTGGGCAAAGGATACGCTCAAGTTGATGTCACAGGCGGCCTTTCTGTGTCCTGGAGTGGGGACGATGTGTTTGTAGTCTTCCGCCAGTTTGAGATTGAATGGGAGAAGAGGCGAAACATCGAACAGGGTGACGAGACCGGCACGCTTTTTATCGTGACGGGGACGATGGTGGTTGTGGTGGTGGCGACGATCACGGTGACGAAATATGTCCTCGTTCTCTAACGCGACTTGACTCAGATATGGTCCCAGCGCGGAGAGAGACCGTGGCGTGCCAGCGTCGCAGTTGGATTTTACACGTTTGAGGTAGGACGGTCGACCGAAGCAGACTAATTAAATTATTTATTATTAATTAATCACTCACAATCCGTAATGGAGGTCTCCCAACGTATGCTTTCTGATTTTGAGCAAATTAATATCAGTCGATCACGAATTCAATTAGTATGAAATTTGCAAAAGACACAATCTCCATATGATAAATTTTACACTTTCGAAAAATTTACTGGGCGTTTTCTCCTCTTCTGATACAAATATTTCCACAAAACCTGCATATTGGGAGATTGTGCCTTTTGCAAATGTCATACTATTTAAATTTTTGATCGATTGAAACTAATTTGGTCAAAATTGGAGAGCACAGGTTGGGAGACCTCCATAGTGGAGGCTCAATTGTTAGCAATTCTTTACCTAACATCCCAACAGCGCAAAAGCGAGCACCTGAAGTGCGTGGAAATGGAACGTTGCTCACGCCACGGACGTTGCCAAAATAGCCTTCTTCAATATCTTCTAATGTCTGTAGTTAAAAAGTACTACTTAAATTATATTCGACTCAATTAAAGTTAAGTGATTCATTACCTTGATTGAGGACATTATTGTACAAAACTGTTCCACACATTTGGCCAAACATTGCTCGTTCTTCTTTGAATAGTGTAATGCCAAATTTTTGAGAGACTGTCGAGTGACAAAAAAATGAACTTTAGTAAATCACAATAATAACCTCGATCCCGGATGACCTACTTTGACGACATCATTCTTATCCACTTCGGAGCTCGCATTTGTCACGAGGAATGTTGGGCTATTAATTTTGTACAAGAATATTATTACTATTGCAAAACAGTAATAGGCTAAGAAAAAAAATTCACGTTTACCTCACGGCTGGATATCCGTTGGCTAGAAAAATAAAAGTTATTACATACGTAAATACACAACAAATTACCTTAAATGTGACAACGTACCAAACGAGGCAAGAATTCCAGCCGTGACGCCTCTCACTTTATTCTCCCCCGGTTTCGATTTTGATGACCAGCTAAATCGGATGAGACCTTTGTCCAGCTCGATCTGATCGAAATTGATATTTTCCGGCTTCTCTTGTTCCACCTTTTCGAACTCGGCCTTTAAAAAATCTCTCCTATTCAGCGGTGACGGGGAAGATGATTTCCTAGACCGATTTCCCCTCTCAAGCGTGGCTGCCGTTCTCTTATTCCTTATCGTCATCGTGCTGGTTGGTGTGCTCGTCTTCTGTGGTGTTGGTGGGGGCGATTCTTCTTGTTCTTGCTCCTCCTCTTCCACTTCAAGGTCTTCCTCCATTGCTAACTCCACTCCAGCTTCGGTCGTCTCTTCGTCTTCTTCAGCGATAAAGGTGGCTTGGTCGTGCGAGGTCGACATAACGTCACGGATTGGATTCTCCTCATCGTCACCCCCACATAACTGCATTGCATAGAATACATAAAATATAATTATTTGCTACACAAATATAAATCACGAGCGTAGATTACAATTACCTGAACGATTTCTCTCGGCAACGTCCACACTCGCAAAGTTTGGTCTCTCGACCATGTAATCAAGTCATAATTTTTAGTCTTCCTCCACGCAAACTCGATGATATCATAGGCTTGGAATGTGAAAATGGGGGAGGCGAAGTGTTGCTTCCAGTCCCAGAGGGAGAGAAGACCAGAGTCTCGTCGGAGGATGGGAACACATTGGGTCACCACGCCACGCCCGAAAGGCTGTAACAGGCGCATTATTTTTTAATAAATCACTTTCCCATCGGAATATCTAAAAATTTCTATCTCACCGCTGGCCTCGCTCTCCACACGGGTGCTGTCAATGATAAAATGGGGCCCTTGTTGCTCGCCGAAGTTCCCTTGTTATCGGATAACTTGCTAAATTTGACGGTGCAGTCTTGCGCTGCGGTGATGACGGTGTCACTGTTCGCCCACTCCAACCCGTTAATTTTTGAAGCGTGAGCCGCAATAAATTCTGAGGGTGTGTTTGGCTTCCTCAAATCCCATATTTTTACATGACCTCCGTCACAGGAAGCCAAGATATCTTCGCAGACTCGATTCCACCGGACTTGCGAGGCACCGTCTAACGCACTGAGGGAGAATTGGGGCTTATCTGCGGATCCGGAGTTTCTCGCACGGATGTCCCAAATGTGGACGTACGAGTCGAAAGAGGATGATGCCTATTACAATAAAATACTTAAGTAATGATCGCTGTTATCCGAAATATTGGGACTGGTTACGCACAAGTAGGGACGGATTTAAAGAACACCAATCCAAATCCGTGATAACTCTGGTATGTCCCTTCAGTCTTATGGCACATTTTAACTCGGCTGCGTCCGTCAATTCATAAATATCACAGCGCTGACTGCTCTGTAAAATTGATAAAGTTACATTAGATTTATAAATCACACTTGTTTATCAATTCGTATAATATGCCAGTGATAAGACGACTTACCGCTATTGCGACCTGCTTATCCTCCCCCTTGCACCATTGTGCACTTGAAATCTCATACTTTCCTCCGTACGGTACCCTCACGAGCAACTTGTCCGTTGAGGTCTCCTCCAAACCAAGGACGGCCAAATATTTTCGTCTTTAGAAACGTACAAACCAAAAATTTAAATTAACGATTAGGATTAGTTTAAATATGAGAATAATTAACAATTTACCCTGCAAGCAAGGCGAAATTCCCCGTCTTATCCAGACAAAGGGTTGTAGCTTGTAGGTCACGAAATTCTATGGCGAAACTCTCACTGCCATATCGATTCGCCATGTTTATTTACAAGATATGTAGGTCGTCTTTCTAGCCATTCTTCGTCTTCACAAACAGTTCACTAAGTCACCATCTCGATCTCATCGCAATATCATTAACTAACTCTCTACAAATTTAATTTTAATTTTTAACGAATTTCTGGACCTTGCAGAATGATGATCACCTGCTTGCTTGCTGACATTGAATTCAGCGAGGGTTCGTGTTTACATTTTATTACCGTCTCGTTTTGCCTCTCTGTCAAGTCTCATGAAACCCAAAATCTAGTCTCAATTTTCTCAATATCCTTAGTCTCAAATTGAGACTCTCAATCTCAAGAGGCTAAAATTAAATGGTGTTTCGCACCTTACAAGTAATTCAGTTTTAAAGATTTCCGAGCATCAATTTGCGTCATATTAAATTTTTCGTATTTATTTATTTACTTAAACAGTTTTACCAATGCCGATTACAAGTTTTGATGCAATTTTGTCAATTTTGATTTTGAACATAATACATAAAAAATATCGCAATTATCATAATGGGGCTATAATTATTAGATAATAATGAGTTTGGGTTTAGTAGGTCTGGCCCTCAATGGCGTTGGTCACTCTGGAAATCAGGTCCTGATCGGTGTAGCCCTGCGTCGATGCACAAGATCGTAGTTTTCAGTTAAGGTTTTTATTTATCAAAGAAAATGGCATTGTTTTCTTACGTGTGGCAGGGAACGTTTTTTGATCGAGTGAGGCATCCCGTGTCTGTAGGGGTACGATGGGTAGGGATAGTACGGGTCACTTCCGGTCATCATAGGTCCCGCGTACATTGCGACGAAGTAGATGACGAAATATGCGACCAGCAAGTAGCCCAAGATGTAGAAGAATGGGGTATCCAGAAGGAATAATGTCCGGCCCGTCACGTCGGAAAGTAAATCCTGCAAATAAGTAGGTAAATTAATTAACTGTAAATTAGACCAAACAATTTCTTAATTTTCTACTAACACTGCTCTGACTCGATGCTGCTGCTGCTTCCATGATTCAAAAATGGTTTTCAAGTATTTTGCAAATATTGCTTCAAAATCTGCAAATATGCAGGCAGAGATTTGACCAAGTGCGATGCGGCCCGTGGATTAGTGACGACTGGGCAACATTTTCAATTTCTTTTATGCCCATGACGTAAATATGCAGCGAAATAAAGTATGCAAGGAGCCCTTAAACTTCAAAATGCCCTTTCAGGTGGTGAAGATGTATGTAGGTCAAGGATGCCCTGTTTTCCAGGGAGTCTGGGTCACAGAAAATAATAACAAAGCAATGAATACGTTAGGTTGGGAATACAAATTTGATCTCATTTATTATTATGCAATGGGTTAAAGAACTTGTCTATTTTAAATTTTTGAAATAGTATTTTTCGAAACATAATTTTGATAAAAGTGTGGCAATGTTTTATAGAAATTAATTTTGTCCATTTATTTATAGATCGCGTTTTCAATCGAGTTGGACACAGTTTCAATCAGTCCCACGTCATCCGCGGAGGGCTAAAAATACGGAAAAAATATCAAAATTTGTAAATATCAAGTGTATATAATTTTTTTGGGGGTGGTATTTACATTAGCTGCGCTTCTCCTCCGCCTGTGCCAGGGGTAGGGTCGATAAGGCCGCGTGTTGAAGAGGTATGGCGACACGTAGAAGGTGACAAAGAAGATGGAGAAGTACAACACGACAATCCACCCGATAAACTCCAGAATTGGGTAGTCGTAGAAAATGTCGCGAGATTCCTCTTTCAATGCCTGCACGAAATTAATAATAAATAATTAATTAATGGAAAATTAAATGTGCACCTAATTAAATACGACTTACGTTTTCCATTTTTATGGCTTTTTAACGTCCCGAATTTTATGTGTGCTTGTTTAAAGATGAGATGCAGTGCAAGTGTGAAATATTCGAGGTCGAGGTGTTGTTGATGATGCAGCAACGGTTAAAAGATGCAGGTGAAACCTGGATTTCTTCTGCTGCCTTCCTCAACCAAACTTGTCTTCTCCAGGTTAAGGTTAATATCCAGACTTTGGGTACTTTACAAGGTCGTACGAGGGAGGAAGGACAGCCTGAGGGAGGCGATGGGCAGGTGAACAACAAAGATTCCAGAATCTCAGGTGCATTACTTGAGATTGTGTTTCTGGGCAGGTGGACAAAGAGATTCCGAGAGCCCTTGACCCTGTCCCACATTCGACATTCATGCTGGGATTACATAAGTAACTATCCCTGCTTTTTGGAATAATGGGAAAGTCTCAAATTCCCAACTGTCTCCGTATGTAAATATGTACATTAGATGTATGTAAGTACATACGATGCCACGATGTGAACAAAAATCTCTAAATTATTGTTTTCTTTATTACTCTGAATACCACGTCGCGTCCTCCATTTTTCGCCATGTGTGTATCTCGCCCACTTGACCCACTGCTCCACCTCTGCAATTGCTACATAATAATCCCGTCTTATCATATCGAATAGTCATATCACAGAAATGTCGAATGTATCTTGCGATAGTGGTCCAAAACAAGGGCTGGAATAAGTAGGAAAGGAAGGGGGTTGAACTAAAATTTTTGGATGATAACAAACCTCAAATAGATTTAGGAAATTAGGATTTTTTTAGGAACTTCATACGTTAAAAATATCGTTAGAGCCGAGAAATGATTAAAAATTATGCTAACTTTGAAGATCTTGTGATGAGTAATCGAGCCCTAAGTTAAACCTCAAATTATATACTGTAAAAGTCGAAAAAAATCTCACAAAAAAATCTCACAGTGTCCCCTTCCGACCTCCTCACCTCACAAACCTTATGGACCACATTGAAATTTCATAAGCAACCTTAGAAAAATGGCGAAAGAAGGTCATGAAGAGTAACACGATGTGAGAACGAGGTCATATCGTGCCACGGTCAAGACATACAAGTTTTGATAAGTGTCTGCATAGTCACTCACCTACTTTTGGTTATCCACACTTTAAACCAGATTATTCGGAACTGATAAGTTAACTGCAAAGCTAATTGGATGCATGAGTATGCACATATGCGTTTATGAAGAGTCTCACATAAGCCAAATTCTCTGATAACCCGATTTGATAAGGCGTGCAGATAAGTCTTTTGGACCAAGTGAATCAGTAAATACAAGCTTACACAATGTATTACATATATGTATAATCGGATTAGTTAGTGACAATTTATTTCACTTCTAAATTTTTGCAAAATATTCGCGAAAACATAATGTTGCGATCTCTAAGTTTTGCAGGGTCGGATCGTAATTCCCGACCTGGTACGCCAATCCAGCGACTTTGGCGATATTTATCAACGACAGAAATTTCCGGGTACAGATCGGAGCAGTCGCTCCCATTCGCACAAATTGTGGATGATGGTCACCCCCTCGGACTTGGAAATCCCAAGGTTTCCTCACTTTACATATCTCAACATAAATGCAAATTTTTAACGTAAAATTTAAACGAAAGTAGACAAAATCCACACATTTTTAATCATTTTTCGGTTCTGGGAATTTATTTTAAAATTCTGCACGACAAATTTGTAGTCAGTGAGTTGATTAACAGAATTTCGGTGAGGTTTTTAAGCCAGTTTCGATGAGTTCCAATTTTTCTGAAGGCTCCTTAAACTTGAAATCTCCTTCCAAAACTATCAAAATTTGGAGTGTATATTTTTTTCTTATTAACTACGACTTGCTGTACAAATTTTAAAACAAATTCCCAGAACGTATGTGTTGATTTTGAAAATTTTGGCGATGAGTACTTAAATACTAAATAATTTGCCATTTCCAGATTTTACGCCAAATTTTAGGCCACATGGACACAAAAACTTTAATTTCCCTGCGTCGCGTGAGTCTTCGTTGGAATCACGTCTCGTGCGAAATTCTTCGTCGGAACATGGCCCCAGTTTGCATACGCCCTTCGCAAATCAAAAAGTTCTTGAGATTCATGAAACGCTGTTTCTGCAATCCGTTTGGATCTTATGCAATTAGAATCGAAAATTTGGGGGAACTTTCCAACAGAAACTTTTTCAAACGGTTTAGTCTCGACGTTATCAAGTTACGAGTGAAAATTGCAAGCGATGAAATTCCCGAGTTTTTCAACCGTGTGTTGAAAGGTCTCACGAATTTGGAGGAGTTGCATCTCATCCGAATTCCGGAGGGGGCCTTGTACTTGCGGACGGCGTATGTCCCCCCGTCCGTCTGGGTTTATGGAATTTTTCATTTTCCCAAACTAAAATCCATCATTTTTGAAAATGACGATCCAACGATACCATTTCACAGGAATTATGATGCTATTTTATCACAAGTGCTGAATAGTGCGCCAAATTTGGTTAGGGTTACGTTCGTGTCGTGGGATAGTCATTTTTCGAGGGTGATTTCTAGGTGAGAGGACAATTTTTTTGGGATTTAGAGACATTTTTGGGGAGATTATGGACGAAAAGTTTGAAATTTTAGATCCAAAAATGGAGCAATTTTTCATTTGTTTTTCTTTTAAATACATATGTGATGTTTAGAAATTTTATTATTTTCTTGGAATTGGAGGTCATGAATGTAAAATTCAAAGTAAAATCACAGCAACTTATAAATTTACAAAATTTGAGGCACAATTTTTCAGACTGTATTATTTATTTATTTTGCAGATGTGGGATCTCAAACCCGAAATCCTTTGACGGCTGGTCATTCTCAAAATGCAATCCTAAACTAAAAGAAGATTTAGTCGAACTATTTTACGAGGATAAAATGAAATTTAAAGCCTTAAAATTCGAAATTGACAAAACTGGGTCGCCATCCTCCCTAGATTTTGACCTTGTGATGGACCTCATCCTCCAAACGGGCGATCACCTTTACCACCTCGCCCTTCGGAGTGACGACGCCACGCAAGAGTTCCTCTGCTCCTTCAAATTGCGACGCCTGATCACCCTCAGCCTCCAAGGATGGCTCGGACCAGTCCACTTGATCGGAATGGGGCACCAATTTCCCAACTTAAAATCACTAAAAGTCAACCCCTCAAATTTTTCGGGGCACGATTTCTCAAAAAATCCGAGATTGGAACTCCCCACCGTGGAAACTTTGACCGTAATGCCGCTCGATGGAGTTGAATTGAATCCAGTGGATGCAAACCTGATGGAAAACTTAGTCAAAATATTTCCCTGCGTTAAAAATCTGCACGTCCAAGTGGACGGGATTGAACCGCTGCATGTCGTTTATACGCATTGGAGTCGGCTGACCAGGTTGTGGGTGGACGTGCGAGGAAGTGGGGGCGAAGGGGGGGATGAAGCCTTCACCGGAATTCCGCCGGAAGTAGTGAAGATTTTAGGATATTGGGAATGTGGTTGTAGTCGCTTATCATTTCCGGAAGAGGCGAGAAGACCAACACACATTGGAAAGTTAGGAGGTGGGTAAAATTGATGATAAGATGTTAAATACAGTGTTTCGATTATTGCGAGTTTAGTACATTTCTTGCACTACTGCAAGGTAAGAAATGCAAAGTACAAGAAACTGCAAGAAAGTGAACGAGATATGCTCCCTCCCTCCAGCCACGCGCCGTATGAACTATGCGCTGCGGGGCGTGGTTTCTTGCGCCTTGCATTTCTTGCAGGTCAAAATATTTAGCTACAAGAAACCACTTTCCTGTGTACTTGCGCCCGAAACACTGGTTACATTAGTGCACAATTTTTCATGGAAATTTCCCATTTCAGAACTACGCGAGCTTATCATTCGAGCCGGAAACTTAACGGATGCCACCCTGCTGGAAGGAATCTCTCAATTAAAACAGCTCCAAGTTTTGTGGCTTCTTCCATCCTTTTCTCAACTACGGAATAATTCTGATGTGAGCTTAAATTTCCCGTAAAAATTTAAAAATTTAACATGTTTTGTTACGTAACATATTTTTTATGTTCCGCAGAGCAATTCGGATGAAATTCCGGCCCACGAAACGCCCAAACCGTGGTGTTTACGAGCGATAGTGGATTGTTTAGAAAAGTTGACACATTTAGTGACGTCGAGCGAAATAGTTTATCCTCCACAAGATGTTGACTACTTACGAGCCAAGAAACCAGAGTTGGTACATGAGTTTAAAATTTGATAAGAAAAATATCTGCTCTGTTGTTAATAATAAAATATTTATTATGAGACGTTCAATTAATTTGATTGCATTTACATACTGTCCAGATGTGGATTAAATAAATGTTTCATGACATGATGTCGTCGGATAATCCAGATTCTGACAGTTTGCTGTGACAGATTTTGTTACATATTCGCCTTGCCAGGCTGAAAATACAGATTAGGAAGGTTTCGCAGGTGGCTGGCGAACTGGACTTTTTGCTTCCAGTTAAGATGGAAACTTTGAAATTTTCCGTGCTACTTGTTCTCATGGGGGTTTCTCTGCTTTGTCATGGTTTGTGTAAAATTACGACGATATTATAAAAAATCTTCCGACTAAAAATTCCATAAATTTTAGGCAACTTTCTTATACTAGTAGAAAAAATTATTACAAAAATCCTCAGAATCCATTTCGTATTTTTGACCCTTTTAAAAAATCTGGCTATATTTTGTATAAATAATTCCGTTGGCTCTAAATATTTTTCGAAATTCCTGCAGAAATACTGACAGAAGGTGTTTGGTTGGATGGAATGTGTATAATAATTAAATCGTAAAGTTTCACTTCTGCAGAAACTCCGTTCTACATAAATCATAACTTTTTTGTTCGTAAAATCCTTCGAATCCGTTTCGTTTTTTGAACCCATTAAAAAAATTATGTCGGTTTTATTTCGAAAAATTCCTGGCGAAAGATTTTAGATTGGATGGAATTAAATCGTAAACTTTCACTTTTTCAGAAGCGACGCCTCTGCCACCACCCTGGGTTCAGAAACTTATCGAGTCAAAATCTGGGTTCAAGTTTACGACGCCGTCCCCAATCGTGGTCTACTCGGCGGCCGTCATTCCCCAAAAGCAGGAGGGGGCATACTGGAAGTCTGCGTACAGTTTTAAAAATAAGGACAAAAAGAAGGGGAGAGGAAAATGGGGATATAAAAATCCAGGGGGGAAATGGAACTCGGAAAATGTGGGGGCTTAATTAATATAGTTAGAAAATAATTTGTAATTAAAAACAAATAAAATCACATTTGCTTAAGTTTTCAAAATTATTTAAATATTTTATTAAATTGTTCAATTTATTAAGATGCTGAATTGAATTTGCAGAATTATTAAAATGTTGTTGAATCTTACAAATTTTTAAAATGCATGTATTTCATTTTGCTTTATTTCAGTTCCAAAAGTAAAAATTTTGCATATTCAATTTTTCTCGGTAGATATGTAGGTTTGAACGTGTTATAATATATTAATAGTTAGGTTATCTAAACATTAAATGAATTACAATTAAGTTGGAACTTAATTTGAAATAAATCGAATTTTCAGTAATGTGCTGATTATGATTTGATAAAAAATAAGCCCAAATTAAAATCCAAATTAAAATAATTTTTTATTAAAACCATCAAAAATCAAGAAATCAGTCCCACAACAACCTCGCCACACACCAAATTTTCGAACTATTCAATTTAAAAATTTCCTCTTGACTTAACGCTACGAATTGATAACCCAATTTTTCACACCACAAACTCCTTATCCCATAACCTTCCAGTAGGGTACGAAAGGTGGGAGCATCGGGGGATACATCATGGGCATCAGGGGGACTTGTGGTGGTGGGGGTGGGGGTCCGGCCTGTGGGGCTGGTGGAGGAACCGCTTGAAGTTGCGGGTACGGGGCAAAGAACGGGCTAAAAGCGAGCGGTTGTTGAGGTTGTTGCTGCTGAGCTGGAGCGGATGCAGCAGGAGCAGGTGCACCACTGGCGGCGGAAAGGTCCCTCTTGGCGGCAGAATAGTTGAAGGCGGGAGGTCCCGCGGCGGCCGGGCTGGCTCCGAAAGGCGTTCCCTTCGCGGCCTTCGACGCCATGCCGGCTTGAACCAGTTGAATAATCCAGTCTGGTGGTGGACCGGCGGGCTTTGAAGCTGCGCCCGTCGTCACGGCGGGAGCAAAGGGACCAGCGGCGGCGGCCTTGGCGTTGATCAGGTCTTGGATGAAGGGTGGATATCCGGCCAGTGAGGGGCTTGGTCTAAATTGAAGAAAAAATGTATTGATTAAGAATATTTTGGAAAATATTTTTCAAATTGGATTTACGGAGGAGCAGCAGCAGCTTCGAGGGCGGCTTGTTGTTGTGCTAATTCGGCAGCTTCAGCCTCGGCGGCCGCATTTTTAGCATCGATCAACTGTTGAACCCAGGCGGGTGGTCCTAAAGGCTTGCCGAAGGCGGCAAACGGTCCAGCTTTGGCGGCGATGAGGGACTGGAAATATATACAAATTTCAAGTTAAACTTACTGCATGAGCAGATACTGTGAGCTGATATGAGGTTTTGCAGCTAATATATGCTCTCAGATTTTAAGTAAACTGGAAATGACACGATCCCTTAATGGTCACATTTTGCTGAAATATTTGCATCCGAAGAGGAGAAAACGCGCAGTAAATTTAGAAAGTGTAAAATTCTTCAACTTTAGGGCACGTTTTCTCCTCCTTGGATGCAAATATTTCAGCAAAATGTGACCATTGGGAGATAGTGTCGTTTGCCAATTTCATCTTTACCAAATTTGTGATCAATCGACACTAATTTGCTCAAAATCAAAGTATATACTGGGAGATCTCAATTCTGAGTGAAAGTAGTACTCATGCCTGAATGTATGCTGGTGGTCCTAATGCTGCTGGATCTTCAGTTGGCTCTGGAGCTGGAGCCGCGCCGAAGGGCCCTCCTCCGAATGGAGATCCCTTGGAGGCGATGATACTCTGGACAAATGGAGGAGGTCCCATTCCCATGCCCATCCCCATTCCGGGGGGTCCTCCCGCTCCAGGAAATCCTTTCGAGGCAATCTTGGCCTGCACGAAGGGGGGTGGTCCACCCATTCCCATGCCCATTCCAGGTGGGCCTCCACCCGCACCAGGGAAGCCCTTTGATGCTATTTTTGCTTGTACGAAAGGTGGTGGTCCTCCCATTCCCATTCCAGGAGGTCCGCCAGGCCCCATCAGTGCCTCTGTTAATTTTATGAGGGGTCAATTCCATAGGCACAATTTATACAATTTTGAAATACCAGAATTGAAGAATGATTTTAAGAGAGATAAATTTCTTTGTAAAAATTGACAAAATTTTATAAAAATTTGACATACCAGAACTGAGGGCTAAACCAGCCACTAATACGATGGACAAAATCAACTTCATTTTTGTCTGCCAATTTACTAATGTGCAAAATAAATAACTCCTTGTCTCTCGAGATCGAAACTGCGACTGGCAGAAGAGAATAATTCCAGGTCGTTCTTTATCAGGAAGCAATAGACTGATTATTTTTCTACCTTATGTCGCTTGACATCTGGTTTAAAAAGTTGATTAATCCGATCACATAATTAACGAAAGACGGATGGATGGATATCACGAGGCGATATTGCACATGTGGCGTCTTGATGTAATAATGTACCTAAATTCCATTATTTCTTAATCTGACCAAAATACCCTGCATTTTTCACGCATGGAAAAAGAACAAAGTACTTACGTTTCGAGAAATATTCCACGGAAAATAAAGTGAAAGTTGGGACGATAGATGGCAAGTGAGTCATACTCGGAAAAAACTGGGCTGCTTTCCCCCCAACTTTCTCCCATCTCAGACCGGAAGTTGCCCCTGCTAATAAATATTCATCCATATTCTTCCGGATCCGGTTACATCAAATTTTTAATGCTATATATTCCATCATATCACCCATTTCATAAATATATTGTCCCTGTCTCTGCAGTTGCGTAAAAAATTATGCAATACTGCACCAAAGTAAAGCCATTTACCACGCATTTTACTTTCTCCTCTGCATTGGCAAATTTCCAGGAGCGGAAAGCGTGTGCTGGATACTTTCCCATTTTGACCATTCCATATTTACGACGTATAAAAAAACTTGGGGAAGCAAGCAGCCCCCTTCGCCCTCGAGAAGGAGAAGGAGATGATTAAGTGTCATGTCAGCCACCATCATAATCTCCTCGGAGATCATCCAATCCAACAAGCGGCATCTGTTCCCCACCACTAATTTCTATTTCATCTCGACAACCAAACCAGCAGAGTAGATAATACGAACCCATTTCGTAATCGCAGTAACTTCATCCGGTCTCCTTCATTTTGTCACGTCTCTCGTCTCTCGTATTTGTCCTGGGGTCGATTATGTATTAATCAGGGGTGGGCAAAATACTGTGGAAAAATTCAGTATCTCGAGCTATGTTTTTTCTAGGGTTTGGATTTCAAGGGTTGTTTTTTACCCATAAAAAGACGAAAATCTGCATGGAGGAGACAGTAGTCATACGAAAATACAGGTTATGTGAGGAAATTAACTTTTTATCACGGTCAAACTACATGGATTTTTTAAAATAACGTATTTTGACAGCGATAAAAAGTTGATTTCTTAAAAAAATACATGTATTTTTGTATGATTCTGCATTCTCATCTTTTTTGTGGGTGTAACAGCCCTGGAAATTCAAACCCTGGGAAGGACATAGCTCAAAATCCTGAATTTTGACAAAGTATTTTGCCCACCCCTGGTATTAATGTTGCGGCGACAACTGGAGGAATGGTATTAATTCTCATTGTCATCATCATCCAACCTGCATCGTCTCATACATAATCCTCTCTGTTAATCGGTCCTAAGTCGGGATCACCACCGCAAAAACCACACCTTCAGTTGCATGGTCATCTCATCGCGTCATCAGGAAATCCGGTCAGATCAAGTTTCCTGAAATATGTATTTATGTATTTCCACATTTAATAACTTGTTCCCATAAATATTTCTCATATTTGCTGTATAAAAGTCTTCTTGGCAGTGTTTCGTTTTTGCGGGTTTGCTACATTTATTGAAATGCAAAGCAAGAAAGGCAGGAAATGCGAGGTGCAAGAAACTGCAAGAAAATGCAAGAAATATGCGCTGTCTATCTACGCGCCTTATGAACTGTAACGGCGGGGCGTATTTTTTGCGCCTTGCATTTCTGGCAGGTCAAAATAGCTGCAAGAAACCACTTTCTCCCTGTTATTTCTTGCAAGTGGTTCCTTGCACCCGAAACACTGCTTCGTAATCTAAACAGAAAAATTGTACTTAAAGGGGCAAACAATTGGAGAAAGTGAAACATTGTTCATCATTGGGAATTCTCGTCTCGGTCTGACTGCTTAATGGACCTTTGCCGACTTTCTTTTTCCCCACTCTTGTCTGATGCACTTGAGTAATTTTCTATTTCGTTTTTTAGTGAAAGTCCATCCACCCAGCTAAGGCACCCATCCATCCATTGCGGTCAATACGGTACAACTTTTTGTGGCCATCACTCACTCACAACTCATGGAGGAGAAGATTTGTCCCCCATGTTCTCCTTGAGGGGAAGAAGTAGAGTGAAAATGAAACGGAATTCTAATAAAAAAGGTATATCTATGTCTGGAAAGCATTAGCAGAGTGAAAATAAAACTCATTTCTAATATCTACGTACTGTCTGAGCAGCATTTTTATTTTACTTTATTACGAAACGTGTCTCTCAGATCGTTGAATTCTTTTCAGAATTGGATGAAAATGGTGGTAAATTTGTCACAATTTCGTTTCCGCTCTAATTTAGTGTACACACTGTAGGGTTTCGATAGAAAGTAACCACTTGCAAGAAATAACGGGAAGAAAGTGGTTTCCTGAAGGTACTTTCACCTGCAAGAAATTCAAGACGCACGAAACTACGTCCCGCCGCAAAACTTCATACGACACGTGGCTAGATGGCACATACTTTTTGCACTTTTTTGCAGTTTCTTGCACCTCGCATTTCTTGCGTTTCTTGCTTTGCACTGCAACAAATGTAGCAAACCCACAAGAAACGAAACACTGCTGATTGTAAATACACAAGCACCGCTTTCACTCTTGTAAATAAATACTTATCCTCAGCAACAGCTTTACCCCCTGTTTACAAAGGACTTTAGCTTTATATAAGGAGGAGCAGGCTGCCTGCCTTCTTTGAGGTCAACTTTTTTTCGAAATCTTAAAATACGATCAGATCAGAAGAGTGGGCAGATGCGAAGAAATCCTTTAATTCCTCGTACTAAAACTCCAACCAGTAGGAAAACCACGACGAGAACGAGACCAAGCAAAAAGCCTTTTCCTTCCGGAAAAGTGCAGATCAGATCTTTTTTGGGAAAGGCTTTACTCTCTGAAATCTTCTACTGTGTATTTGGTTCTCGGTGAAAAGTCTTTTTTTGTAAAAATCCCCCAAAAAACGAGACATTTCCATTTTTATTGTTATTATTTCTACAACATCCGAATGGTAGTAAGATTGATATGTTTCCCACGTTCGGATGGATATGGCGTCATTTATTTTTGGTACTACTAATAATAATAAACTCCAGTAGCAGATGTAATAAAGTCGGGGAAAAGGGGTGCATTTGGTAGTCGATCATCGACTGTTGATGTGCATCATTTTCTAGGAAAATTTGACATTTTGCCGTTTAATTTTGACATTTGACCTCATCATCGCCGTGACCTTTTGACCTAAAAGGCCAGATAACGAAATCCTTTTTACTTTTAAAATCAAACGTCTATATCCGAAAGCAGGACTCAAAAAAGTTGATTCATTCGAGCTGACAGACAGACAGACGGACGGACAACCGATCGCAATAACTACCCCACACATGCTTTCACTCTTTAATAATTGCGATATTTAACTCCCTCATGGCACAATTCCGTTTATCTTTCGCAGTATCGTATTGGCAAAGATGACCCAACTTCTGGCTTGACCAGACCACAGAAATAAATTGGCAATATTTTTAGTGGAAATGTATCTAACTTTTATAATGGTTTTCCACTCTCCCGCCCGGTTACTCTTGACAAGGCGAAAATTAAAAGAAAAAATACCCATAATACGGAATTGACATGGACAATGTCGTCCTCCTCCCATTACGCTGGACAAGTCCGGCAAGTCAAACTTTATTACAACTCCGTGTCCAGAATACTGCCATTTCTGTTGAGAGAAAAGTTGCAAAATCAGGGATTCGATCGTCGTCATTTCTTTCCTTCTTCTTCCTTTATGTTTTGCAACTTTGCTCTGAAGTGAAAGTGGACGGACAACTCGACTCTATGCACACAAGAAGACAAAAGAAAATGGGAGAAGAAATAGAATTGTGGATGGATAACAATACGCCTCGTGTAGTTGCAGAAATCTGTGGAGAGCGGAGATAAAGAGAGACAAATATTTATGTATTGCTTGCTTGCTGCTTTCTCCACTTTCGACAAAATATAGAATCAATAAGTATGAAATGAGACGAAAAATGTCGAGTGTCGAATCAGCACGTTGGAATGAAATGAAGCTTTATTTTCATTTTCCAAATGTTTGTGCTACTTAGAAAAATTAGTCAATTTCAAGAAAATGGGAGAATATTGGGAGGGAATTTGTTCGACTCGTTTCTTGTAATATCAGCATAGACCGGATATGAATAATTGGGAAGATATTGTATAATGTGTAATAAAATGTGAATGTTCTAACATTTTTTGCTTCGCTAAATTATTTTTTTAATCCGATGCTGAAAATATTTCTCGTCGAAATATAAAATTTAAAGTTTTTTAAATAGTGGAAATATATATATTTCTTAATTATTGGATGAAATGTGATGGAATATTTACAAAATGTTTAATTCACTTCATATATGAGCATAGAAAAATTGACAAAATATTATTGTCAATACAGGGGTCGGGCACATTGGTGGATACGAATTCGTATCCACGAAAGTGCCCAACCCTTCTGTATTTACTAAAAACAATAAAAACCTTAATTGTCTAGCATTTGTATAAAATGTTTAGAAGACATCCTTCGATCTGTATAAATAATTAGGTAATTGGTGACATTTAAAAATTTGGGTTTAGTCATTTTAGTCTCGCATTATTGTTTTTTCCTGCCCGAAGTCAAAAATATCAAAAATAAATCATAAATATTTAGTAGTCAAGTAATTTTGACACTTGTCATAAATTATCTCAAAATTCGACACCGATTTTATCGAATATTAAAAAAAATTGATAATCTGAATACCCTTTGCATACATACATAAAGAGATGCATACGCAAAGAATAAGCTGGATTATAAATATGCATGTAATATTCACACAATTGAATTTTCCTCAGATTACGTAACACAAAAAGCAAAGAACCACTTTTAACGATTTTACGTAATCTTGTGAAACTCCATTCTTCCTCGATTCCCATTCTGCTCGCCCCAAAATAACGAACTTACCAAAAGTTCTTCTTAAATAAGCTACGAAAATTCGGGAAGAATTCGAGTAATTGAATTAACTTTCTCCATCTAACATTCATTCATTGAAGAGAAAGCCACATTTGTACGTGAACCAGGGCTAACGTTCCCATAATCGGTCGTGGTGGTGCTGGTGGTCGACGCAAGTCTATTTATTTCTTGGCAGACCGTTTCATTTCTTGGTAAATAACCGCAGCGTTTGTTGGCACTTTAATTGAATAAAATATGGCTGGCTGGCTGGGTTTTAAATTGTAATTTCACTCTAGCCAAAACCATCATCTATCGAATTAAGGAAAATACTTGGGCAGTGTTACGGGTGAAAGTAACGACTTGCAAGAAATAACGGGAAGAAAGTGGTTTTTTGGAGCTATTTTGACCTGCAAGAAATTCAAGACACAAAAAACTACGGTCCGCCGCTATACTTCATACTGCGCGTTGGATGGCGCATATTTTGTGCACTTTCTCCCAGTTTCTTGCACCTCACATTTCTTGCATATCTTGCTTTGAATTTCAAGGAATGTAGCAACCCTGCAAGAAACGAAATACTGACTTGCATATACTTTGATCCTTCACATAACACAGAAGGAGTGTCTAAATATTATTTCTGCAAAGAATAACAAAGATGAAACAAATTTCACATATTTATTTATTCAAAATTCAACAACTTGACTATGTATGTATTAATGTAAATAAACACAAAAATATGACCACGATCACAATAATTATACACAATTTTGTAATATTTATGATGGCTTATGTATGTACAAGATAATATTTTTTTAGTGATAACATTTGACATTCATTTGATAGATAGCTATTTGGAATTTATATGGTTTTTTTGTAAGTGTATTTTTTCAGGCAGGGAACAGGTACGAGAATTACGAGCACATAAAGTTAAACAAATACATTTATTTTTTTGTAGATAAGTACTTATCATCAAAAGTAGAGTATTTAATAGATAGAAAGATCATCATCATTTCACTGTGAAATTTTCATGACGAAATTTCCATAATTGTTGTGGTGCACATCAAAAGCTGAAGGTGACAAGGACATACATACGTACAATTAATTACGCTATTACAGTTACACTCTCCACGTGTCCAAATTAACCACAATGAGTAAATTATTAATCTCAATTAAATAACTCTCTTGCGTATACATTTAATAGTTTTGACTTTGAGTACATTTATCAAAATTATGAATATCCAGGACACACATATATATAATCTCCACCTGACTAGAAAAAGCCTAAATTCCAGCATTTAAACGTGCAGTAACCACTGGCCGCGGAAGCCGTGGGGACATCGGGGGATATTAACATTGTAGGATAGGGGAGGGCGTGGTTTCTGTCACATAGGCAGATGATGGGGAAATCGAATACCCGTGGGGACATTGTCCCTCCCGTCCCCACCCTTCCGCGGCCACTACAGATTAGTTACATACTTGACAGGGAGCAGAATGCCAAATAAATGGCCAATTTCCGATTTGACTGGCATCTCATTTTCACAACGTCATCATCCCCATTCGTTCCTCAGATACGCATAACTGCGACCTTCGAACCTTTGAATTATTATGCCGTCTGCTCTTGATCTCGTAATATAATTTTCTCCACGTTGACGTTACAAAGCAATTAATTGTCTACCCATTGAATACTTAAAACAACATTGAGACTTTGAGGAAAATTAACCTAATGCAATTTTCTCCCCTTTCCCCTCCACTTTGGCCCTGTTCATCAGCGGAGAGTCGACATTGGCCTCGTCCACGTTGCAGTCTTCCGAACAACCGGAGTCACTCCCGTGATAATAACCTCCTTCACTCATCTTTGTTGTGGTTTTCTTCAAATTGATGAAACTCGTCACCTCAGTTTCATTATTCTGTTCTTGGATAATTTCCTCCTCGGATTTCCAATTTGTTTTTGCCAGCTTGGTTTTCGTCACGTTGCCGACATTGCGACGGGCAGAATTGTCCACTTTTCTCACTCGGGGAGGAGAGTCGCCCTTTTCGAGGGCATTAATTCTGTTGAGATACTCCTGATAATCTTTCTGATAGGGGTGGTGCGTCAACGGAAATGAGACGTTGGCCGAGGACGAGGTTGGATTCGTGGTAATGTTGAGAGTTGTTGAATGGTTGTGTGGGAGGGTGGCGTCTGGGGAGGTGTTGGTCGTGGTGGGAGTGTCCCGTCCATGGGGGGCATTGTTGGTCATGTTGTTCATGTTGTAGCCGTACCTGTTTGAAAAAGTAGTTATTCATTCAAAATTCATTTAATTTGAAAAATGAAGAAAATATTCATTCGTCCAGGCTTTCGTTTTCCTGTGCAAACGGTCTTTCCCAAGGAAGGTAGGAAAAAGTGGGAAAAATGGGGTTTACCGTCCAAAAAGGGAAAATATGGCGGCCCATGTATTTAGTTAAGGGGAAAGCTAATTTCTTTAATAATCAATTTTCGGAATTTGACTTCATATTCCATAAATCCTCCATGAATTCTGAAAATTTTGATATGTAACACGGGGTACATTTGAACAGTTTTGATGCTTTCTAATCTTTCTACATGAATACATGTTAACTTTAAAGATTACTCTTATTATAGTACCAGCTTGTTTTCTCAGAATTTGGTTTTCCAAAAATTATGAAGTGAAAGTTTGAAGGTATGAAGTTTTAAAAAAGGTTTCGGATTTCCCCAAAACAAAGTTTTTCCCATTTTTCCATTTCCCTGGGTGGGTGGTAAAAAGCGCATTTTCCTACTTTTCCCCACTTCATTCATTAAAAAATGCTGAAAGAATTATTCACTCATGAATTTGTTAAATAAATAATGAATGAACAATGTGCGCATTTTCTATTGAATAAATGATGTGAACATGTATGTATGATTGAAGACGTACGTTGTTGACTGCGTGTCCCATGTCGACTTTCTCTTGATTGTCCCGTTAATCATGGAGTTGGTTGTGGATCCGCGACATAGCCCGCGACCAGACACGTATCCATTTCTGAGACGGTAATCCCCTCCAGCACCAAGCAGCATGGGTCCAGCACTGGAAAGAGAGACACAACCGCAACCAAATCCAGCCGCACGGCGTCGGGCAGGTCGAGAACGACCGTCTGCCTCGCACACGCAACAAAAAAGATGTTCGTTGAATTGCTGAGAGGAAAATAAAGCATGGAGAGACCAATTAGTTCACAGATAATTGTTATATAATACGTCTGACTAGATTTTTCTAGCCCTCTGGGTGACGAAGATGACCACTTGCCCATAACAGATTTTGATGACCTTTAGAGATAAATATGTCGACGAGTGTAGTAAAGCTTAAAAATGATTTGGCTTACATTGTTAGGGCATCCAAAATCAGTTTTCCCGATTTTTTACAACCGATTAAAAACCAGTTTCCGATTTAACCTAAAACCGGTTTTAACCCTTTTCACCGGTTTCATCACACTCGAAAACAAGTTTTCGATTTTTATAGGTACTGAACATTAATTTGGAGCTAGTACATATTTACACTTTCTTGCTTGTTATTTAAGAATTAGTTAAATATTTTCTGATCTGAAATGAGAATGAGAAAGTTTTCCGACTTTGATTCAAGAATTATCAAAAAAAAAAATTGGGGGAGAAAGTTTGAGCAGGGCTTTTGTCATATGCAAGGGGCACTAAAATCTGTTAGTGTCATGTGGCGAAACTCGCCTTCTCGTCATCATTAGCAGACAAAAACACGGTGTTTTTATCTATTTTTACGTGTTTATTTATTTACCTTTCTGAACGTTCCCGAGACGCAGTAGAGTGTGATTGGATTGATACAAGAGTTGATGAAGGAGAGACAAAAGCCCGTGATTCTGCACGCGTTCCAAAATTCATTAAAGTGATACTCCGACTCCGGGTAGAAGTAGAACCACAAGAGGAACAAGTGGGACGGGAAGAAGCAAATCGCGAAAATCACGACAAACGAGAGAATCATCTTTGCAACCTGGAAATGGAAGTGCAAAATGGAATTTAAATCGTGCCCTCGTCTTACATAATTTGACCAAAATATTCATTCACGACGCCACAAATCCACTCCAGTGGCCGCGGAAGCCGTGGGGACATTAACATTGAAGGATAGGGGAGGGAGGGGTTTATATAACATGGGAAGATGATGGGGACATCGAATAACCCTGGGGACATTGTCCCTCTGTCCCCACGGCCTCCGCGGCCACTGATATCATCCGCCCACACACCACATCAAATACGCTTTTCAGACTTTGAATGAAGGTGAAATTGAAGCGTCATGTCATGTCCTTGCTGGCATATTTACGTATGCAAAACCTACCACATTTTGATGTCTGACTGACTGAGCGATCGCAATTATTCCTCGCTTTTATTATTCAGCGTCATTACTCCAGCACGACAACAAGAAGGCAATCGGCTCGCGAAATATGTATGTTGAGGAATTATTAAATATATTTATTTCCCCGTCTGCGACAACAAGTCGACGACGACAAAAGTCACAAATTGGCGTGGATCATAATAATGGGGGTCATAAGGGTAAAGTCAAAATGTCAATTCCCATGCATACCATAGTAAAATTGGGTGTAAGTGCCATCATAATGTCGGTAATAAACTGTTGCTCACACAAAATGGTTGGCTATTTACATGCGCTAGTTGATATGTACATGCTCATTTCTGTATTTCGCATAAAAATTTAACTAATGTATGTACCGACCTTTTTTCGGGCCTGGATCTGCTTCGCTTGACCCTGCGCTTCGCCGGGCATATTTCTCGTGGAGAGGATCAAATGTCGAGCCATGATGATGTAGAAGGTGCCAATAAAGAGGAGTGGGATGGCGTAGTACACGAGAAAGTGGGACATTACCATCACCTAGAAATACATACATACACACATAAATATGGAGGATAAGAAAATTAGGGGAAATCTATACAAAAATCCATTAAAGCTTAGCTACACCGAGAAGTAGATTTTTGCAGTGTTTCGGGTGTAAGTAATGCCTCATTTGCAAGAAATAACGGTAAGAAAGTGGTTTCTTGCAGGTATTTTGACCTGCAAGAAATGCACGGCGCAAGAAACTAGGTCCCGCCTCTATATTTCATACGGCACGTGGCTGGATGGCGCATATTTCTTGCACTTTCTCCCAGTTTTTTGCACCTCGCATTTCTTGCATTTCTTGATTTGCACTGGAAAAAATGTAGCAAACCCCACAAGAAACGAAACCCTGGATTTTCCAGCATCTCGGCCATTTGTTCATGAAAACACGAACGTTTACACCCATACATATTTTGTCCTACACATTTTTCTTCCCTGGACGCGAAGAAGATCTGACAGACAGGAAATTAAATGTTGTTTTACTGCCGGTATTAAATTCCACGGTGCGAATTCTTACTCTCGTTTATTTGCCCTAGAAAAAAAAACCTTATCCATTTTTGCAGAGTAAATGTTTTTTCCAAGCTTATGTATATTTACTAGGTCGAGGTCATGCGTTCCATGTCGGGAGAAATTAATCGGGGCTGTAAGTGATATATATTATGCAAATTGGACACGTGAGCACACAAAGTGAAAGTAAACCAAAACCCATCTCGTAAATTACTCTAGAAAAAAAGATTAAGTTGGCGAGATCAGAATCAACCGCACGAACGAACCACGAAAAGCAAGAGTTGGTTAAATTCTCCTTTGCCGAGAGAAAGGTGACGAGAGAGAGTTGATAAATGGAAACAATTTCCTTTCACTGATTTGAGCTTGGAAAATGAATGTTTTTCATTGTTTCACGGAAATTGGGGAAAATGAGCGAGGAGAAAGTTTCACACTTTCACCTGCTTCATTCTTGCAAACTAGGTACGCATTTCCGGTGAAATATGTATGTTTTTTACGTAATTTTTCATCCTAGGCGTGAAGAAAGATCGATTCAAAAATTTGCAGAAAATGGGTTTTGTCTTGATAATCAGAGGTGAGATTTGGTTACCTTCTTCACCCCAAAAAATAAGCGAAATCAAAATAGAGTATGGAGAAAGTAATCTCACTTTCACTTGCTGCATTCCTCCGCTTTTTTGGAAAGTATGTATTTCGGGTGAAATACGTGTTTCTTAGCTAATTTTTCATGCTATGCAGGAAGAAAGACTAATTCAAAAATGGGTTTCGTCTATATAATCATGAAAATTTTAAGATTTGGTTACTTTCTTTACCAAAATGGATAAAGAGAAAGTTTCCCACTGCTTCACTTTTCGAAACTCCGGTGTTCCTTCCGGTGAAATATGTATGGTTTTGTACCTAATTTTTCATGCTATGCAGGACGAAAGATCAATTCGAAAAGTTGGAAAAAATGAGGTTGCAAACTATATATTTCCGGTGAAATATGGGTGCATTTCATCTAGTTTTTAGCCCGAGTCAGGGCTTATGGAACCGTCATGTCCGTCCGTCTGTCTGTCCGTCTGTCTGTCCGGCACGATAGAGCCAAAACGGCTGAACCGATTGACTTGAAATTTTTACCATATGCATATTGGACAAAGTTAGGAAACGAGTTCGAAGATGGGCGAAATCGGTCCAGTGGTTGACCGGTGGGGGTCATCGGAGTGGGTGGGGTCTTATGCACCAAAATTTCAAAATTGTTGGAGAGAGCTGAAATTTGGTACAGAGGTTGCTAATGGCTCCTAATAGAAAAACCTATCAGTACAGCTTTGCTTAGCCCGAACCAGGATTAGTAAACCCATGTTTCTCAGTATATTTAACTTCATATTATTTCACGAGAAAGCAGTAAGGATCTCTGGTCCAAATTTCAGCTTTCTACGTTAATTTCTAAAAATCGATATGGGTCACCCCATAGGGTCGCTCTAGATAAAAATTTCACCAATTTCATGTCATATTCTTGCATTAGGACCCATAAGCAACCTCTCCACCAAATTTCAGCTCGATATGACGATTTTGAAAAATCAGTATGGGTCACCCCCTCGGGTCCCTCAAGATGAAAATTTTTCCACCTTGAACTCATTTTCATCTATTAGGAGTCATTAGCAACCTCTGTGCCAAATTTCAGCTTTCTACGACAATTTTGAAATTTTGGTGCATAAGACCCCACCCACTCCGATGACCCCCACCGGTCCAAAACTTTTCTGATCGAACCCATCTTCGAACTCGGTCGTTGCATTGCCCAGATACATGTCCGTACCAAATTTGGTCCAAATCGGTCAACTCGTTCGAGAGTTATCGAAAGACAGACGGACGGACAGACGGACGGACATGACAATTACATAAGCCCTGGTTCGGGCTAAAAAATAACTTCAGGTTGGAAAAATTTTCATCATGAGTGACCCTATGGGGTGACCCATACCGATTTTTAGAAATTGCTTTAAAAAGATGAAATCCGGCACAATGATACTTAATGACTGCTAATTAAAGAATATGAAGTTAAAAGTGAACAAAGTGCAACCAGACCAAAGTGACCAGAGTGCAATCAGTATGGGGTGACCCATACTGATTTTTAAAAATCGTTATATCGAGCTGAAATTTGATTTGGAGGCTGAATAGCACATACATACAGCTTAGAACTTCAGGTTGTTAAAGAAGCCACTGGTCATGGTGGTCAAGGCACATGATTTGTAACTAATTCAAAAATTTGGTACCAAATAATAGAAACTATCTAACAAACTTTTAACCATCCACAACACGGAAGTTGGTGATATTATGTCGGTCAGTTCGGAAAAGAATTTAGAAGCGGGCTCTGACTTATTGAGTCAGGGACTATGTCCCTGACTCGGGCTATATGGAGTCTGCACTGTAGGTTTTTTATTTACAAGAAGATTGTGCAGCATGTTATGCGTGGTGAAAGGTCGATTCAAAAATTGTAGATAAAAAATGTCTTCATAATCAGAAACGAGATTTGGTTACTTTCACCTAAAAAATGAGCAGAATCAAAGGCCAGATCGATTCCGTGGTTTAGAATTTTCCTGTCTGCCAGATCACATCAGAATAAATTTCTGTAATCTGCTCAACTCTCGCTAATCCAATATCCGCCGACGCCAAAAGTGGCGGCGGAAGAAAATGGGGGACATTAGCATTTTGGGATTGGAGGAGGATAGACTTTATTAACATGGGAAAGATACGATTTTTTTCCGAATTTCTGGGGGGTCAATGTCCCCTTGTCCCTCTGTTTCCGCCGCCACTGAACAGCACCTCCTCATCTCATCATGCACAAATTGGATCCTTCTCTCTTCTTACCTGCGGGTATTTCTTTCCAAGTTCCGGTGGGAACGGGTAGCAAACATAAAAAATCCGTCTCGGATCCTGACTGAGATTAAGAATAAATTTGCTCTTTATTACTTTGTCTATAATATTAATTACTTTTTCGACAAAGGAAAATAAATAATTCTTACTCGATTGCCATCACGTAGCTGAAAACGGCTGAGGGTAACGCCATCACCACGGATAAAACCCAGATTCCTGTGCGAAAGGCGAAAAAATAAACAACCAAGATTAAATCAAAATACCACTAAAAACGGAACATACGCGTTTCCGTACGTCATCCAATTAACAAATTAAATTCATCGGACCATATCTCGTCGATGTGCAGGGATGGGTAAAATGCTTTGTCAAAATATACAGGACTTTGACCTTAGTTCTTCCCAGGGTTTGGATTTTTAGGGCTGTTGCGCCCACAAAAAGACGAAGATCTACGTCGAGAAGACAACATTCATACGAAAATACCAGTACATGCTGTAGAATTTTTTCGGCTAGTTACCTACTTTGCATATTTGAAGCATTAGCGAGAGCCAGAGTTTATTCGACATGGAAAGCCGTATCGCCGGAAATGCGCATAGTGAGACTTATGCAAATGAAGTGACACGCAAAAATAATTCTACTATAAGTATATAATTTATGAATAAATTAACTTCTTATCGCTCTCGAAATACTTTATGTATTTAATAAATCGTGAAAACAATGTCTTTTGACGGCGGTAGAAAAGTTAAATTCTTCATAAAACCTGTATTTTCGTATGACTGCTGTTTTCTCGATTTTTTGTGGCTGCAACAGTCCTGGAAATCCTAACTTTCCACCTCTGCTTTCACTAACCTGCAATTGTGATACACGTAATTTTGGTAGCCCTCCGTCCATGCAGTTTCCTCATGGGGTCCACAATCGCAAAGTAGCGATCCGCCGAAAGCGCCGTCAGCGTGAAGACGGAAACCCCGATGGAGAGATCTTTAATAAACTCGGAGAATTTGCAGACGAATTCGCCATACGGCCAGGACTCCACGGTGTACACGGTGGACGTGAAAGGGACGCAGAACAGGATGACGAACAAGTCTCCGACCGCCAAGGATACGATGTACCTATCCCCAATCGTGTATTTAAAGCTTTTGAAAAAAATTATATGAATCAACACCTCGAGGAGGGAGAGTCAGGGAACGTCCATTTATTACGTCATCATAAAAACACCGATTTTTCAAATCACCCACCCGCCCCCTCACAATCCTACCCATGTTAAACTTAACACGAGCAAGATAGGCGACCCAAAACCACCCATCCCTTCCCTATCTTACCCCATGTTAAACTTAACACGAGTAATAAGTGCGACCAAAACCTATCCACCCCTTCCCTATCCTACCCATGTTAAACTTAACTGGACCCAAAACCACAAACTCTTCCCCATCCTACCCATGTTAAACTTAACACAAGTAAAACAGGCCACCCAAACCACCCACTAACTTTTTGATGACGTAACATATGAACGTTCCCAGATCCTATTTTTATATAAAACTCACATGTTTGGAACGTTCCGCATGGTACGATGCTTGACAAAGATGCCAATCAAGGTTCCATTTCCCATGACGCCAATCACAAAAATTATGGCGAAAAGGATCGGCACGATGTACGTTTCAGGACGGGCCGAGTAAGGAACGTAGTCGAGAGTGTCGTTGGCAAATTTCGTGGAAAATGAAGATTCGTCCCCAAATGAGGGCGGCGTGGGTGAGAGGCTGGTCGTCACATTGGTCGTCAGGATGTCTTCCATCAGCACGGCGTCGTCCATAATTAGCGATTTTTTTGGCCAAATTGATTATCTACTGAGTATTATTTGTATGTCCGGTCATGTTGCAATTTCCGGGTAATTAATTCCGCTCGGGTGCGTTCGCTGCTTCCTTTTTCGTTTCTGGCTGATGATCCGTATCTGATTTGTTTCTTTGTCAAGGAAAAATCACTGCGTGCCTACCTCGATCTGGAACAGTTTAGGAAAAAACACGGGGTTGTTAAATGATGAAGTTATTTTTTTTACAGACTTACTAAAAATGTACACAAACAAATCCATCAAGTATTATTCCATCCATTATTAGAGGAGTTATGCAGTTGTACAAGAGCTATTATGGGATCATGATGGTTATCAATTTTGAGAGATTATCCCTTATCTGAGAAGCCATAAAAGAGGTTTATATGCACATACATAGAACTCAATTGTGCAGGGTGCAAACTTTTTTGATATTAATAATCCTTCATTTCCAACTTTTTGGAAAGTTATTGCTCAAACATATTAAAAACTTGGAGAGAAATAATTCTTCGCAATTTTTCGACTTTCGATAAACTTCCAAACTTTCACTTTTGCACAGTGGCCGCGGAAGAGTAGGGACAATGTCCCCAGGGTTATTTGATTTCCCATCATCTGCCCATGTTATACAAACCCCTCCCTCCCCTATCCTACAATGTTAATGTCCCCCGATGTCCCCACAGCTTCCGCGGCCACTGTTCTTATATGAAAAAAAATTCTCTATTTTATTAGCCAAATTGTAAACTGGGGCGACGACGACAAGAATAAAATCGTACGTTGCATTGCATCGTATTGCATGGCTTTTATTTGTCAATGAAATATGAGGTTTCCTTCATCCGACAACTCCATTAATCATAATCTCCATTAGACTTCCCATTAATTTCAATGCTAGCTTGGTATCTCCAACACCATCACAAACCAACACCCTCCTCCCAGATTATGGCGACAGGATCGATAAAGCAAAATATAATTTATTTCTGTATCCGTCCTAAAAATGGTGGCGGAATCGTGTGGCGACTTATCATGTAATAAGCTCAGATTTATTTAGCTGAAGTGAATTGAAGGTCGGTGAATGCAGTTAGAAATCGGGCACAACTATCTCCCGAAATTCGCAGCACAAAATGAGAGGCTTTTCTTAACTGCGAATTTTTCGCTTGACATTTGAAACGAGGTTTATAAAAATTGCGCACAACTTTCTCCCGAAATTCGGACACGTGTACAAAAATGAAGGAATTTTCTAAGCTGCAAATTTTCTAGTAAAACGAGGTTTTTGTATCTCATTGAAGTTTGAAGGTCATCCTAATGAGCGAAATTTCTCATCCACGCCTACCAGTCGTCTCCTACTCTGGTTGGAAATTTAATGAGAAAACTTTCACCCGAGTTTGTTTGTCAGATATTTATGTATACGTGTGAGATATAAACTAACAAGAGTGAAGGTCAATTAACTTAATAGCTTATTAACGGAGGGGCTAGTTTGATGCTAATTATTTGCATAAAATGTATCCTTCGCTGGAGACAGTGGCCGCGGAACCCATGATGACATCGGGGGACATTAACATTGTAGGATAGGGGAGGGCGGGGTATATATAACATGGGCAGATGAGGGGGACATCGAATAACCGTGGGGACATTGTCCCTCTGTCCGCGGCCACTGTTTCGTGCAGATGAGGATTCACTAGATGAAACTAAATATTGAACTTTCTCCTTTAAAAGCAAATAAACGACTGGTGTGGTATGCACAGTCGAAAGTCAAAGTCTGGAGTCCGACATATTTAGCTAGAATCGGGCCAAAACGTAGACTTTGTTTGTGCAGTGAACGGTGCCCTCTTGGTCTGTCAGGTCAGTTCTTGTACCGGAAAATGGGACAATATTTAGCACAATAAACCACCAAGTCGTTTGATCCGTGTGGCCAAAATGTACCAAATATCACTGACTTCGCTGACATTTGTGCACAAATGTTTGCAGAATTGTGCGATATTTCAGCGTATATACAATACTTTCTTATCTACACAGTATTGCAAATAAGAGTAGCACAATTTGGGTGGGGCGTTGGCTCGCAGCTGGAATTTAATTAGAAATATTCTTCCTCCCGTGAACCAAATACATGTATCGGAACAGGATGTATTTTGGTATGTACTACAAATTTCCCAATATTTGCATGGGATCTCCACTCCTCCGAAAGTTTTCGGCTCGTTATTTTTCTCGATTTCATGTCAATAACAAAAAACTTTACTAATTTCCTAGAAAGGAAATCTCCAAGTAATTTGGTTCTTTTACTCTTGAGAAATAATTATTGAAATCTGTGCAGAAAGTTACATAGGCAAAGAATTAGGCAGTTCTCTGATTTGTTTTTCCGGATTCTTTTGAATAACAATTTCTGGAAAATATTGTTCAAGTATTTTTGGGCACAAAGAACACACTTTTTTGTAAGCTGGTTCCATTCGAGGAAGCAAATAAATAGAAATGAGGCCCAGATTTTTATGCATAACTAAATTACGAAATTAGACATTTTCTCCTAGAAAAATAAAAGCAAGAGAAAAATAAAATCTGATTCAATAATAAATGCAACTTCGTCTCCAAAAAATAAGCTTGCAAAAAAGTATTCCGATTTCCTGTCCCATTTTGTTCTTCGTCAAAGGCAGAAATTAGTAACAAAAATAATAGTTCTTGTCCAATTGCATTATCAAGCTTCACTTTCAATTTTACTATTATGAAATTCGTTTTAAAATAGAGTGAAAGTAAAACCACTATATTCTTACAATATTTCACTACTACGCAGTCACAAATACTTCAAATAATTAAAAATCCCGTCAGGCCTTAACATGTACCAATTTTCCAAAAAAATCATTTTGCCCCAGTCGTTAAAATTGAGGATGAGTGAGAGTAAAGCTGAAAATTTTTCTTCTTTACGTCACTATTACGTATTTCAAACAATTAAAAATCCTGGGAGACTTTGACATATAACAATTCTTAAAAAATCACTTTGTTCTAGTCGTTAGCATGTCAATTATTATGCCATCATTTCTACATAATATGTAGAAATATTTATGTATATTCTGCATAAATATTTCATTATCGAATGTTGTCACCTAGCTTACTTATCGGAAGAGGAAAAAAAGTGCAACCTTGATTGCTTTCACTTCCGGTTATCACGCAATAACTTCTATGTATGCAGGAATATTTTATTAAAATGATATCATTCAACCGGTGATACTGTCACTTACATAGCTCACTTTTTAGCTGAGAGGAAAAATCTGCAACCTTATTTGCTTTCTCTTCCGGTTAAATATTACGCAACAAATTTCTATGCATAAATATTTCATTAAAATGACTTCATTCAACCTGTAATATTGTCACCTTTAGTGTGAAAAAGAAAATGTGCAACCTTGTTTGCTTTCCCTTCCGGTCTGGTGCCTGCTCGCCCCATATTTACTTTCACCACCACCATCACACCACCCGAGCAAATTTCATATTCGTGACAAGACGTTAGAGAAAGTGAGGAATTGTGTAGCCCTGATTTTTTGTGTATTTCTTTGATCCACTGGGAAGAGGAAAGTGGAGATGAAAAATGCAAATCCACAACACAAGGAGACGAAGATTGATGAAAGTACGTACAGTGTTTCGTTTCTTGCGGGTTTGCTACATTTCTTGCACTGCAAAGCCAGAAAGACAAGAAATTCGAGGCGCAAAAACTGCAAGAAACGGTAACAAACTGCAAAAAAAGTGCAAGAAAGTGCAAGAAACTGCAATAAACTGCAAGAAAGTGCAAGAAATATGCGCCATCCAGCCACGCGCCGTATGAAAGAATAGCGGAGAGGCGTAGTTTCTTGCACCTTGCATTTCTTGCAGGTCAAAACACCTGCAAGAAACCACTTTCTCCCCATTATTTCTTGCAAGTGGTTACTTTCACCCGAAGCACTGCACAAGCATGAATATGCCTACACACCTGGATGGATGGCGACATCATCATCATGCTCAGTCATTCACCGTTCGTTTCACCTTGGAGCACTTGTTGGCTCATGTCAATCACACTGAGCTCTTGTTGCCCGTGTGGGTTTTGAACTTGACAGGTTTTCCCCTCCTCTCCTGAAATGTCAACTAGCGTGTCCGCATGTCAAATAATAATTTCATCGAGGAAAAATTCCTCTCCTATATTTAGACCTGCACCGAAGTCTCGCTGGTATTCATTTCGTTCGATTTTGGATGAGGAATTCGAACCTATTGTGGAATTCTGGGAAGTCAATTTCCTTGTTATTCGCTACATTTCATATTTATTTGCCCAACGCGTGGAGAAAGTAAGTAAGTAACATTGTCGAGAAAGAGGGCACGTAGCCTTTTCTTGGAGAGATTCATGCAAATTTTTGGGCATTTCTACTTGAAAATGAAATCATCGAAGTGTAAGAATGCACAAATTTTGCATATTTTTTTTTATTCAGCACATATACAATACACGTGGCGTGGAATATTTTGCATTACAAATTTTTTTCAAGGTGAAAGCGACGAGGGTAGTAAATAGCGAAAATTACAGTATTTATATGTATTGTGCTCTTTACTGAAAAACTTGAAAATGAATATCCTTGAAATATAAAAATGCACAAATTTTGCATATTTTTTACTCAACACGCGTGGCTTAAAATATGTTGCATTACAAAATTTGTTTTCCAGGTGAAATCAACAATTTAAATGCGACGCCTAGCGGAAACAATTTATATTTTTATGGAGAAAGTGGGAATATTCGAAATCAAAATAGTTCCAGGAACTGATTTCTATTTCCAGCTTCCGATCTGGTTTCACACGCCACAGGTTTTAGAGGGCTAGACTTTAATTAGAGTTATTATGTTGAGAGGATTCCACTTGTCTGCTTGAGTTCTCTGCCTAATAAGTATCATATTTCTCTAAGTCTGGATTATCAGAGGTATCAACCAGACTGGTTTAAGCTGACCAGCTAATTAGTAAATATGCCCTACTCGTTGCTTTCTCCATTTAGAGAAATCGATCTCGGATTGATTTCCTGCGGTTGGAAGCGTCCTCTCCCATTTATTTCCTTGATACGATCCAACCTTTCATACAAATTAGTCATGGGAAAACGTGACCCGAGTTCATCGGAATTTCGTACAAAATTAGCACCCAAGTTTACAAAAGGGCATCTCTGCGACACGGAAATTAGCGCATAAATT